TTCGGAGGTATGTGTACTCACCAAAAATGATTGTAGTTGACCCCCGCAACCGAAAATAATTCTTCCAGAACGATTTGAAATTTTTGAATTTAATTGTTAATAACTTTTTAACGAAGCTTCCATCAACAAATTAGTATTCTTGATTTTCGTCTTATTTTGGCCTCTACTATCGCTCATTAAAATTTTTGCTAGAGGTGGCCGAACACCCTGTATGCAATATTGTTCTAAACAACAGTGCTCCCGCCACGAACAAAAATATAATTTCATTGCGAATAATTATTGCCTCGCCATTAATACAAAACTTAACTGTTTTTTAAAAAATACCTATTAAAATAAAATGTTTCATAAAATATCATCATTCGATCTTTAATTCGATTTCTTCGAATATGATTCAAATATTTAGTGAGATAACTTTTCAGCTAGTGTTTCTTTTTGAATTACATACAAGTTTCTATGAACGCCTAGGAACCCTAAGGTAAAAGTTTTAAGTTGAACATCTAATGAACACAATTTAATAATGCACACTGTAACATAGAAATTTTAACAATTTTCAGTTTGAAAAGTTAAATTCGAAAGTGATATAAGATTTATTTAAATTTCAGAATGAATTAACAGCACTACGAACGGGAACGATATCTTACGCTGGAATTGAAAGGAACGCGGAGAACAACTTTTACGACTAATAACAGTATTTGCGTATATTATTGAACAAAAATAGAATGTTAATATGTGCCATGATATGTATTTATTATATTTGTATGAATCGGAATCATAAATTAAAATTAAATTAATGAGATTATCATCCAGACATCTTTTATGCAGAAAATGTTCTACATATACATATAGAAAATTATTTTACAATAGAATGAGATTAATGCTTTTAAAAAATTCATTGTTACAATAATGATAACATTATTTTAATGAAATAACATATTTATTTCGATTACGTGACTGATTTCAAAATATAATACAACCTACGCCATTTTGAATATTTCCTATTATTATTTGCAAATATTTAAATGTACATATCATAAAACATGTATATATATATCTAAGTAAATAAATTATAGATCTATTTTACCCTGAAAAAATATAGATATCATTATCACCTGTTCATCCGTTACCATAATAAGGAAACTTTAATAGAATCTTCAAATCAAAGTATCTATAGCAATATCAATGGTTTTCGAGCAATTATTAATTAATCGTTCACATAACATTATATAATAAATGAATTAATAAGCATTCAAAGTTATATTTATTAAATCGCCACTATCTTGACTCATTTATATCAGTGATTACTTATTATTATACAGTGATTAAAAAATTGTACTCTGTAAATTTTTGCAAGATTTAAAAATATATGGAACTTTGAATGCTTCGATATATTTATTATACGTTTTACGCATGTTCGGTATTCTAGGGACGAATTACAATTTTACTAGACACTGTGGTTTTCTCATGGACTTTTTAAATTAATTTATTATCTACTGGAATTCATATGAAGGCTAGGTAAACAAATCAGTCTAATGGAAGCAAATAATCCTAAATAATATTTATGCTTATTGTGTCGATTATCATTTATTCTTTTATTTCCTAGTTTTGATCGAAATATACAGGGTGTTCGACCACCCCTTGGAAAAATTTTGATGGGTTATTCTAGAGGCCAAAATACGACGAAAATCAAGAATACCAATTTGTTGATGGAGGCTTCGTTAAAAAGTCATTAACGTTTAAAGTTACGCCCGTACTGAATTTTTTCTCGAGAATGCGCAATATTTCGGAGGTATGTCTATTCACCAAAAATTATTGTAATTGAACCCCGCAACCGAAAATAATTTTTCCAAAACGATTTGAAATTTTTGTTTCCGTCGAAAAATTTCACACCTTCTCGAATTTTGTTCTAGAACGTGGGTCGGATTTCGGAGGTATGTGTAATGACGAAAAATGATTGTAATTGACCCCTGCAACCAAAAATAATTTTTCCAGAACGATTTGAAATTTTTGAATTTAATTCTTAATAACTTTTTAACAAAGCCTCCATCAACAAATTGGTATTCTTCATTTTCGTCTTATTTTGGCCTCTAGAATCCCCCGTTAAAATTTTTCCCAAGGGTGGCCGAACACCCTGTATGTTCAACTGCTACATATACTATACGTGCCTTATAACATATGATACACTCCTTCAAAGTGGAATAAAATATTGAAACGATCATGCATTAAATTGTAAGGGGACCCTTGGAAAAAGGCTTTAATCTTCAACTTCGTGATGGTTTTAATGGGTTATTGGTTATTTGATGATCAACAATGGTTAGCTTGTGGTCACCAATGATCAACGATGAAGTTGACATCAAAGCATCGCGTCGCGTCTCCTTTGAATTAACTTCACCCCCTTTAAATGGAATAATTGCTTGACATAACTAAACTACACGAACGAAAAAACTTTGCTTCCTTCTATCTCTTTAGTTTAGTAATCTATGTTTCTAAGAATGCAAAAGGGAGATAGATGGAACTTGGATTTCATCTATCTCTCTTTGGGTCACCACTAGCAGTAACCTCCTCGTGGTGAGACCTGGTAATCGGTGTTACCTACGATGAAAAGTTCTTCTTCGTGAGCAACACCGAGCTAATGACTGCGAATTTAAAATTGCTTCTTAAGATATAAGAGAAAGATACACTGTCTAAAGTTTTGTAAGATCTAAGAGTGTGTAAGCTTTGAATGCTTTAACGAAGTTAATAGATTATTGTTACAATGGAACATATCGAAGTGTCGATCGTCGACTTAATGAAATTTGACGATTGATGATTGATTGATTGACGGTATGTTCCCTTATCAGTTGATGATGAATTTGAATATCGTTGGATATTTTCTCCTAAGAGAAAAGCGATCGAAATTCGACCGTTGTTAGAAACGGAAACAAAGAAAGTGTTTTCTGAAGAGCTGCCTGATAAACAAACCAAAAAACGAACAAAATGTCTATGCATGTGAGATGATCCATCACATGTTTTCTAGGAACGTGCAACTGCAAGTACGAACCCTGACTTAAAAACAAACTAACTAACTGCAAACCAACTAACTAACTAACTAACTAACTAACTAACTAACTAACTCCACAATAAGGGAGGGCCTCGGGGTAGTGCCGGACTCCTACCGGCTAAAACCCCACGGTGACCGTCCTCCGGCGCTGCGGCGGGGGACCGGGAACTCTAGTGAGACATCACAGAGTCCCCCGCCGCTCCTTACTACTCGAGGCTCCTCCCGGGGGGAAGGACGACATGTCCCTCCCCCCCTAATCTCTCCGCCGCGGACGCCAGGTCACCCGGCGCCCGCGGTCCCGGGGCTGCCTTCGGTGCTCGGGCCCCTTGCACCGAACACCTGCGGCCCCCAGGGGCGGCTCGCCATCCCCCACATCCCCCAGCCACAAACGAGGTGGCCGGAGGTGCATGTTTACGGGCCGCCCCACCTCTTGGAGGTCCATCAAGACCTCAGGGCTAGTGAACAAGGCCAGGGGACGAAGGTCGCCTCGCCTGGTCCCCCTCCGAGCCCTCCCGCTCGGCGGCCTCCTTCTGCAACATAACTATCTCGCAGAAGGAGGCCACCACCCAGAGGTGCCAGAAAAGCACCGACGGTGCCTTACTCAGCATGCCAAATCACGCGTAAGTACGTGAGCTCGTGGAGTTACGGAAAGTTGACAAAGGCAAACTGACGCATGCCCTCTTTTTCGATTCTCCGAAGCTGCCCGAAGTAATTTTGGACCACCTCGTGGGAGTCGAGAGAGGAAGGCTCACATTTGCCTTCTCGCTCTTGGACAACTGAAATTCGACCTCACGTCGACAGCATACGATTCCAAGTCTCGACTGCCCAGGTATTTTTTACTTTCCGACCCATGTATGTAGACGAACATAAGCAAGGTACTATAATGAAAAAAATTTTGTGAAATTTTTCTTACGGAAATACACGTTTTAAGACAAATAAATATGAATGTGTGAACTACTTTTTATTATAATAATTTAAATATTACCCATCTTCCACTTCAAAGTCAAATTGTTTGCAAACTGTCGTGGCGTCATTTACGCGCCAATGAAACATTCCTCGACTTCGAATTCCAATAGAAGACTGTAACAGAAACAAAATAGAAATGCATTAAAGTACATGAACGATTATTATAATTAAGTAATGATCAAATCCAAACTGTATTGCAAGAAATCGTAATTAAATTCAGAGAGACATGATAATAATTAACACCGATCGAATGTCAAAGAAAAGGTATGAAACTGATTCAATATTTATCACGATGACGATGCAATTTATAATAAAAAATGTATTAATATTATGCGAAAGCATCGATAGAAAGTAAACGCGAGTAGTAATATTGAGGGAATATTAACATGTTAGAAATACATACATCGTTGGCGCGAAACGCTCACACATCATAAACACGTCTTACTACTTCAATGTTCAAACTACGAATGGCGACATTGGCGACCTCTTGCTGCAATCTAACCAGTAATGTCCAATGATTAAGTGGGGTGTGGGGGAAGCTCTGATGTTCCGCGAAGCTTGTATATTTCGAAAAGGAAGGTTGGCCATCATTTTCGAAACTAAAGATGCTTCAGTTAAAAACCGCAAATACAAAAAAAGGAGCAAAAATGCTAAACCTATGCACTAGAACAACATACATATATACTTTAATTTCAGAACCATATTAGTTGGATGGTATAATTTATAAATTAAATATAATTCACACTTTTATCAATCTATAGCGACAGATGACAAACTTCTTGAATTTGTTACCATTATTATTAATAGCGAAAAATGACGCAACATTTGTTTATTTAGTGCAATAGAGAAAATTTCCTAGCAAATAACGTCCTTTCCAACTCCTTAAGGCGCATTCCAAATTATAAGGCATACAAACTATTTCCATGAAATTTCCTTCCGATATTTTTCAACACTGTCGCATATTAAGTCACTAAACATGAAAATGAATTTTCATACAAAAGAACGTAGTAGTGATCACTCCACTTTCTTTTTAAAGAAAGATAGAATATTGCTATTTTCGTCGGTAATTAATATAACGTAACTAGGGTTTATTACTAAGAATTCTAATGTAATGTTTCCAATAATTATTCTATGAATTTGGTAGTAAATTTCGTGTAATAAAGTAATGTTCTTCATTTGCGTTTGGGTTGTGAGACTGTAGATTATATATTTTGTCAGAAATGCAACACACGATTTGGAGTCTCTCCTCTAATTTTGTCGCAAATCGATACTTTTCACGTTTGTTAATGTAAGTGAATTTTAAGTTTAATATCTTACTCGATTCGGTTTGCATACACTTGAAAAAAGTTAATATTGATTGAAATATAGCAATATATAAATCATTATTTGTCACGCAATATATGCGTTCAATATTTATTATTTGTTTATGCTTTTAATAATTTATATTGTACATTATTAATGAATTGATAAAAAATAACTTTGGATCATAGTTCTCCATGGTATAATGTATCTACGGTTTCGTCGTTAAATGAAATGTCAACAGAGGCTGCAGTGAAACCTACAAATGATATCATCATTACTGACAGCTGTGTCAAACGTTTAAAGGAAATTACAAATGATAATGCTTATTTAAGAGTGACGGTAGAAGGTGGAGGCTGTTCCGGTTTTCAATATAAATTTGATTTGGATACAAACATAAGCGAAGACGATAAGTAAGATTACTTGATAAAAATAACCATAATATTTATATAATTGTGTTACGAAAGTCTATTAAGGATGATATTATGTTACAGAATATTTCAAAAGGATGGTGCTAAAGTGGTTATAGACTCGACATCTTTAGAATATATTAAAGGAGCATCGATAGAATATCACACAGAATTAATACGCTCTGCATTTAGGATAACAAATAATCCTTTAGCTGAACAAGGTTGTAGTTGTGGTGCTAGTTTTTCAATTAAAATGTAATAGTTTCTTTACATACAGGTTGTTAAACAAAAGTATTTTAAGACTTTAAGAATTTATAGTACTCAGCGGGAGAAGTAAAAAATGCCCAATCAACATAGGTTTAAAGGTTAATGCTTTTGACGAATAATTGACATTTAATATGTAAGAATATTCAATAATGTGAGTGAGTATCTCTATGATGCATTGAATATGAATAGAAAAATTGATTCAGAAGTATGATTTAAAGTTATCAACACAAGATTATTAGATTAACGGTAACCAAGCTTACTTTATAGCCTCAAATGTAATACAAATCTTTATCACAGTGAGTGTTTCATGTGTCTTCCCTCTGTTACAATGCAAAGTTCTTATTGATGAATCATTGATCGACATACATCTACAAGTATTCTTTCCGAATCTCGTATTGTTTGTTTCTACATTATTTATGGGCCATTTCCATGTTTGAATAATGAACGGCCATTGTTAACAATACGAGAATAACGCTTTCACTTTATCACGCTGAATGCTAAATGAAAACTGAAAATTTTTATTATATTTGCATCTATAAAGTAAGCTTTGTTAATGCTAATTTAATATTCTTGCGTACTGTGCTCCGTTGAGTTGAAGTCCCGCGGGACGGCACAGGGGCAAGAGGAGTCGGACCGTCTATCTACCTATCTCGCTCCCTTACACTCAGGCAGTCCACATGTGTGTGTAACCGCCGCGACGAATAGCGAATAGAGCTCAATGGTACGTGAGAATACGTGCATCCTTTTTACTTTTCTCGCACTCTTGCTACAGGACTTCAAGTCAGCGGAGTACAGTGCCTTGAACGTACTTTTGAATCAATTTCTCTATTTACATTCAATGCATTGCAAAGAAACTCACTCACGTTATCAAACATTCTTAGATACTAAAAGTCGATTTTTCATTAAAAGGATTGACTTTTGGACCTATGTTGATTAGACATTTTTTACTCCTCTCGCCGAGTACTATAAGTCCTTAAATTCTCAAAACACTTTTTTTAAACACCTTGTATAGTATATCAAAATTTAGAGCAAAGAGATATAGATTGTATTTATTATTTTTTTAGGGAAATAACAGTTGTCAATATTTTTGGCAATACTTCCACAGAGGAAGCATAAATTTTGTTTCTTTTGATCACAATTGTTACACATTGAGTACTTAGGAATATTTGTTATTTATATGCTTATATATTTTAATTTATTTTATGATAAATAAAATATAAACAGAAGTTTTAATTCAAAGTATCGAGGAACAAATTGTTCAATTGACATTGTAAAGAACTGACTGTGAATATATAAATGATAATACCTACTATTTTATGATTCTACGTAAAATGTAATTTTATGTATTATAAACGTTCAAGCAATGAGCGTTAATAATAACTCTTATTTTAATTTTATAAATAATATCACTAATTTCAGATATCCTTCAGTACATTAGTAAGGATATGATCAACAATTGTAATTATTCTTTGTCAGGTATAATCATATGTACATGAAATTAAAGTTACCAATAATTCTGATTAATTAGTATCGCTGATGGAATGTTAATAACTATTAACCTGTAATTTAACCTATATCACTTCTGTTTTCCCTTTTTATTGTTCTGAAAATTATTAAATCATGTACAAAGTGCTTGAAATATTAATGTTTACATTTTTTAATGATTTTTTACCTTGTTTGCAAGCTCAAACTTTAATTGTTGAATTTCTTCTGTTTGAGAAATAAGTTTCTCATTCATGTTTGCAAGATGCTCGCTCATAGTACTAAGTTGGGTTTTATAATTTCCTTCTTGTATTTCTTTGTCTTTTTGTAAAACATTACAGTTTGAAAATGCTTCTGTAAGCGCAGACTCGCATTTTTTCCTCTTCGCTTCACTTGTATCTAAATGTACTTGCATAACTTCATTCTGAAAATGTTATTTTAAATGAGATGTATAATTGGAGAATATGGTCTTTGTAAAGGAAAATAGTAAACGGTAACTTAATTACATTGGCAGCTATAGCTAAATTTTTAACATGATAAACTTGTTTCTCCGTTATTAACTTATCAATCTCTTGTAGGAAGTAGTCTCTGATTTTTGCTTCCCGAGCTTCAATTTCTTCTGGTATTGCAAAGGGTACTGTTAATCTTCCAATCTATTACCAATATTTATATTATTAGATTAGTTTAAATATAACTTTCTATAAAAACATTAAAGTAAATATTACCATATGATTTATTGTTGCCGATTGCAACTGCTCATTCTCAATTTGTGTATTACTTAAACACTCGCTTTGTTCTACTTCATCATACTTTAATTTAAGTATGTGATATTGTACTTTCCAATAATTCATTTCTTTTTCTACATTGTATAATTTTGAAAAGTCAAATTCATTACTTTCTTCTTGTGTTTTATGAGGTTTACCTTCACCAATAGATTTTGACGATCTACGCGAGGTTACCGGCGATGAAAACGGAGATATTTCCGTTTGACGATGATTAGGGAGTCCTATTCTAGTATCTAAATCACATTCATCTCGTTTACCTTCATTACTAGACCATGAAACAGTTTCTTCTTGCTTGTGTTTTTCATTTAACTTTCTTTGCAAATCACTTCTTTCTCTCTCTAGTTTATCCATCATACTTTGATACTGACATTCTAATTCAATTTTAGATTTTTCACAATGGTCTAATTTATACTGTAATTGTTGTATCTTGTCATTTAAATTTTCAATTTCACTATCTTTATCACTGATTTGGGATAATAATTGAGCATTCTCAACTATTTTTTTCTGAAATTCTTCATCTAAGATATGATTTGGTTGTGCTGGTATTTGACTATTACTTTCTGATAATTTATTTTTCCCCTTTTTAGATTTAATTTGCATTTTATCAAGTTCCTCTTGTAATACAGTTATACGTTTGGTCAATTGTTGATTTCGAAACGATAAACTGTCTAATTCTTGTTCTGCTCTCCGAAGTTCTACTTCCTTCTCCTTCACCTGTTCCCGGAGATCTACATTGCGTGTTTGTTCGTCGATCACAGCTTTCTTTAAAACATTTGCTTGGGCACGAATCTACAATATGAATTTTCTGATAAGGTTGCGCACTAACGAATCTCATATTGTAATAAAAACAAACATGATGCACACAAATGGGAATAATCAATATTAAAACAAAAAACAACAAATTATAAATTTTCTGAAAGTATTTACATTGTGTAGACGTATACTATACATTTTTTTCTTACTTTTGAATATTCTGTGGCAATCTTTTGGTATTTCGTCTGTAGTTGTCCATTGACACCCTCCATAATGTCCTGATTCCTTTCTTTTTTAACGTATTATTACGACCTTGTGTGATAATTATGATAAATTGTTCATTTTTATGTTTGTCATAGTATAGTGTCCCCTGACAGGAAACGCATACTATTGTGTATCACTTCGAACGCAAACGTCAAATGTCAATGAGAAATTAACGAACAACCGTAGCAAACTACATGAAGGACAAATGTTGTGCGCTCATATACTAAACTTGAAATGGAATCTCGTACATAAGAATACGTATGAACAAAACGCCCCCAATACGATATACTTTTATGTGAAATTCTATATTCAATGCCAACTGATCATCAATTTTCAAGATACTTCACTGAAGAGAAGTTGGTTACTAGTCGATTTACAAATCGAATATACAATTTATCGATACTTTATGAATTATTAATAACAATTTCAAATTACACATATCTCTAGATAATATCATATACGAAATATAGTTCATGGTATTCGAATAAGTATTGGATTGAAAAATATCTTGTTTTGTAACTTTAAAGAACGAAACTTTTAAATAACGATAGTGTAAGAAAATATTTCTTTTTCTATTTTTACAAATTTTCAAGACACAGTAATAACAAACGCTTAAATTTGTTATTCAGAATTGTTAACTAAATAATTATTGTAGATTGTCATTGCAATTTAGAACTCTCGACTCTCTATCTTAGTCTCTCTCACTCCTCGTCTGTTTTCAATTTCTATCGCAGTCGCATACGTTGTCTCCAAGAAGACGAACGTCATTCGTTCTTCATTCTCATGATACAAAGACGCTGCTAAATATAATAAATACAATACCAAATAAAAGTATTGGCATTGGCACTGATTATGTTTTATAATATAATCACCAGTAAATTGGTAACACAAGATATTTTATTAAATCTTGTTTTAAAATACTGTCATAAGCTTCTAAATTGTGTGTACAGAAATCTAGAAAAATCGAACAATTGCGCGATTAATAATTATAGAAAATGTACAAATTATTTTTAGCGAAAAAAAGTATTGGCACCTTTGCAAATTTAATGTTTGTATGAAACATCGATGTAAATATTTATAATGTTGGCATGACTGTCGTATCCAGGGAAGTCCTGGTACTCCTGGTAGGTGTAGTCAGATTTGATATAATTGATCGTGTTGACGGCTGTCTAGTAACGACGAACTTCCTTTAGCGCCTAATGGAGTGGTGAAGAGAGCAGATACATACGAGAAAGAAAGCGTATATGAGCCTTTCTTTGTCGCTCTAGAATTATCCCTAGTCCCTAGTCGTTGCCGCCATGTTTGCAGACGGTGTCCATTCTTGTCAAGAATTTCTTGACCGATTTGCTTATTTTTCTAAACAACAAGTCTGAGCCTTTTAAAAGTAAGAAGTCGTATATGCCGTACTGTCGTTTGCCATTGATTTGACTGTTGTTTCGAAAACGACAAAGATCTACTGTCTGGTAACACTGATTGAGATGAGTCGTCCTGTCCTTGGACAGGTCGAAAACCCCGATTTAGCATGGACATAGGAATATAGGGACGGAGCAATGGTCGAGGGGGGGAAGCAGCTCCGGGGAGCTGCAAACTATGGTCACGTGGTACTCTGATGCCGCATTGGCGATTGGTTGTGATAGCGCAAGCGCAATCTTATTCTCATCGAGTAAGAGTGAGTGAGAAGCAGTGTAAAAGGCAGTGAAAGAGTAGACTGGTATTACTGTGAGCAGTAGCGTCAGTGAATTATACAGTTTTTTTTCTAAAAAAGACAGATATATATTTGTTTTTACAATGCTTAGATTAGATTTGCTTTACAATGTTAAGATCAATATGTCATAGATATATTAAGATTAGATTACATTACATTGCGCAACAAGCAATAAATACGTCAGTGAGTATGCGACAGGTGTTTAATAAGCTTATCTTGTTTAATGGCCAATAATTGTACATATAATATATAATAAAATTGAAAGAAGGAATTGTTATGAAAATGATTGATAATACACCCTAATCTCTTTATGCAATAGAAAAATAGATATTAACAGTTGTATAATTTATTAAAGGATAAATTACCAATATTTAGGGTATTAGATTAACATTTTATAATAAAAATTTTAATATTGCATTATAAGACTATGACCAATATTTAACTCTACGATGGCAAGTTATATGTTGCAAAATTCGTTAAATCATATTCTTAAGTCGAAAAAAGTGAAAGATAACCTTGTAGTTATATCTATCTATTCCTAAATAGTCATGTTTTATTTATTGACAGATCTCATCAAATAATAATGCAAACCGCACTGAATTCATTGCGTAGTTGCAAATTTAAATATCAAACGAAAGTAATAAAGATTTTTCATATCTATAGATTCAAACTTTTAACCATTTAATTCTGACATCTCAATCACCATTAACATTTCAGTATGTTGATTTATAAATAAAACATTTTGTGTCTCTGGTTTACTAAAAATATTCTATCGTACATTTATAATTGTAAAGAAACTAAAGCTTTCATTTTTAAATTTCGCGCATTTAGGCTAGCACCAATCACCAATGCGGCACCAGAGAGTACCACGTGACCGTGATTTCCCCCCGCAAAGCTGCTTCACTCCCCTCGCCAACAGTCGCAACTATTGCTCCGTCCCTATATTTCTATGTCCATGCGATTTAGTTGATATTCTCCAACAGCTGAACGGCAACTTTGGTAGCGATGACGATGCGGTGAACTTCGAGAAAATGGGCGAAGGAGTTAACTTGGACTTAAGATGGGTCAACAAGTACCCAACCCGATGACCATCTGATGATAGGCACAGTGATACCTTGTAAGTCAGTGTATATTTGTTCAGACGAATTGTATATTATACGATATTTCTTAAATAATATTTTAGAAATTTCAATCATATTTTTTACATTCGCTCATACAATAAAACATTTGTTTTTGTAATCAATCTCTTGTATATAAATAATATAATCTATTATAATACCGTTCTGCATCGTATTGCTCGCTTTAACGATACAAAATGTTCGTGTTATATTATAACAAATTTTTTACAATATTTTGTAGATTTATAGAAGACTTAACGACTAACTTTTATATTCACATTTAATATTTTTCATATTTTCAAATTGATAAGACTTTCTTACAATTATAATTTGAAGAATACATTATGGATGATGCAATAATGTACAAAGCAGCGTGGCATTGTCTTCAAAGTTATTAGATTGACACAATTGAATATAAATATGAAATAAAGAGTCAATTTCATAAAGATCACAAAAATAATGTACACACGCGGCGACATCGAAATACGTGGTCTTTTGATAGTGTATTCTACTCTTCCTTTCCGAGAAATTACTTCGTTTTTTATGACATTGACTCTTACTTGCATTAAGCGACTTGACATAAATAAATAACATGCATATCTGTCCTTATTATTAAATAATAATAGTTGGCTACTTAATCGAAACCGTATGTTGCGTAAAAAAATATCTTTGTCACCTAGTATTTACGCACTTGATGGCACGATTACTCGGAGAACAATCATAAATTAATCTTAATATATCTCATCAATAATGTTCAACTCCTATGAAATTTTGCAAAATTGTTTAAACTACAATAAACTTTCGCTTCTATTATATCATAAATGTATATTATGGTTCAACGAACAAAGGATAAAATTTGTTTAAACTGACAAAACATTTGTAATTGATATAACACTAAACTCATTTCTTTCTTTATCATGGTATTTGCAAATTAAAAAAAAAAACTTTAGTTTTAGTATATTCTTCGTATTTCGAAAACGTAACTTATGTTTCACCAGGAATTTCAATAATGTTAACATTTTTTCGAGCTATAAATAATTTTTTACCTTTGGCGAAAGTAACCCTAAAGTAGTTAAATTTGCAATTACGTATACAAAAAAAATTGCACAAACGGAAGTTTACTGCGTTACTACGTAAAATTATGTTAATATAACAAAATTTCATTTACCTTGGTAAAAGCTAAAGATTCATGTTAAATATGTTACAAATATCGTAACATCATTAAAATTCGAATTTTGCGCGAATTTAGTTTTCATTTATCGTACATCAAAAGAAACTTCCTTTTGCAATCTTTGCCAGATACGTAACACAAAATGTTACGTCATCAAGCGCGTTAAGGTACTACACGTTTTCTTAATAAATAAATATCTTAATTTTCATAAATAAAATATAAAAAAGCTAAAGATTATTAACGGAAATAATTTGGTTGATCCAACCAATAAACGCCGAAACTTTGACGTAAACGCCAGGAACATCCAGTCTTCCACAACCAAAACCCCATGAAACAAGTCCAGCCAATTCGTAGAATCCATCATCTTGGCATACTAGAGGACCTCCTCCGTCCCCCTAAATATTAAAATATCGCGATTGTGCAAATGTTCATATAAGAAATTAATCTATATATTTGATACGCTTAAATTCTTCAAGGAATTTTCTTTTAAAATTTTAACAAAAATTGGATTTTGGATTATGCATTGTCAATTTGGACTGTACTTTAAAGTAATAAAATATACTTTTAAATGAGTTGTGGATAATTAATAATAAGGTTAAAGTCCATTAACATTCGAAGCACTATCTGTTTCGCTACAATTAAAATATTTAACAATAATTATTACCTGACATGCGTCATTCCCTTGTTCCCCGCCAGCGCAAAAACTACTTGCTGGTAAGATAAAGATCTTCTCGGTTACAGCATTCACTTTTCTTATACATTCTGCATCGCTCACGATTGGTATTTCAGCTTCGCGTACTCTGAGAGGGATGGGGCCAGCTGTACACATATATACATAAACAACTATTAAATATCTTGTTAATGCATTATAAAAAAGTTACCACTTTAAGTTAAACTTGAAAATAGAATAACGTCGCTATTTCCTTCGCTGTTATTAATACCGTCATTTACATTACATATTTCTTTTATAAATAACGCAACAACAATGTGCATTGTATCGTGCATAGAATGTTTGCCTATCTCTCGAAGAAAATTTAAGGGGTGATTCTAAACACCAAAATAAGAAATATAACAAATGTTAGATCTGTTCTTGAAAATTCAGTCCCGGTTGATGAAGCAGAACTCAAATATGGATGATGTTAAAAATAAAAGTTTTTAATGTAAAAATTTACCTTCCCCCATGTATCCATAACCGGTAACAGTGCATCGTTTACCAGCTGTATGGCTAACTCCTCTTGCAGGTAAACATACAAGGCAAACGCCATCTTTAAGCTCTGCTTGCCCGTGGAGTTTTAACAATGCAATATCGTTATCTAAAGTTTGACTGTTATGATTATGATGAATATAAGTTGTTGCCACACGTAAAGTCTGAGCACCGGGACTCCCATATTTTCGAGTTAAATCATGATCGCCAACTCTCACGTAAATTGCGTCCCCGGATCTCACGATGCTACAAATAAAAATGGGATAATCTTAATGTAATAGTTATTAGTATTCCTATAATTATTCTATCTACATCTAGGTGTAATTATTATTATCATGTGATAAATATATACTAATAATTTTAAAGATATATGGAAATAAGTTTAGTAATAATAGATCATACTTTGTAACACAATGTGCTGCTGTAAGAACCCATTGAGTTCCGATGAGCGCGCCTCCGCAGAGATATTGATTAAGGGAATTAATCAAAGCAACTTGCCAACACCATTCATTCGCATCTGCATCTTCTCCCCCAACAACACGTGCTCCTCTATCCAAGCTACGAGCTTGGATCGGTCCGCGAGAAGTGCCTTTTACACCACATACATACTTACTGTACACAGGACTTCTCATAGTTGTTGTCATCGTTGTTGTTTCATCTACAAAGATAATAATGTCTCTTTAATTTTATATGAGGAAATACGCATACTAACATAAATTTTATTATGTGATTTTAAATACAATTATAGATATATTCTTTTGGCACATTCACTGACATACTGAAAAATAATGCAGAACATAATTAAATAATTATATATCAACTGATTGTACAGTAAAAGTTTCGATGGAAAAATGGTTGTAGTAAAAATACGTATTATTATACAATAGTTACTTGTACAATAAAATACAAGTAAAAAACTTGCTGTTTTATTTTGTATCTTACATATTGTCGTTGTAGGTAGCGTTGTATACGGTCTCGATGTAACATACATGGTATCGTTTCTATTAGTCAAAATTGGCTCGCTCGAATTTCCACTACTGAATTCTCGAATCAACGATTTTGGCGCGCAACACTGACGTCCTTGTTTCTTGCATTTGAATAAATTCGTCAGTTCGGCATTTCCTGCAAGAAAATTAATGCAAAATATATCTTATACTTGATTTGATTATGACAGTTTGATGTTGTATGGACCCAGTCGTATTAATTATTAATGTGCTTTCTTTAAAACTGATGGCTTGATATAATCAGTTTCTGTTAAACTGAAATAGAAAATGTAAAAATATAATACTTACTGAAACAAGTGAAAGATAAATAGGAAACGATACAGGATCCTGGGCACTCTTGGCGAGGATCTGGTGGCAAAGAAACAGTTGTAATTTGTGGTCTCGGTGTGGGTCTTGGCCTCGGCCTTGGAGTCTGATACGAAGAAGATGGTGTCACTACGCTTACTCTCTACGCGTCAACGTTTAATTTCAGTTTTTCTTTTTTTCTACACACATTATCTTACTTGCCTTAATTCATTCGTTCCCTTGAAAGGGTTCTACTGAAAACAATAAATAGAATCACCTGCGGTGAACTTTTCGTGTTGTCGCAACAGATTGACCCAGACTGGCAGGTCGTTGTCTTTGCTATTATCAGATTCGGTCGTTCACAGAATGCCGCCATAATGGTCAACAAGCAAAATCCAGGACACGGTTGTAACTTTGGCTGTGGTGATTTCGTGGTGGGTCGGACTGTCGTCGTTGTTTCCTAATTGTTCAAAATTATTTCTATAATATTAGAATTGTTACTTTGTAACTATTAATTTAATCGAGAATTCGATAAATATTGCACACTCTTCGTTTTCGAAGATTTTAAGGTCACTTTTTAAACGAAACGATGGATTCAATCAAATATCTGATTGTAAGATATTTAAACTTCTTACCGTTTTCAAGAATGCATCGATGATGCAACAGGATCCATCGTCGGGGCATTCGGCTTCTCCATCTACTTTGTCGCAAAGAAGCGCGAAAAATCCGCTAACGCATTCGCCCTTGCACGGTTTTTTCGGTGTAATTTTTGGTCTCGTCGTGGTCGCTGGTTGTTTCGTCATTATATCGGTGGTAGCCGCTGTGGTTGTAACTATGCTTGTAGAGACAGACGTGTTTGGTCTCGCAGACGTGGAAGATGGAGGGCCCTTGTACGACGTGCTGACACCAGTTTTCTCGTCGAAACGACTCGAATTCGTTCTGTCAATCACCAATAATTCAGGCGGCGGAGAATCTCCAAACGCGTCTCTAGATACGCAACATTTGTATCCTGGTTTGCATAGACTGTCTATTACGAGAACAGCATCGCAGTAATCGGCTATTCTCTCGGCCATGCAAATTCCAGTACATGTTTTCGCTGCAGAAAATTATTGCTACTTAAACTTTTTTAATTTCTTTACTTACAACTGAATGAAACGTGAACTTTTTCTTGATTTTTTAACTGTCTAGTTATGACCATATATTCAGAAAATAGCATTTTCTTGTACTTATAATGGGCCATCTAGTAATTGTATTTTAAAAATGAACCTATTTTCTTAATAAGTTATGACACTAAGGAGGACATGTATTTAAAAGATTCCTTACACAAACAATAGCTCTTATGCTTGTTTTATTATATGTATAATTTGCTTCACTTCGTTTGTGCTTCTAAATTATCTGTTATTAATAAAAACAAACAACAATGTTTTTGACAGATGTAAGTTCTTCCAATCGTGATCACCGATTTATATTTTAATACAGAACCGGATATTGCTAGTGATAGCAATCGTTATTAACACTTCTGGTATTGGCGAAAGTGGAGAAAAAATAGTGAGGTCATATTTACCGCGCCCGTTATCACAGCTATTTCGCGATGGACTATGCTTTCACTTTGGAATAAGAAATCTCGTACGATATTTAAAAAAACTAAAAGTCGATCGATTGTTACTAACAAAATAAACCCTTTATCGCACATAACAGTTTTAAGCTATCAATTTGAAGCTAATTCATATCACTGACACAATCTAAAATTGTAGTTTCATTTTAGTTTTCCTATAAGAAAATAACGCTAACTTTATTTTCAATAAATTATAATTGTTAGACTGGAAATTTGATGAAAATGATCTTGAAGGTGTTAACAGTAAAAACGTACATGTATCAAAAATTACTTCGCTTAAAAAGAAACTTTTACAATTTTTATTTGTTATTCGTGAATAAAATTTGACACAACTACTAGAAGCAATTATAATTGTTACAACTTTTTGCCTGGGGCATCTGATGATCAACATTTCATATATGGATATATTTGTTGTAAGAATATGATAATAAAAACATACTGTTCCAAGAAGCATTTGAAATTTAAAAGAAAATAACATTTAAAAAAATAACCTCCATTATAATATTTCTCTCCTGGAAACGATTAACTTCTGTCTCGAATATTTGTATCGTATTGTTAATAACAATATAGACATTTTAGATTTGCAAACGAAGCGAAATATTCAGTATATTTTCAATGTGTATAATAGTCCTGTAATTAACACAGATTTCTTCAGTTTCTTACAATCTGTATTTGATTCTACTTCGTTATAAAAATGATCAACATTCTCTAAGGATGAAATTAATATACCGTCGTTGAAAGTAAAAGGTACATACTCGATGTTTTGTTGACTGTTTCCATCTGATTATCCTGGAAAACAAATAAAACATACTCGAATTCCATACTTCTATCTTTCTCGTAAAATATCTACTCAAATCTTCATACGCGTATTTTTAACATATTCAATTTGTTCATACACAGCGTAAAAATAATTTTAGGGGACTCGAAAATTCAACAAATTTTATACTACAAATATTAACATTTTCTTTTATAATATTCTTATACATAGAATGAATGGAAAATGATGAAAGGCTGTTTGAATTAATATTATAAGATAAGTCCAGGAGAGTTCGATCACTTTTTGTAGAAAAGATCATAGTATTGCTATTTTTCTTCCTTTCTGTTAAAATATTGGAAACATTTTGTATCCGCTGAGAGTTCCGTTTGAATGAAAAATTATTCTTGACGACTTACAGAGGTGGTTTTTGGCGTGGCCATCGACGATACAGTCGTAGGTGGTGTAGTTGTCGAAAGTGTGGTCGTGTTTGGAGCTGTCGTCGTTACAGTCTTCACAGTAGTGATTGCTGTTGATACCAAACTATCGTCATCTACATCGTTTTCAGAACTCGCGGTACCGTTTATTGGTGCTTCGATGCAACATCGCATACTGGTAGGGCATTGTACATGCTCGAGAACTTCGTAACATATTAATGTTGCAAACGCATGCACACATACCCCTGGACAGTCCGCGCTGTTGGCTGTACTTGTTATGGAGTCTAATAAACCTGCACAAACGAGATATTCGTGATATTAGGATGTCTAATAAATACCTTCACGTCCAGAGCGGTACTTTTATACTTTATCACAAACTTTAACTACATCACCGGTTTTCTTTAGAATAGAATTTTTAGAAAAGAAGTTGTTTTCCACCGCGATACAAGTTTTTCGCTCCAAATTAACTTTTCTGCAAATTAAATTCGTCCTGTTACGAATAAAGTTTTTCTAGAAACTTGTTTTCTTATACCATTTTAACGAAGATCAAATTTTATTGCATGTATGTAATAATACTTACAAGGAACCATCGCGAACGGTCCGGCTTCGATTTTGATGAAACTTTGTACACTTATAAGGCAGCCAAAAATAATCGACACGTATTTTTTTTTAGCAGCGGTAACTCGAGTTTAAGGGGTGAAACCACCCCTTGAAGTTTTGGCTCGAAACGGCTATCTCGAAAACGGAAAGACATACAAAAAAATTGTTAATGGGCGAGGTTGATGGTTTCTTATGTACAATAACATGGTATTAAAAAATTTAAAAAAATACAATTTGTTTATAACAAAAAAAAATTTATTAACTTAATTTTTCATTTTATTGAAATTTTCATAATGACAAAAAATGACGAGCATTTTATTCCAAATCCACTGGTATGCGATTTTTTAAAATTGCCTCCTACAGTTTTGCAAATTTTGATGATTTACATCTTGCGCGCACATCCATTATGGTAGTAGCCGTTCTAACTTTGATTTTAATGAAGCACTGTAGGCTTGCACTACTTCCAGAGGACAAAATCGGGAAAAATACAAGAATACCAATTTGTTGATGGAGGCTTCGTTAAGAAATTATTAACGTTTAAAGTTCCGCCCGTACTGAATTTTTTTCTCCGAAATGCCCAAGATTTCGGGGGAATGTGTAATGACCAAAAATGATTGTAATCGACCCCTGCAACCGAAAATAATTTTTTCAGAATGGTTTGAAATTTTTTAATTTTGTTGAAAAATTTCACACATTCTCGAATTTTTTTCTCAAAAGTGCGTAGGATTTCGGGGGTATATATATTGACCAAAAATGATTGAAATTGACTCCCGCAACTGAAAATAATTTTTTTAGAACGATTTGAAATTTTTTTTTTTCGCTGAAAAATTTAGGCACCTACGCCCTGTCGATTTTTCTTAAAAATTCGTTTTTCATTTTTAATAATTTTGTTTGACGCCCTACAAGAAAGTTGGCCAATACTTTTTTGTAGGTACCTATGAGCTCTACTTGAGAAAAAAGTTTCATTGAAATATATTCACTATTGTAGGAATTATGGCTGTTTGAAGATTGGACCATTTTTATGGGGGTTTTCTCATTTTGCGGGGTCAAGGATCAACTTTTTGCATATTGTGCAAGCCTACAGTGCTTCATTAAAATCAAAGTTACAACGGCTACTACCATAATGGATGTGCGCGCAAGATGTAAATCATCAAAATCTGCAAAACTGTAGGAGGCAATTTTAAAAAATCGCATACCAGTGGATTTGGAATAAAATGCTCGTCATTTTTTGTCATTATGAAAATTTCAATAAAATGAAAAATTAAGTTAATTTTTTTTTGTTATAAACAAATTGTATTTTTTTAAATTTTTTAACACCATGTTATTGTACATAAGAAACCATCAACCTCGCCCATTAACAATTTTTTTGTATGTCTTTCCGTTTTCGAGATAGCCATTTCGAGCCAAAACTTCAAGGGGTGGTTTCACCCCTTAAACTCGAGTTACCGCAGCTAAAAAAAAATACGTGTCGATTATTTTTGGCTGCTTTATAAGTGTACAAAGTTTCATCAAAATCGAAGCCGAACCGTTCGCGATGGTTCCTTGTTAGACAGAAAATAGCATAAAATAAAAACATTAAAAGCATCGATTGGTCTAAAACAATAAGTACATAAAATATATATGTATATACATATTTTCATTGTCTAAACAATATCAACAGTGGATGACGATGCAGTAGAACGGAGGATAGTTTGAGTACTAGATGATGGAATATTAAACAATATCCGTATGTCAACTTGCTTCATAATTTTCTTTACCGTTTATTAAAAAACTTAATTTCGAAGAATATGCAGATTCATTATAATGTTTACTAGACTAATAAATGTTACAAAAAAATAAGCGATGTTAGTCGAAACGAAAAACAAATTCATAAAGAAATTGGAAATTTTTGGTGTTTTTACAATAAAAGCGTAAGTTCGAAAATTTTTAAGCAATTAAATCGAGTTACATTTTAAATAGAAATTTTAATCATACTTAAATCACTTACGTCATAATAATAGTAACGATTGTTTAAATGTACTGTAAAGCTATTTTATACTTTTGGCGGTAAAGTTTATCTACGATGAATAAAACGTCTATCATAAATTCTCAACAGTAACTGTATATCGAGTGCAGGTGCGTAGGTACCGTGAGTCGAGAGAAATTCCTGCATACGTAATCCTACGCTCCACTTATAAAACAAAATGATCAAGGATGACTAAACTTGATCTTGACAGTCGGTTGATCTTGAATTGCAGTTAGTGATTTCATCCACTGTCCTTCGTAAATAGTTCGGTTTTACTTCTATTGTATTTCTCATTCTCTACATTTGTAACTCTCTGCCTCCCCCATAGTTGCGACTCATTTTTGTTTCCTTTTGATTACGTAGGTCGTGGCAGAAAATCACTGTTCTCCATTTTTTAATACACGACATGTGATTTTCGACAAAAACCGTTTTACTAACAAATAGTAATTTTTTTGATAACAAATAGTAATTAAATAGTAGTTACTCTGAAGTCTAATTAGATTTTATTTTACTTGCATTGAGTTTATTTTTGTTGAGCATCTCGAACGATTTTTTCCGTAGACTTTTTTTGTCATGTTTTATAACATTCAAAGATTTTTAAAGTTTTATCGTTATTTTAATCGAAGTTGCGTTCTAACGTTTAGGCTGTTTGAACTCAACTAAGTGGCGCAGTTAGGGCATATGTTTGCAAAACGCTTTTTAGCGTCCATAAAGAAAACCCTACGAAAGTTTATTAAAAACGATTGCATCTTGGCCTTTTGTGATGCATGAGCAAATGTGCTGCAGAAAATTTGCACGAACGATAGCGTAAGCTTCTAGCTCTTCATTTTGACAGGCATAACGGCCCAAACAAACATAACGGTAGTTAATTAAACGGCTCGACTCCATCGCATAGCTACCTTCGGTACTACGTGTGCCTCTCCCAACGTAATCGCTTTAAGACGACACGACAAACGTACGTAAATCTACGGTCCATCGCCAAAGTCTACGCACGTTTGAAAAGGTTTAAGTTGTCTTATTGAAACATTCGATTATTTTATTTTGCCTATTTTCCCATCAATAAACCTCACGTTTCCGATAACGTTTGACCCTGTACGGGCTCATAACATAACGGTTCCTCTAACATGTTTCACTGTCGGGCAAATGCTACCTTCCTAGTTTTCGTTTGTTTCTGTACAATTTGTTTCTGTCTGGAGATAAATTAATGAATAGAGTAACGGGTTATAGGATATAGTTATATTAAAAATGGCAAGTGTCACAAATACAGTCTAAAATATAATTAATTATTTATAATTGCATTAAATATTCTCAAAAATTCAAGAATAAATTTTATTCCTTATTTGTGTTTCATTGTCAATACTTTCATAATTGCTGAAATTCCCTGGGATAACAGTATCAGAAATTAGAAAGCTACTAGCAACATTGTATATGGTCACTTATTTTATTCCAACTGGTAATAATTATTAAATTTATAATTTATATGAACTCTCGATGCTAGAGACCTTTAAGCAAGTTTTTTAATTCACCTACATACGTATTACCTAGTTGTTGATATAATAATAACTGCACTAAAACATTAATAAGGAATACAATTTATTCCTCGACTCGTTCTTTATTTTCTTGATTTGTGCAAAACATGACAATGTGAACTTTACGTTAATTATTTCTACATATTTCGATATTTCATCGCCATTGGCCACGAAGTTGAGCAAGATTTTGTCTGTTTCCGATATTCGCAACCGGATGGCCATCGATAGCACCGTTAGCTGCTCGATACTGAAGTTTTAACTTACGTACTGTAAAGCAGAGACTGAAAACGTTCCGAAAATAACTATTTCAAACTGTTACGTATCGGTTTTATATCGATTTTGTATTAGAGATGTTCGATCATCTTTAAAGAATTTTGCAAGAATCGATCTAAAATTTCTTTTTTAATTTACACACTAGAAATTTCGCAGCTTTAATAACAAATTTGTAATTAAAATAATAGTAATTAGTAATAAATTATATTCTATAGTCGTATAAATAAGCTTTTTAATTTTTGAATAAATAAATTTTCTAACAGAAACACCAATAAAAATCATTTCTACAATTCATGAGAGGTTAAAATTTCTAATATGGAAGAAAGGGAAAATCGATTTTCGATTTCCAGGAAAATCTACTGGTAGCAAATCGACTCGAAAAATCGAAATCGAACGTCTCTATTTTACTATATCTTCTATATTTTACTATTCACTTCCATTTCAATTTTATATCGGTTTTATACCGATTCACAAAGGTTTCTAAATTTGTATCTATTCTTTTCTGAAGTCTACATTGATTTGAAAAGGGTTTTGAAAATAACTGTTAATAACTGATATATTAAAAAATGGATCTGAAATTCTTAAGAGTTTTTAGTAGTCATCTAGTAGTCAATTTATATTTTAAAAGCAATTCTTTCAATATAAAACCCATTCTTCGTATCAATGGACGTTTCATACCGTGATAAGTGTCCTTTCGTAACTCAAGTAAACAAGGTAAATGAATTAGATTCAAAAACACGATCGTTAAAATCTGTCAACACAAGGTTAGTTCTGATAAATAATCAATATCGAATCAATACGAAATCAATAAAAAACCGGTATAGTCAGAAGCTAGAAACGGAATCGATATATGCTACAACCTTTCTCATTCATAACAGTTATCATATCATTTAAATTCCCATAACTGTTTCGAGAACCAAAACCGATATCATAACAGTTTTAAAACCCTATTCTAAAGTCAAGATCGATCAATCTGGTGATTAAGAATTTTGATATTTTTCAGAATATCAATATCGTTTACATTAAATTCGACAAACTAACTTTACTAATATTATTTTCAATTTTTAACCATTTTATTACTAATTATTTAATTACGTATATGGGATAGTAATTTATTTTTAATTTTAATTAAGGGGCCATTCTATCTTGTGGGCACGAAAAATACATGTTTCTTTGTGATTTTTTTTTGCGGGCTATTAAAGAACGATTAATTCCGGGTTTTCTAGATGCATTTATTATATATTTAGCTACATTTACGAATTTTTGCAACGCATAATATCTATTGATTACGCTGTTTTTGTTGATCAACAAACAACAGTTTTTACGAACGGCGCCCGACTGCGTATGTGATATCTTGCGAACAAGTTATCCGAAATCCAAAACCCAACGATATTCTTAATATAGATGAGTGTAGTTATAGCATGAACTAGGATCTTTCAAAAAAAACAAAAAATGGCAAAATGGCAGCTATTTTGCGAAAAAATACCAAATATTTTCATATACTCTGTTGCTTTTTTGTTAATAAAAGAAAAAGTATTGCATATATCGCAATTATCCTAGTTCATGCTATAGGGAGACCAGTTCCAAAGATACTGTATAAATTTCATGCTGATATCTTGAATAGTTTTTTTGTTATCACATATGCAGAATCGAAAAATGTAGTTTCGAGAAAAACAGCTTTAAAGTTTCACGTCCAGTTGTTATACCTTTGTTAGTTTTCCGAATTTCAATTTAATATTTGGTAGATATATTTTCGAGACTACATGCTAAAAGAAAATGCACAAAAAAATTCAATTTTTTTATCCCACAAAGTAGAAAGGCCCCTTAAATTAAATATCTGATATTTTGGGAAAGTTTTCGATAAACGTTGAATAATTGCTGGTGCCAATATTACACTACTCTAGTAATTATTGCCCAAGCCTTTCATTTTAATGAACTTCTTCTACGCTTTCGTTTCAGCATGAAAAATTTCTCGAGGAAGTTACGAACACGTTAATGGTTTATTGGTAACAGTTTTATAGCATATACAGATAATTACAATATACATTAAAATTGCACATGATTCAAGTTTAAGTATTACTATAATTAAACTTTTAGTAATGTTCAAGTACATGTTTCAAACAAATATTATATTATAAATGCTAATAAATATGTAACTATTATTTTATATATAACGAAGAAACTGAACTTTGAAAAATATAAATTAATACCGTGATCCATTTGTTTATAACAAATAAATTTTAGTAATTAAATGTATAAGAAACATAATTAATCGACATATTAGCGTATCCATCCAATTAAAAGACATTAAAATAATAATTAAATTCTTCCTGCTATCGATTACATTAATATTTGTAAAATATTGCACTACTTTTCAAATTCCCACTTAGGCAGTAAAGCGTAAAAATTTATGCGACACGAATTACATTAGATTAATTCGACACACTATAATTTCAACATACAAAATGAATCCTTTTAACGAGGACATGTAAATTAAAATATTTGCAAGTATTTGTCATACTATAATTATAATAGGAAAAACAAATTACATTAAACATATAAAGATTTCTCGATAACAGAATGAACTTTTAAAAAAATTACTATCTTCGCTTAAAACATTTTTCCAATTGTTTAAAAAATTGATAAATCTATTACCACTTGACAAATCTAATTAAAAAAAAGTAACTTTTGTTGGAAAACTTTCTTTCTATCATTTATAATTTGCAAGTTACAAAATAAAATCAACAAATAACTGAATTTCTAGGAGTTAATTTCAAACCCTCACATATGCGGTATGTATATCCAAAGTTTCACGATTTTCTGAATTTTCGGGTTGAAGATCTTCCCTTATTAAAATTGTTTACATTAGATTATCAAATATTTCTATAATTTAATATTTATAATACTACTAATATTTTTCACATTATAATTCAAACAAATGTCGAGAACGTTTTTAGATATGAAAAACTGATATAACGGTTGATGTGTGAAAAAAGAATTTCTCTTGATTTGTTTGTTGCATATTATTATGAAAATGTTTGGATAAAGTATGGCAAGTTGAGCAAATAATTTTATAGACATTTTAATTCGTTACTCAAACAATAATTGAAATTTCGAAACCGAACTTCTATTAAAACCTGTACGGATCAGTTTAGAAGATAATTAAAGGATTTCGTGATTATATGTTGAGCAATCTTCAATTCATGCAATTACAGATAAACATTCCTAACTTGGTTTTATTACTAGTACGGACGTTCATAATTGAAATACTTAATTGTATAGAACGGCAACATCATCGTAAATTAATGGATGGTTAGGGATCAATATTAATTAACATTGTTGTTTATTAAAAACTAAATAATCCAACCATGAAGCGATTAAACTACTCGTATAAAACATCTCCAATCCGTTCGTGTTTTCTTTCGGAGTGTAAAGTTTTCTAAGTACACTTAAAAACAATTTTTAGTGGGTTTTTAAGTAAACTATTCAAACTAGATTATTAAGATAGTTAAATAAAAGTGAATGTTTTATTTTCAAATACTTCGTAAGCTATTCACACTTTTCAATATTCTTGAAAGTATTTGTAATCTTTAATCAATTCAAGTAAAGTTCAAACATTTTTTAAATATACTTTTAAAATTACTAGTAATAATCTTTTTAGATATATTTTTGCACAGTTACATTTATATACAATCATCTTTATTATTATTTAAATAATTTCACGTGGCCTGCGGTTTGGTATTTTAAATGGCTGCCATGATTTGTGTTGTATTCACCCGAACTAAGAAATTCGAAAACGATTTTAATTTATGTACCAGTAACACCGTATATAAAGTAAAAAATTATAAAATGTCTAACTTCTTCAGACAATAAAAAAAAAAAACTATTATCAATATTGGCACAATTTTGATTCACGCGATCAATTATTCAATATGTGTGTCAAATTTAAAGAGCCACGGAATCACGGCAGCCATTCAAAACAATAGACTGCAGGAAACATGCAATAACTTAAACAATAATAAAGGTTATAGAGAAATGACTAAAAACATGAGAAAAATTTAAAAATCCTGGCTCTATAATTATACATGTAATAATCCTTTAATAATTCTTTTAATAACTCTTTAGTTTAAAAATCGTCTAAAGTCGACGTCCCTAAGTGTGAATACTCCTTTAACGATTGTAATGTCGCTCCAATTCGTAATTGCTAAATAAAATGTGTTGATATCTTTAAGTTAATTATCTATTAAAATTACATATTTTCCAAGCATTAAATTCCGAAATTCGACACATAAACAATCCTTGGCTGTATACGTATTTAAGACAACGTGTGCTATTTCTTATTTCTCTGGTCATACGTACGAGCTACGATTACTACATAGTTACGCGTATGTGTATCATTGCACACTTCTCAAGTTTACCTTCTCACCAACGGTGGATTGAACGTTCGTTATCCGTATTGCGCTGTGCGACTCCTAAGTGGGACAAGTCGCATCCTTCTAGATACGACCTGTACGCAGCGTACGTTTGCAAACGCGAATTTCTATTTCTCGAAACCTCCGCTACTACGAACTGATTATATTTACAGTCATTTTCTGTTAAGTCCAACGACCATCCACAACTCTAGTCGACGAATAGTTAAAAATCATTTGATGATTTCTTGCGAATTCCTTACGCGGGTCTTTTTTTTTAACATAAAAATCAATCTTTGCTTAAACAATAGATTTCCTATCTAAGAATTGTACTCATAACAAGATCGGAATTCACCATGGAATTAATGTCTTACGTTTATCAAAATTATGTAACACTAGTTTTAGTTTGGAAATTTAACTTTTTGCATTAAATTTCTATACGGGGCAGAACAGAAGAAAATCACTGAAGTAGAAAATTATTAAAGGAAAACATTCTTTCAAAAGTTATCAGTGAATACTAAGAAAAAAGACAGGCTTCACTTTTAAAGAAATAACAGAAATATACGAATCAAATTATCTAGAAGTTTACTTCTTGCTATCAGTTAATAACAGCGGATTACAGTTATATTGGGTGCTTATCTAAGTATAGTTTACCGGGAATCATAATATATAACAAAATTATCGGCTAAAAGCAAAACTAAGTGTCGTAGTTCATTGATTGAAGCGTTACCATCATAGTGGATTCTCAAGTAGCGAAGTTTCACAGCAGAACCTTATCAACCCATTAGCTACCATTTTTCAAACATAAATCAAAGCATCAGCAAAAATATTACCATTCAAAATAAATATTAAACATAAATGAAAATTAGAAATATTCAAAAAGAAAAAAGAAAATATTTTTAGCAAATGCTCAACTTTAATAGATAAAACGACATACGTGATGTTCGTCGCAGATAAAAATAAGTTGTTGATTTACCTGAAAAGAAGCTACCAGCCAGTGAGTCGTCGTCCTGAGCAGCGATCGATCCCGTAAGTAGGAGAAAAAGGACGATGCCCCGGGGGACTGTTCTCAGTATCATCTTCAAACTCCCGCGTTCCTTAACTTCCTCCGTCTCTTTTTCTGTTCTACAATTTCAAGACGTAACCGCAAAAACAACTGAAGGGAGACGCACTCTGTTGTTATCCGGTTCGAACACGTGCGTGTCAAACAACTTTACCGCGAGTTCGGCAGCCACGGTATTATGCGAGCCCGCATTGCCTGCTTGGCGTGTTTGACTGACTGACTGACTAACTGGGGAGGTACCGGGGCCCACTTGTGGGTCAGGGTGCGGGCCCCCTCTTTTACGCTGGTCAGAAAAAGGAGAGAAAAGAACAAAAGCGGAGAAGCAGAGAGAACGATCAACGACGACCGACCTCACCGAGAATCATTCAGAAAAAGAGGGAGGGGTTGTTGGCATGAATATTGGATACCTTTGAAAACCTGCATCTTTCAGCTATTATTACAAGTTTTAATTTCTATAACCTAAGATTATAGAAAACCATTGGGAGGAGAAAGCTGGTAGCTCGATCGAAAAACAATTACCGAGAACAAGTAAATTAACAACGATCAAACTTATCAGTTAATAATTAAATTTCATTAATTAACATTGCAGCTTTCTTATTAATTTCTTATTAAACCTTATTGCAATCCATTTGCTTTAATATTACTATTTCCAAATACCAACAACTTGTTATATTAAACTTCTAATTATTATGTTATATAGTAACATAAGTAATGAAATTGAACATTAAATATTTCACTGATGTAACTTACATGATTTTATTACTATGACATACTAAAATACCGGTAACCTATTTCTAAAATTACTAATATTTCGTTTTTATCATTACGATCAATTAGCGATTTATTATTTTTAACTTAATGTATTTTTTTATTCGCCCGTCTTTGCTTATGTTAAATTTTTCTTACTGTCTGTTCTCAAGTATATTAGAATCTCTTGCTTTTCTCTATATTCTACTATTTTCGTACTGTTCTTCCTCTTTACCTCTCTCTTACTCCCCTCCAGTATTTCTTCTTTCATTCTCTCTTTCTCACGGCATACATATAGATGTATATGTGCACGACTAGCGGTACTTTACCCGTAAATGTACGAGATACCGTACGATATTTCCCTTTGGAATTTATCGTTCTTTGCGCAATGGTTGATCCCCCGTAATCATAGTACAGAATTAAAGTATTTCTTAATTTATAAAATTAAGCAAAAAGTTAAATGCTTTTATATGAAAATTTATTTTTTATTTAGAATATTTTAAGTGTTGTTAAAAAGGCGTACAAACAAAAACATGCTCTTTTTTAATAATATGTTTAATGACAAATAATGAAACGATTATTTATATTTTATCGAACGTATAAGTCATATTATGTTTGCCAGTCAAATTATTTTACCAGATGTAGTTACAATAATAAAAACATAAATGCATTGCTTTCATAGGAAACGAAATAAAGCATTCGCAAGTTTTTCTATAAACCTAGATGTGATGGATCAATCAATGTAAATGTTTCTATACATTCAATTAACCATATAAGTGGTAATGATTTTATATGAGGCATATTATATTTTAAACGTGGTTCGTCTCTTCCTGGTACATATATAATATAATGAGTACACTTATATAAAGAATGAGAGGGATTATTGGCAGTATGAAAAGGAGTAATTTTTTCTTTGTTTTTTGTATCGTCTGGACGTGGTTCTCTTGACAAAACCGACCCATTACCTTCACAAACAAGCCTTATTAAATCATCTTTTTTTAATAACATTCCACTTACACTATAAGGCTTCTTTTGTTGCAAAGCAAAATAAAAATAACATTGGTCGAAAAGACCTGGGTTCTGAAACCGCGATTGAAATTGTTCAAAATATTATTCAAATTCTTTACATGTAAATTATATAATTAACTTTACCTGACTCTGTGCATTTTCTCTGGCTTTCCTTGGAATACCTATAATCGGTGAACCATTAATTTCAAACGGTTCTAAATCCACTGCTAGTATGTCATCTACATCCATAACTAATTGAATCCCTTATATATTAAAAAATATGTAAAAATTAAAGTTTGTTCATATGTCTATATTAACATTTATAAATTATTTTGTCAACCATCTTACATTCACTATTAAGTAACCAATTTCCACGGACAAGTGCTATCATTACTTCGTATGATAATTTTACAATATTTTTGTTACTTGCTTCCACTATGACATGAGTTATGGATGATCTAAAATATGATTCTATAATATGTTTTTAATCTTTCCCAAATTTTGTTATTGCCGTATCAATTTAAACTTATAGCATATTTTAAATTATATAGATTACATTGTAAACAGGTACTATGTTATAATAGTGTACAGTAACTAATAACATACCGAAATACAGATGTAACTTTAATTTTATGTTTTAATGACACCTGATGTAGACATTTATTATTTTCTTCCCGCAAATTTGGCGCATATACAACAAATTTAGTTGATGATTGCGTATTAAAAAATGATTGATCTAAAGTACTATTTAAAGTACAATTCAAAATTGGATCTGTTTTGTCATTAAATTGGCGTTTTTCCGACAAAAGATTCCACATTTTTGTAGATGGCTCGCAATAATCTCTATGGTACAATGACATTGCATAATAATTAAAAAATATTGTATTACAATGAACAACCTAAATAAGATATTAATGATATATTCAACATATCATTAATAATTTCATTTAACCATTAACTATGTACAGTAGTGCCCATTTAAGTGACCACGCTCGGGACTGGCCATGGTCATTCATGTGAGCATGGTTACTTCTCAGAATTCAACGGAGATAAGAAAGGAGGATAAGTACGAGTGAGATATAATAGCTGGCACCCCTGGGAAAAATTTTAATGGGAGATTCTAGGGGTCAAAATAAGACGAAAATCAAGGATAGCAATTCGTTGATCAAGGCTTCGTTAAAAAGTTATTAACGTTTAAAGTTCCGCCTGTAGAACGGCAATCTGCAAACAGCTGCGTACGCGTGACAGTGGTTCTCATTTACAAAACTGTAAGACTGTCGATACGTCAGTAAGTAGAGTTTCTCATGCTGAATGAGAACCACTATCACACGTACGCAGCTGTTCGCAGATTGCCGTTCTACAGGCGGAACTTTAAACGTTAATAACTTTTTAACGAAGCCTTGATCAACGAATTGCTATCCTTGATTTTCGTCTTATTTTGACCCCTAGAATCTCCCATTAAAATTTTTCCCAGAGGTGGCCGAACACCCTGTATAAAATGTATCGATAACGACCGGCGTCAAGTTACGCTCGACACGCTCGATGTTCGAAGCTTGGCTTCTAAGAATTGGTGGGGACAACCGCAGTCACTTATGTAGGCACTACTGTAATTGTTATTTATGCAACAGTATAAGCTAATGTCAGTTATTTATGTAGTGATTATTTTTTAAGAAAAGTATATTTAAAATGCACATACATAGGTTTTTTCCCATGTTTATCAAACACATCCTTCTTAGCAGAATACTGTAAAAGCAACCTTGCTTCTGCTAATCTATTATTTATGGCAGCATCGTGCAATGGTGTTTTATTTTCTGCACCTGGAATATTAGGAGATCCACCACACTCTAAAAGCAACTGACATATTTTTGTAAAACCATAGTTTACAACTTCTTGCTATAAAGAAAAAATATAACTAGAACAATAAATACTATACATTTGCAAAAATATACATTTAAACTATAAAACTTTTAAAGTAGTTGTACTCTAGAATCAAATAGATAACCTACTAAAGGAGTCCAACCAGCATTGTCTTTTGTATTTGGATTTGCACCACTAGCTAATAAGACTCTTACACGATCTTCATTGTTCTAAAAAATTGTTGGTTTATTCAATTAAATTTATTTAAAGTTTACAGATATCTTATACTTCCAATTACTTATAAAACGTAATGCATGTACAAACATACATAAACACATGTATACATATATAAAAGATATACCTTTAAACACGCAATATGTAACTGAGTTTCTCCTTTTGTATTACATTTATTTATATTTTTCTTTGGTACGGATCGTTGTCTTTTATTAATATTAGATTCTGAATTCAATGTTATCAAAGGTATTTGTGTGGTACTTTGAAAATTTGTAGTTTTATTCCATAAATCTCTGACAAAATTTATATTAATTTTGCATCAAATATAGAAGTTTATATTGTATAATTAATTAACATAATACATAACTAAAAGTGCTATTTTATAATAAATAAGCTATTAATAAAATTGTCGTATTTTATGTATTTATTTACATATTTAAAAAAATATTCAAGTTTTAAGAAGAATTTTTAATAGACAGAATTTCTTTGAATATTGAAAGAAATGAAGTGCTTAATGCATTCATTTAAATTTACATACTTTTCTTCTACTATTTCTGCAATAATATTGCAGTAAGATGCAAGACTTTTAATCATGTGATCATTATGTATTTCAATCGGTTGAACTGGTGTATCACATGTCATACATGTTGAATCATTTCTAACGCATTGCATGCAAAAGAAATGACCACAATTAGTATATCTCATTGGATTTATTGGTTCGTTTCCACTAAAATAAATAAAAGGATAATATACTTACATATTTTGTGGAAAAATATGCACAAAATATACAAAGTTTAAAAAATACATATGTAATTCAAATTAATGGTATACTACTTAGGGAACATTCCTAGCAAACAGCCCGTTCAACAATTGGGGTGAGTTATACGTCATTCGATTCGTCTAATTCAGTACATTATTGATATGCATTTCATTATCTGCGGAAATTTGTTATTTTTTTATAAACTGCTTGTAAAGTTACAGTTAAAAAGTAAGGTTAAGTACATTTTTTGACAGGTGCACAGGTAGAAATAAGTGACTATCGTTGCTATGTTCATGTTACAAATTATAAATGATTGATCTAATTTGATAATGCTACATTGTCAAATGGGAATTTGTAAAACGTGTATGCATAAAAATCATTTTTTTACGCATAGACTTTGCATGAGTTGATCAGGTAAACAGTATGTGTCGCAACATATAACCCAGACCTACTCGGACAGTACTTATAGGTAGACAGTACATGCAGCAACAGTAAAAAAATGTTGCCACCCTCCTCTAACAATGTTTACGGTTAGACAATATAATAAATTACTATTGTATGCAGCGCGCGTTGGTTTAACTTTTTTGTTTTATTGTTAAATTTCATTATCATCTAAGTCTGGTATATTTTGATTTTCTACAGAATCAATTTGAATTTCTGAAATTTCTTTTAATAACTGATTAAATAAATTATCCTTTCCTTGCTTGGAAGATTTATAAAATACATAATGGCTTAAGTACCCAATGAAATTATCTTTTTTGCTGAAAATAGAAAATATTTATGGTATTATATGTTACAAAAAATATTAAAAAACGTGTGAAATTGCAAATACTAACCGACAATATTCAGGCAAAAAGTGTTTACTATGCCTCCACATAGTTTCTATTGTATTCGTATGAGCGCCTGTTTCTGGGTCTTTAAAATGTAAACTATGGTGTATGGTGAGATGTTTATACCCTTCTTTTTCCAAAATGTTGTAGGCTTTCCAACAATCTGAGATAATCGTAGTTCCAAGCAACACCCACTGTTTAATTATTGAAAGAAGGGACTCTGTATCCCTACTTTCAAAAGGGACCAGGAATATTTTCCCACTTTCCCTTTCTATTCCTCTGAAAACTCACTGTCCTTCCACACAATGACCACTATGATATTTTCTTCGGCCGAATTTAGACTCATCTATTTCTATCACTTTGCCTGGTCCACCAAGTATTTCACATGAGTTTTGTAGCCAATCAGCCATCACTTGCTTCACAAAATAATTCCATTGAGAAACAGTGTTTTTATTTAATTGTAATTCTCGTATATGATATTGTTCAAAATTCTGGACTAACATGTAAATTAATTTTAGTACTATTTCGTAAGAAAGTTTTGTTTTTGAAAACAATGTTCCACGCTTTATAGATATTTTTATATCACAAATTCGCTTTCTTTTGCAAGCATTGGCAGATGCTGCAATTCCTACAATTCTTCTACAGTGCCAATTTTCATTTACCAATTTCATTGTATTTCCACACTGTGAACAATTAAGATTTTTGGTAATTAACTTTTTGTCTTGCAAAAATTTCACTAAGGCTTCTTTATTTTTACAAAATTCGTGCAATTTAAATAAGGTCCATATTTCTGGAACTACTAATTCACTCATTTTTATAGCACAGTTGACCAAAATTCACAAAGTACAAGAAACAGAAGAAAATCAGAAATGACAGTTGAAACAAATGATTACTGAAACAACTTCTGCTTTTCTTCTCTTTCTTGTACTATCTGCAATGTGGAAATGTTATGAAAATGGTATATGAAAATTAGCAATGCAGGATAACTATTCCAGGATCTGTCAATCCAACTAAACGTAAAAGATATTGTAATATAAAGATATTTGCAAAGCAAAGAACGTGGTTTTCTAAAAACAAACTCAGCTACAGATGTTTTAAAATTAACATATATGCTAACATATAATTATGAGCAATGTCATATTATTATATAACTAAAATTAAATAAAAATACTGCACAGCAATTGGAAGGATAGAGTAGATTGTCGAGATTGATGAATCAACATTTTGTCATAGAAAATATCACATCCATTTGAAAATTAATCACAGCATCAATTTTGAAGATCCCATTACTGATGCTTACACGAATTAAATTGAAACCACTTGGAGGCATGCCACACATTTTTTAATCTTTTTTATAACATATAATACTATCAATATTTTATATTTTCAAGAAGAGTAACTTCATTGGATACCTGAACCATTATGTATTTAGTAAATGTACTTAATAGGAAAATAGTGATTTATTCAATGAAATATTAGTAGAAATAGCTGAAATTTCATTCAATAAATGTTTAACAAATCAGCGTTTGACTACTTGGCATTTTGAACACAGTAACGACAGTCACTTGTTTCCACCTGTGAACCTGTCAAAATATACTTAACCTTATTTTTTTACTGTAACTTTACGACAAGTTTATAAAAAAATAACAAATTTCCGCAGATAATGAAATGCATATCAATAATGTACTGAATTAGACGAATCGAATGACGTATAACTCACCCCGATCGTTGAACGGGCCGTTTGCTAGAAATATACCCTACTTAAAAACAAGAAATAAAGGAAACTTATGAATTATATATCAATAAATTGGATTAGTAAATTATAGATATTCAAAATGTACAATATAGATTGTTATATGTTTCTTTAAAATATTACCATTTGTTGCATACGAGCACATTCGCGAAGTTTTTAAGGGATTTACGAGTATTTTTCCATGAAGTATTCATGTCTTTAACACTACTGCATAACAATACACTGTATCTGAAAAATTGTTCGCTTCACTATTCTTTAACTTACAAATATCTATCAAAAAACATTCAAAGTTTGTTTTACATTTTTTCGAAAAATATATTTAAATGGATTTCTCAAGTACTCATAATGTAATAAACATTACGTTTATTATTGTTAATATAATGTAAATGTATTAAAATCAACAAAATGAATTGAAATTCTGTAAATTGATGCTTTTTAACAAACTTTTGAGTCAGGTCAGGGAGTCCAATGAGATCCAAACAGTTTGGATTATGGATTCCATAATTTGGACCAAACTGTGATTGGGCATCTACCAATTGGGCGCGAAATCACGTCATAAACCTCTCACAGCTCATTGCAATGTTGCTAAATGTGCCAAGTTTTTCCGCACATACGCAAAGAAAATGATAAAGGTACGTTTTCACGTGATAGTTAACTGTAATATAGCGGGTCTACGAATCCTTTTATTATATAACATTTAATTACTTTTAAAATAGCATTGAATAAAATGATTTCAATATCTGTACGTGTTATTTACACAACATTGGTTTTGCTGTTGCAACATCAACAGTAATGTCACAACACTAGCGACACCAAATTGCAAGTAGTTTGTTGCAACTTTGTTGCAAGCTAGCGACGATGTATGTAATATGTATACTATGTATATTATACGATATGAATATAGATTGTATAGGCATGAAATAGCGAGATGTCGAGATTTTATAGGCAGCGAAATTTGAAGGATCTTTTATATTGTAACATTTATATTAAATAAGAATACTGAAACAGAAAAGGAGTCAATTATTAAACCCTGAAATTAATCACATATTTTGGATTTAGTCATGAATCTTTGAAATTCTCTTTGCCCTTATTTGTAGGAATGTCGAAAGTTTCTCAAAGAGCTGGCTATATTAAGAAAAAATGTATCATAAATTTCTATGAAAAGGTATTGTAAAGTATTGTTAAGAGATAGACAAATAAAACACTGAAATTAAGGACATTAGGTTTGCATTCATTGACGAATCTAACATCAAAATCGTAAATACATACAAGGATTAAAGAAAATAAGTTTACTATATATTAACAACAATCATACATGTCTATATACAACTTACTTATGTAATTAAATAAATAAAATTAATTACATTACATATTTTATTTAATTGTTATTACTTCCAAATGAGATGTACTAGCATTATCACATTTTCAGTAGAATACTATAATAAAAGAAACATCGTTCTTTCGTTAAATTATATTCAATTCATATTTGTCATAAGTGAGTTATCTGTATTTACTACAATGTGTACACATGTACACATGAATTATACGGAGAAACTTTCTCCGCAACCGCAAGTTCCTTTGATGTTTGGATTATTAAAAATAAACTCTGAACTCAATTTGGATTCTACAAAGTCCATTTCAGTGCCTAATAGGGATAACTGTGCTTTTTTATCAATCATTATGCGAACACCATCTTGAATAACTTCTTCATCAAGTTTAGACTTCTCTTTGGCATAATCAAGAGTATAACTTAATCCATTGCACCCCCGTTGTTTCACGCCAACTCGTAGACCAATCTGAAAACAATATACAAAACTTTGTCCCTAATGTAATAAATTACTTTAAAATTCAAACAGTTTATTATATTATTTTTACAAGTGAGAGGTAGCATTATTTACTGGTTTCCAAATCATACAATGTGGGATATTTAAAAATTAAAAACTAAGAATGCGCAACAATTATTTTTTACTTCAAAACATATATTACATATGTTTATATATGCACACTACATATATCATATTTACTCACATATTCAGTTTTGCCTTGTAGTAAATCCTTAATCTTATTCACTGCGGTTGGTGTCTGCAATAAACACAATTATAAACTGCAATAAATAAGTAAAGATAAAAGAATGCTATACATTATTAGGCTGGTGCATATGAAATGTCAGATTTTATGTATTTTCTTGTATTAGAAGTAGAACCTCATAAAATTTTTAGAAAACATGCAGACAGACTAATGCAACGATTACCACACTATCCATATATAATAGTGGACGTATACTTATGAACATATGAATAATTACATTTTTATTGTCTCTATCATGTTATATAAACATTTCTTTAATTTAATTCACAATATTTCTTATATAAGGGAAATAGATGGATGAATCAGTTAATGCAGATACAGGCTTTTTGAAAGAAAGAAAAGAGTTCAAGTTTGATTTTTGTTATACTGTTTGCTATTTCAAACTTGGAAACTTATTTTTAAAGGTTATGTCACAATTTTATTGTATATATGTATATATGTACATATCTAAACTTTTAATTTTACTAATGCTGTCATCAATAGGAAAATGTTACGAACTTTCAAGATAATCTAACAATTAATGTATGTGAAACTACTAACCACATTAATGACATTAGAATAATATTTAGTGATATACTTTACAGTTTTTGTAATTAAATCAAACCATATTCATCATAACTACTTATAACAAATATCTGTTGCAACTTTTTATACTAGATGTTGCATAATTATAAACTATTGTAAATAATGATACAAATTCATAGTAATGACAAAATAAAATTAGTTTTTTCTTATTAATAAAAATATTTCAATTAATCATTACAATCTTTCATCTTTTGATCAATTGTTAAAAATCTTTGAGTATAGAATATATTTAATATCTACAAAGAATGTTAATGAATCAATATAATTTGACAAAATAGGAAGTCACTAAAGTATTCCGAAAGAAAACATAAAAATGGAAACAAATATAGTCTAGATTAAATTATTATTTTAATATCCTTAATAGAATATCTATGAAAGTGTAGTTATTTTTAAGACTTATAGTTATCATATTCAAGCCTTGAATTATAGAAGAAATAAACACTAGATTCAAGAAATTTAATTCATTTACAAACAAAAATAGAACTTACGAGATAGTTCCAATGTAAATTGAGTCCTAACCTTAATTTATCAAATGTGCTTCACTTTCATTTTCATAACATCAATAAATACTATAAATATATACAATAATCAACAATTACCAGATGTATACTATGTAGTTAATTAACCACTCACTAAAGTAAGTGCAGCTTTTGTAGAAAATATTTTTCTGCCTTTGACAGCCCGAACTGTCGCTGAAGCCACAGTAGTAGACATTTTGATTTGAATAATACGTAGAGGTGCCAGAAAGCATCGACGGTACCCTACTCACACATGCCAGATCACGCGTACGTGACGTAAGCTCGTGGAGTTTGGAAAATCGACAAAGGCAAACTGACATATACCCTCTTTTTCGATTCTCGGAAGCTGGCCGAAGTAATTTCGGACCGCCTCGTGGGAGTCGAGAGAGAAAGGCTCACATTTGCCTTCTCGCTCTTAACAACTGAAATCCGACCTCCCGTGATCGGGACGCAACATAAGCTTGGCCGATCGCCGTGCCGAATGGCAAAAGCCGACTCACAAGGAACCATCGCGAACGGTCCGGCTTCGATTTTGATAAAACTTTGTACACATATAAAGCAGCCAAAAATAATCGACACGTATTTTTTTTTAGCTGCGGTAACTCGAGTTTAAGGGGTGAAACCACCCCTTCAAGTTTTGGCTCGAAACGGCTATCTCGAAAACGGAAAGACATACAAAAAAATTGTTAATGGGCGAGGTTGATGGTTTCTTATGTACAATAACATGGTGTTAAAAAATTTTAAGAAATACAATTTGTTTATAACAAAAAAAAATTTATTAACTTAATTTTTCATTTTATTGAAATTTTCATAATGACAAAAAATGACGAGCATTTTAATCCAAATCCATTGGTATGCGATTTTTTAAAATTGCCTCCTACAGTTTTGCAGATTTTGATGATTTACATCTTGCGCGCACATCCATTATGGTAGTAGCCGTTCTAACTTTGATTTTAATGAAGCACTGTAGGCTTGCACTACTTCTAGAGGACAAAATCGGGAAAAATACAAGAATACCAATTTGTTGATTGAGCCTTCGTTAAGAAATTATTAACGTTTAAAGTTCCGCCCGTACTGAATTTTTTTCTCCGAAATGCCCAAGATTTCGGGGGAATGTGTAATGACCAAAAATGATTGTAATCGATCCCTGCAACCGAAAATAATTTTTTCAGAATGGTTTGAAATTTTTTAATTTTGTTGAAAAATTTCACACATTCTCGAATTTTTTTCTCAAAAGTACGTAGGATTTCGGGGGTATATATATTGACCAAAAATGATTGAAATTGACTCCCGCAACTGAAAATAATTTTTTTAGAACGATTTGAAATTTTTTTTTTCGCTGAAAAATTTAGGCACCTACCTGTCGATTTTTCTTAAAAATTCGTTTTTCATTTTTAATAATTTTGTTTGACGCCCTACAAAAAAGTTGGCCAATACTTTTTTGTAGGTACCTATGAGCTCTACGTCAGAAAAAAGTTTCATTGAAATATATTCACTATTGTAGGAATTATGGCTGTTTGAAGATTGGACCATTTTTATGGGGTTTTTCTCATTTTGCGGGGTCAAGGATCAACTTCTTGCATATTTTTGCGATTTCTACGTATTCTTGATTAAAATACGCGTCGTTTGCATTTTTGAAAATTAAAATCCTTCAATCCGTTCAGAAGTTATGACATTTTAAAGATCCGCATGAAATTTTCGGACAACATTTCTGGCCATAAATTACATTTTCGATTAGGAATTTTTTTCTCGAAAGTGCGTAGGATTTCGTGGGTATATGTATTGACCAAAAATGATTGTAATTGGCCCCCGCAACTGAAAATAATTTTTTCCTGGAGGATTTGAAATTTTTTGATTTAATTTTTTAATAACTTTTTAACGAAGGCTCAATCAACAAATTGATATTCTTGATTTTCGTCTTATTTTGGCCTCTAGAATCTCCCATTAAAATTTTTCCCAAGGGTGGCCGAACTTTTCCAAATCCATTGGTATGTAATATTTTAAAATTGCCTCTTACAGTTTTGCAGATTTTGATGATTTACATCTTGCGCGCACATCCATTATGGTAGTAGCCGTTCTAACTTTGATTTAGTGCAAGCCTACAGTGCTTCATTAAAATCAAAGTTAGAACGGCTACTACCATAATGGATGTGCGTGCAAGATGTAAATCATCAAAATCTGCAAAACTTTAGGAGGCAATTTTAAAAAATCGCATACCAATGAATTTGGAATAAAATGCTCGTCATTTTTTGTCATTATGAAAATTTCAATAAAATGAAAAATTAAGTTAATAAATTTTTTTTTGTTATAAACAAATTGTATTTTTTTAAATTTTTTAACACCATGTTATTGTACATAAGAAACCATCAACCTCGCCCATTAACAATTTTTTTGTATGTCTTTCCGTTTTCGAGATAGCCGTTTCGAGCCAAAACTTCAAGGGGTGGTTTCACCCCTTAAACTCGAGTTACCGCAGCTAAAAAAAAATACGTGTCGATTATTTTTGGCTGCTTTATAAGTGTACAAAGTTTCATCAAAATCGAAGCCGGACCGTTCGCGATGGTTCCGTGTCAGTGGGGACGCGGCTTAAGAAAGTAAAGGAAATTATTTCACACTAGATGTTTTGAGCTCGACTAGTCGGTAGAAGAATAAAGTCGAAAAGACAATATGGTGTTTTTAAACCATAAAACATTTATTTTTATTTTAGAGTGTTTAATTGTTAATTAAAGCAGTTAACTGCACTAAAGAATTATTATTAAGCGAGAGCAATAGTCAATCAATGTTATATTAATTCGTTAAAAGTTTTGGTTTATTTATATTCATTTTAAATGTATTTAAAAAATATATAATTGTAAATCACTCTTGCGGTTTTATTGTTCCTCGTCAGAGATGCCAGAAAAGCACCGCCGGGTGCACACGCACACATGCCAGATACGCGTACGTGAGCTCGTGGAGTTTCGGAAAGTCGACAAAGGCAAACTGACGCATGCCCTCTTTCTCGATTCTCCGAAGCCGCCCGAAGTAATTTCGGATCGCCTCGTGGGAGTCGAGAGAGAAAGGCTCACATTTGCCTTCTCGCTCTAAACAACTGAAATCCGACCTCCCGTCAACGGCATACGATTTGGATTCTCGAGCCGAGATTCTCGACTGCCCAGGCATTTTTACTTTCCGACCTATGTAGGCGCACATAAGCAAAGTACCCATAATGAAAAAAAAATTTTGTAAAATTTATTTTACGGAAATACACGTTTTAAGACCTCCTGATCATATTTTAATTATTGAAAAAAAAAGAAATTTTTTTTTATTCCCATGTATGAGCACACATATGTATATTATTAATACGATTGAATATAAATAGCTGAATGAATTTAAATGAAACTTTACATTTAAGTTTTATGTTCTCATTTCAAAGGCGTGTGGACGGATTCAGATACGTGAACACTAAACGTAACTATGTAATTATATTATTTAATATTTACTAACTATTTAACATAAAGAACATAAAAGAAAGACATAAAACGTAAACGTAAAAAATCATAAACGTAAAACTGTGATTGCTCTTGACTAACGTTCGATACAGAGTGACGTTCCTGCAGTCAAAGTCGACCCTTCCTTATTCCTATCTTATAATAATGATCTAAACAAAACGCACGTTCGAGACGCAGTCTCTAAAACGTATTTCAGCTTAAACCTAAACACCTCACTCGATACCTACTCTAGCTTAGACTAAACACTCCTATCGACGCAAACGATAACGGTTCTCCTAGCCACACACATTCACTCCTTACAGATTATACCTCTTGTTTCATAGTTGTTCCGATATATAGGCATAATGTATAAAAAATCTTTTAAATGTTTCATATAAATCTTAGGACGAATTAAATTTTATAAACTTTTTCTCTATCTTCTCTAGAAAAGAAAACATTAAATGAAATCTTATACATTACATGCTTACTTAAATCGCATTGAAAACGAATACCACAAATGTTTTAGAATAATGTGCAAAATGTGATTGCGATTTTCGCTAAGACAAATTGAAAACTCGTTTCTAACAAGGAAAAGTTGGAATGGTACCTGGTTTTGGGTTAGGTTTTACTTTGAGATATTATTAAAGTTATTACAGGTACTTATTTTCAGAAATAGAACTATGTTTACCACTAATCAGTGTGGCGTGAGTGATGAGGTCTTTGCCTGCAAGTTCCGAACTTCTTCTGCTCTGCTGGTTCGAACCGTGCTTGAACTTTTTTTTTTTATTTTTTCAATCATACTTTAATCGTACACTAAATATGACATTATATTTTTGTCTGACCTTCGAATATTTTTTTTTAAAGTTAAATTTAACCGATTACATTTAACATATGTTATTTTCAATGTACGAAGTACATGAATCTGGATGGTACTTTTCACAAAAACAGTCAAAACATAAAAATTTCAAGCACCACGTACATTTACTGAAAGTTTTGTTTTCACAGAAATTACAAAATTTTGTATTTAACTCTGATGGAAAGGCCGCTTCATTTACATTGATAAAATGTGAACGATTTTCGGATAGTCGTACCTTGTAGCTCGTACTTTTTACCTTATATTTCAGGTAAAAAGGGATATAGCTGGGAAAAACAGTTTTATGACATTACCTGCTAACTTATGTTACTGTTCTACAATGAAACGCTATGTTTTGTACCTTTAAAAATATTCGACTATGTGCTTTTAAAATTTAAGATACAACCCATACTTTGTATTAAACTGGCAAACGGGATCACTTTTCCTTTGTTTCTAGTTAGTTCTATTTAGTTCGTCATAACCAATTGATCCGGTTATTTCAAAACAATCGAGGAAAATCATTATTAATTAATTTCTGCAATTATTAATTCTACTGTTTTGTTTATGTTATAAAAGTAAGAACTCTTCTTATTGAAAAATACCACAGCGTGCACAATACTGGTAAAGAGGGGAATCTCATTTTAATTTATTAATTTTCAATCTTAAAGTATTTTGATTTTCAAAAATCGTATTAATAATATACATATGTGTGCTCATACATGGGAATAAAAAAAAATTTCTTTTTTTTCAATAATTAAAATATGATCAGGAGGTCTTAAAACGTGTATTTCCGTAAAATAAATTTTACAAAATTTTTTTTTCATTATGGGTACTTTGCTTATGTGCGCTTAGATAGGTCGGAAAGTAAAAATGCCTGGGCAGTCGAGAATCTCGGCTCGAGAATCCAAATCGTATGCCGTTGACGGGAGGTCGGATTTCAGTTGTTTAGAGCGAGAAGGCAAATGTGAGCCTTTCTCTCTCGACTCCCACGAGGCGATCCGAAATTACTTCGGGCGGCTTCGGAGAATCGAGAAAGAGGGCATGCGTCAGTTTGCCTTTGTCGACTTTCCGAAACTCCACGAGCTCACGTACGCGTATCTGGCATGTGTGCGTGTGCACCCGGCGGTGCTTTTCTGGCATCTCTGTTCCTCGTTCAACATGACTAGTACTACTGAAGTCGAATGTGAGTGAACGGTATGAATAAATCTTTAGGTTTTTATGTGCAATTTACTGCAATGGCGTTGCCGGTTCTTCCGGCAAGTGGATAGTACAATCACATCTTCCCTCTCTCATGTTATAAAAGTACGAAGAATGACGGACGACGTGGTGATTCTGGACGACCCTGTTCAGAAAGAGGAAGAGGTAGCTCATTTCCAAGCACCTGCAGTTCAACACAATCCTGATGGATGGGGTCCTTGTGAATTACCTGATCAATTCAAGGATATACCTTATCAACCATTTTCGAAAGGCGACAGATTAGGCAAGGTGTGTAATTAACGTTTATTGAAAACGTTTTACAAACGTTTTGTAAATGTCTTACATGTCTTTAATTACTGTCTATCTTAGATATCTGACTGGACTACACCAACTTTCCAAGATAAAAAGTTTCCAAGTACGTATAACATTTTACATCGACGTAACCTACAACTTTACATTTTTCTATAGCACAAATTGTTAACTTCTGTTGTGTTAGTTGTTATTCTTTGATTTGCTAATTGCAAGCATTACAATATTTATTTTGTTAGTCTACATTGTTTCTCTAATTTAAGTAATTGTAAACTCTCTGAGATATAAGATTTATTTGATTATTTTACTTTAATAAGTATTGACTATTATCTACATTAGTAAGGAGCATTAACATATACAGTATATTGTGAAATTATATAAATGTTTCTTTTAGTAGTTCTAATTTTTTCAAGTATTTTTTATATAAAAATGAATTATGTCCATTAAAGTAATGTTAAACTTATTTCGTTCTTTCGTTTTTATACAATGAGTTATATATCATTTTAATTGCTTTCTCACATAAGATCAATGTTTATAAGTATCAAATTATGCAAGATATTTTTTATTTTAACCACTTTAAGATCTACACTTGTCAAAATGATAGCCCAGGTGTGCAATTTTTAATTTCTCAATGATGCATGTAAAGTTTTTCGTCTGTAACGTATAATATTAAAACATTATGAGCTCAGAATATGCGGCTTGCTGGACATAAGTCACAATGTCGTAGATTTTTGTATACAACAAAGAACTGTTTCATACTAAGGTCGAAATGATAGCACACTCTGTTAATATGTTTAGAAATTGCACAGTAGTTCATGATCTATCAACGAATAAAGATTACAGTACAATATTATATAAATTTCTAAGTATGGGACGTGGAAAAAAATTAAACGAGTCTGAAAAATGCAAATTCTTAAACTAAAACAGCAACAGTTATTAGTAGCAAAAATAGCGAAAGTAATAAGAAGAAGTCGTAAAGTAATACACAATTTCTTAAAAAATGTTGAAGATTACGGCAGAAAGAAAAGTACTGGTTGGCCGTCATCGTTATCTGATCGTGATAAGCGAGCAATTTTGCATGTAGCTTTCAACTTGCAGTTAACAACAAAGCAAATAATGGAAAAATCTAGTGTTAATGCCAGTGTTTCAAGTGTTCATCGAGTTCTACTATCCTGCAAAAATATTAAGAGGCTAAAATTGAAAAAGAAACCTCCGTTAACAACGAAACACAAAGTAGAATGTTTATGCTTTGCAAAAGAAAGAGTGCATTGAAAAAAGAAATGGAGAAGGGTAATATTTTCAGACAAAAAAAGATTCAACTTGGGTGGTCCTGATGGGTTCCAATATTATTTTCATGACATAAGAAAAGAGACAATGTCAGCAATTCGACAACAGATAGGGGGAGGCAGCGCGATGGTTTGGGCCGGCATCGGTTATTTCGGCAAGACAAGTATCAAGTTCATCAATGGGAGAATGAATAGTGTCTGATATATAAATTTAATCAAAGAACAAATAAATAATCATGCAGAACGCATTTCTAGTCCTGATTAAATCTTTCATCAAGATAATGCATTTGTACACACATCAAAATTGGTCCAATCATATTTTAATGAAAATAATATATTTGTTTTGCCGTGGCCTGCACGCTCCCCGGACCTTAGTATTATTGAAAACTGCTGGGCAGAACTTGTTCGCAGTGTATACGCGAATGGAAAGCAGTATCAACACGTATAAGAATTAAAAAATGCAATTGTACGCGAATGGGATACGTTAAGTCAGAATTATATCCAAAAACTATATAAATCGATACCAAATCGTGCAATAGAAGTAAAAGAAAATAAAGGGGATTGTACCCATTATTAAATAAGTACATATGTTTGATAAGTAATTATTGTTAGTTACAATTTATGTTGATTATTATTTTCTTATTATATATGTGCTATCATTTCGTTCTTAAAATAAAACAATTTTTTTTGTTACACACTAAACATCATTATATTTTTAATTATTTTAAACGAACCACATATTCTGAGCTCATAATGTTTTGATATTATATGTTACAAACGTAAATCTTTACATGTGTCATTGAGAAATTAAAGATAGCACACCTGGGCTATCTTTTTGACGAGGAGTGTATTGCTTTTAAAGATATGAATAAATGAATTAAGAAAAAAATGTAATTGTTGTAAAGGTCAAAATTATAAAACAGTTCTCTTTTAAACATCTATATATCCAAAATTTTATAGTCATTAGCATCTTTTTAGTTGTGATACCCTGATACCATTACCATAGTGTTAAAGGTAATAAGTGCAATAATTCCTGATAAGAAAAATTCTAGTACTGTAAGATTTGGTGATTAAATTAGCTAACTGTTACTTTTAAGTTAAAAGTTTTAACTCTTTACTTTATAATTTGTAACTGCACATCTCACAGTTGGGCACTGAATTATTTATATGCTAAAACAATATTTAGTGTGCCTTTATTGATTATATGGAAATTAATGAAATTATAACAAGGAAATTTAGAAATTAATTTTTTTTAAACACATGAAATATTAAATAATAATACAAAATGCTATTAATTTTATTATAATATGTACCATAAATGTGGCTTGATATAAGGCAAGAGATTAACAATTTTATGATCCCTGATGTTGTACACTTTCTCATCATTGTTAATGTTAAGTGGTCTGTACTTTTGTTAGAGAAGTTCTGTATTGTTGGTTTTATATTTTTTGCATAAAGAAGCAAATACAGTAGTGTCCACATAAGTGACCGCATTTTTGCCCACTTAAGTGACCGTGGTTATCTCCACCAATTCTTAGAAGCGAAGCGGCTTCGTAACTTGACGCTGGTCGTTATCGATACATTGTATATATGGTTTCGGGTGTCAGCTGTTGTATCTCACTCGCACTTATCCTCTTTCCTTATCTCCGTTGAATTCTGAGAAGTAACCATGCCCACATAAATGACCGTGGCCGGTCCCGAGCGTGGTCACTTACGTGGGCACTACTGTACTTATCTAAGTCTGACTTATAGAAGATGAAGTCTATTCTCTACAAATACAGGGTGTTAACCATTAGTGGTATGATTCTATTACTTTTAATATTTTTAGACAAGTATACATCACAATTTGGTTCTGGTAGTCAATATGCATACTATCACGATGAAGATGAAACAACTTTCCATCTGGTTGATACAACCCGTGTACAGAAACCAGTTTACCAACGTGGTGGTCGTTTCCGACATAATCAAAGAAATCTACGTGGTCGCGGAGGACAACGGGGTGCGTTGAGTCAGATGCAGCAACTTGGAAAATTGAAACTCCGTGAAAGAGAACGTAAAGGGCAAACAAAACGCTGGGGTAGACAGCAAGGTTTACGTAATCATAAAAATCAACCACCAATTAAAATTCGCGATGCATCTGTTACCGTGAGACCTGATTGGGTAACTATCGAAGAAATGGATTTCCCACGCTTAGCAAAACTATCTTTACCTAGTGTAAAAGACGGAGAAGATATTTTGTGCTGTGGTTCACTTGAATATTATGATAAAACTTATGATAGAGTAAATGTTAAGAGTGAAAAACCACTACAAAGAATTGACAGAATCTTCCATACAGTTACTACCACCGATGACCCAATAATTCGTAAACTTTCAAAGACAGAGGGAAATGTTTATGCCACAGATGCAATTTTGGCAACAATTATGTGTTGTACACGTAGCAACTATTCTTGGGATATTGTAATTGAGAAAATTGGAGATAAACTATTCTTTGACAAACGAGATAATACTGAATTTGATTTGCTGACTGTGAATGAAACCAGTGTTGAGCCACCACAAGATGATGGAAATTCTTTAAATTCTCCTAGAAACTTAGCTTTAGAAGCTACATTTATTAACCATAACTTTTCTCAGCAAGTATTAAAATCTAATGAAGCCCGATATAAATTTGAGGAGGGAAATCCATTTATTTCAGAAGAAGAAGAAGGTGATGTTGCTAGTGTCGCGTATCGATACAGAAAATGGGATTTAAACAATGACATTGTACTGGTTGCAAGGTGCGAACATGATGCTGTAATGCAAGGACCTAATAATGAAATGCAATTTTTAACAATCAAAGCATTGAACGAATGGGATTCAAAGTTAGCCAATGGTGTTGAATGGAGACAGAAATTGGACACACAACGTGGTGCTGTATTAGCAAACGAGTTGCGTAATAATGCATGCAAATTGGCTAAATGGACTGTTCAAGCATTACTAGCAGGTTCGGATCAACTGAAGTTTGGATATGTATCAAGGGCTATGGTTAGAGACTCGAGCAAACATGTTATTCTTGGTACTCAACAGTATAAGCCAAATGAATTTGCAACACAAATTAATCTTAACATGGATAATGCTTGGGGTATTTTGCGATGTATTATTGATATCTGTATGAAGCAGAAGGATGGCAAATATCTTATTATGAAAGATCCAAATAAGCCAATGATAAGATTATATGATATCCCGGATAATACGTTTGAAAGTGAAGGCGAAGAAGATGAGGACGACGATGAGCCTGTTAACGATGCTTTTCAAAGTTAATAGAGATCTCAAGTTCTTCTCGGCTTCTAAGGATGATTGACCTAAAAGTCATTGATTTGTATCATGAGCATACCTTGTAAAAGGAAGAAAGTGGGCAAATAAAAAAATTTCAATTAAATTATTTGAACATTAACTTTCAACAATTTTCCCCAATTTTGTCCAATGTAAAAAACAAAATTATTTTATTATAAATCACTTACTTATATTACAAATTAAATATTTGTTTTGACTTCTTGTACATCATTTTTTTATAGACTTTTTAAGAAAGATAAACTATTCATAATAGAGACATGTATTGACTATCGATTACACTGTAGAGTATCAGTACAGGATGAAGTTTTTCTCTTCTTGTCTCCCGCATTTCGTCACATATTTCCTTTATATACTTCTTATGTCTTGGATGTCTGTAAAAAGGAACAGATTTAGACAGGTTATATAAGAAATTGGAACATATAATTACATTCTTTATGGCAAAAATAAATCGAAAACTTTATTACCATTCCACACTTTGAGGTTCTGTTTTCGATTTCACAGTATTATATTATTTGTTACAATATTGTAATGTATTCGCTAATACCTAATTTAGAAATAATCAGTACTTACTTGTCAATAATGACCTGTATGCTTTTAAGAAAATTTTGATCCTCTTCATCAATATCCAAAAAACTTATAATCGTTCTGATTACGCTCATTTCCAAAAAGACTGCAAAAATTTCAATTGGAATTTTATGCGCAATTCTCTGAAAATATGTAGACATTTGTGCAAGCATAGAATTTTTTAAGCTTCTTCTTGAACTACCCGAAAGTTTGTCTCTTTCGGACAAAATAAAGTTAATATTAATGTTAACTGGATTGTTGTTACTTAAGGAATTGTCATTTGTCATTGTTTTACTCTCAGCTCTGTTTAAAATTGGCACGGAATTGTCAAGTCTTTGGAGAAATTCTCCAACTTCTTGATTAGCTATCTTCTTTTCTTGAAATCTATCGCGTTCCCAACTCTGAATTCTGACACTCCCTTTTTCTCCAGCTCTTAAAATGACAACTTGATTAATCGAATGTTCTCGGCAATGTTCGAGAATTTCTTCAACGGATGCCAAATCCAAGATCGTAACTTTCAAACTTAAACTCCAAAATTCTTTCAGAAGATCAATCATCTCCTTTTCGCGATGAGGATTGCCCAGGCAAGAAATGGCAACATCAATTCCGGATTTATTTTCTAATGATTCTGATGTTTCTAAGACAGCAGAAGCAAGTTTTTCTAATGAAATACTGATACCAACGCCGTATTGCTTGGTTTCTTTGTTGGCCATTCCTGTACGTTCAAGTATCTTTCTGAAAGACGACAGCATTTTGTCGTAACGACCTCCAGCTGCAATTACCTCTTCACCACATTTTTTTCTACGGCGTTTCACTTCACAAGTTATTTGATAAATTGTACCACTGTGTTGGTTTATATTATGCACTAGAAGAGGTACCACAACTACTGGCCACTGAAAGGGATAATTTTTATAACACTTTTAAATAGCATTGACGAGTTTAAAGATTTAAGGGGTACAGAAGTTTGAAAAAATCGACCTTTTTCGTAAAACTTTAAACGCGTTTTAATAGCATTCGATACAATTTTTTTTTTTAAACAATTATATCTTTTTCAAAAATGCCTCCTCATTTTGTTCAAGAAAAATCAATACATTTTTATATTATTTTGTCTATCTCCTTTTATGCATAAGGTAGAAACTTAAAAATTTACTATGCACACTACAAAGAATATATTCAATATATAGGATATGTAAAATGTCAGTAATTAAAAATATTTCCAATTTGTCTAATTTCTCTTATATCCGTATTATTTCTAATATAAGACCAGGCTTACCTTCACACCTAACGTTTCAATATTCTTCATTACAATTTCAATTTCTTTTAAGCCTTCTTTAGCTAACGCAGCAGCATCTCCTTTTCTCCTTGTAATTGTTTTTAAAACACTCTGAATCTTGGCAACAGAACTCTCAGTCTCAAATAAATTGAATAATGTCTCCATAGCTTGATCGGTCAAACATAAACTTATTAAATGCGTTTGTATTTGGAACCTCGAAAATTTTCCGTCACGTGCATCTCGAAGGATTGAATAAATGTCTTGATATTTTTCTTGGTCAATACCACAGTACATTAACACAGCTTTTAATAAAGACGTATGGTTAAGACGAATAGTGAAATTTCGTTCTCGTAATTGAGGTAATTCGTTAATTACTTCCCAGACAATATATATTAATTCAGCTTCCATCAAAAAGTTATTGGCAGTAGGGCTTATGATGTCAAATGCGCATTCGTAAAGTTCTCTAGGATGAAAGCCTAGAACCTGTGAATTTTCAATATTAATTAGTCATACATGATGAGTGGAAATACGTCGTTAAGTTCTACAGGGTGCGGCGCCAAAATCCGGACAAATGAGAAACTATTTTCAAACATCATTTTTATTGCAAAAACGGAGAAATTTACAAATTTTTTTTGCTAAATTGTTTTGTAAGATCATAAAGAACACATTTACTCAATATATCCTCCCCCTGCTTGAATGACTGCCTCTATTCTCGGTCTAAAGCGTTTGCAGGCCCGTTTTAATGCGTCGCGGTCCATATTGGCGAATGTTGTTTCAATGGCGGTTTTCAATGATGCGACATTTGGATGTCTGAACTTGTTGGTGTCTCTTTCAACCACGCTCCATACATAGAAATCTAAAGGATATAAATCTGGGCTGTTGGGAGGCCAGAATTCTTTGGACCAAAACATATCGACGTAGTCGGACAACCAATTTTGACACAAATGACTTGTGTGAGCAGGCGCACCATCCTGCTGGAAAACATACGGCTTTCCAGACGACACAGTTTCCATCCACGGCTTCACTACATTTGTTAGAACACGCAAATAAGCTTCTTTTGTAACATTTTCCCCTTTGTCAAAGAAATGTGGTGGCATGATGTCGCCCTCACTGGATACAACACTTAACACGTGAACATTCGCCGGAAATTTTGTTCTGGAAACAATGGGAACATCTTCAGGGTCATGGGCGAGCCATCGATCATTTCTTCGATTGATTTTCGCATCGACAGTAAAAATTTTTTCGTCAGAAAAAAACTTGAGACGTCCGGCAGCATTGTTTTTTAAGGAACACAAAAGCAGGTTGCAGAGTTCAACTCGCTTTGTTCTAGCAGCTTCAGAAAGCATCTGTCTCACTTTGATTGTGTTAGATTTGTAACGGAGATCCTCCTCGACGATTCGACGCATAGTTTTTTCACTCACACCGACAACCGATGACAATTTTCGGATCGACTGCCCTGGATCCTCCAAAATCAGTTCCTGAGCACGTTGAATGATATCTGGCATTCTGACAACGCGCACCTTCGAGTGAGTTTTCCTTGCCGGTGTTGCAAAACCTCCGATGGACTTCTCCGACTCATACTTCGCGACTACATCATACACAGTCGATCTTGGGTACCCGAAGAACCGAATGATTTCTGTCACTGAACGCCCAGCGTGAACACTTTCGATAATTGCGGCTCTTCGGTTATATTCTGCACTTGGTTTCAACATTGCAACTGTTTCGAGGTTATGATTGTTTAATACACGCGTCAAGCTATTTGAACACCAATCGCGACCTCAACAAAAACAACAGAACGGCGAGAAATTGAAATTCAATTTTGTCCGGATTTTGGCGCCGCACCCTGTATATACATATAGAAAGAAACCAATAAATACCTTCTTTTCTCTGAAAACTCTTTCAATAGCATATCTTCTAATATGTACGACATTATTCCACACAATGTATCTTGCAAACGGGGCTCGTAAATCGTGGGGGATACAAACAATGTTTCCATTGCGAGTCATTAAATTTACATAAGAATCTGAAAAACTACAGAACTGACGTGACTTCGGCATCAAAAGCGGCGTTTCAAGATTAACACCACCGTGTCTTTGAAAAACTTCGATCACTTTGTACTTTACCACTTCTTGGTATTTCTTCCAAGACAAAAAATGAATGTGCCCTCTACTAGGTAAATTCATATCATAAGTAATGTCGTCTGCAGGTGTGACTTCTTGCGTAAAACAACAAGAAATTAAGTATTTATATGCTTTGGTTTGATTGTTTGATAGAGTGCGTCGAATCATTTCTTGCAATTCTGTTTCTTCAAGTCGTGGAGGTGGTAGGTACTCTGAAGACAAAAGTTCTTGAGCTGTAGGTCGTTGACTGGGGTCATGATTTAATAACCACCTATAATTATTAGATTAATTTTTATTATGATTAACTTCAAAACAGGAAATATTTAAATAGGATAACAGATAGAAATGATATTTGTACGATAAATTTGTAATTATAATTATATATTGCATAACTTTGATTATCGTACATCAAGAAAATATGATTAAGATTTAAAGAAGCTATGTAAAAATTAATGATTGATTTAGTTAAATTGACAGTCAAATTATTTATTGGTAATGGAGAATTTAATTTAATGAATAATATATGAGAAGCACAGATACCGTAAGTTAAATACATAGCAAATAAAAATTAAAGATGTTTGCTTAATGTTTACCGTAAAATATGGATTTGTAATTGCATGTTTGCCTGCAGCATTTCTGGCGGAAGCACAATTTCTTTTAATCGTACATTAAGTAAAATGTTAATTCGTTCCATCCCTGTTGTTAGTGGCTTGTGACACATTTCAAATAATATTATTCCAAGACTGTAAATGTCAACCTTTTGATTGTAAATAGCTTTTGCAGCTTTCGTTGTAAGCTCAGGAGCTACATAAAGTGCTGTGCCTACTTGTCCTGTTAGAGAACCCACCTCCTCTGTGCCAAAACTGATTCCTAAAGCATTCCGCACAATCAGATAATATGCATAAAAGTGTTAATAAACACAAAATTTAGAAACGTGACAAAATATTAACATTTTAAGCAATATTATTAGTAAAGTAGTTTTAATTTATTAAAAATATTTAAGATTATTCAAAACTCTAATTAGTATACGACAGATTCAGTTAAGACTGTTAATACTATTGCAAGAACAGAACACAATGATTGTCACATGTAGTAGGTAGAAATATTATAAAAAAGATGCCGCTTCCTAACCCTAGTGGACGCAAATTCAAATGGCCACTCATGGTCATTGTACAAAAAAGTGTATAAAAATTCGAGATACTGCTGTGAAATGTATGATGCGGAACTGAGTATAGATGACTGTTTTGAAATCTACTACACACTGCATCATGTCTAAAGTAAGCTAATTACATCGGGTTTCATTATCCCATTTCTTCCAACCTAATTCGAAATGTCACGTTGCTTAAAAGTATCGAGTATCGAGTATCACAGTTCTACTTGGAAAATCGCCGGAACCGAAAGCGATCAAAGGACTGAAGCACCTAGGTAGTTTAGCGTGCTCTGTAAGAATCATAGCTCCACAAAGTCATTACGATTGGTAAAGCCAACCGACAGACATTTAGGCTGTCCTGCCGCACTTTAATATGCGAATAAATTAAACTATTAAACAATTTTCACGGTTAAGGACCCGCCAGTAAAACATTCAATCAATGTTTTATTGTAATGATGGTGTAAGTGTCGCAAATCAACGTATATTTTAGCATTTAGTTGCGACTTACCTTTTTCGAAAACTTGCGAGTCTTTATCAGTTTCCATAGTTTGTACAAATGATGGAAGTATGTTTGTAGTAGCCAGACCGAAATCTCCAATTTTTACATGGTCATTACTGTCTAAAAATATGTTAACCGGTTTTAAGTCCCTGTGTATCATTCCCTGTTGATGAATATGCGCTAAACCTTCAACAATTTCTCGGAACAATCTCCACACTCTTTCTTGATCATTGTAAAGGCCTGCGTCAATTGCCGTACGAAGAGTACTCTTTTCACAGAATTCCATTTGAATGTACATGAATTGAATTTCTCTCGTCGTTTCCTTTGACAAATACGTATCTTCGGTGTCATCTTCTTTTGTGCTTGATTCAGGCTCTTGCCAATTTGAATCCCTTTCAAACTCTATGCCGTCGGAAGAATCAAACGTTAAAAGATTCCGCATTCTGAAAAATTATAAATTACAGATTTGCGACAATTCTTTCATGCACTTAAGGTTTTTATTTGCTGCAAAATTATTTTTACAATTTTAGATTATACCCTAAGTATATCGTTCAATTTTCATTCTAAAATATTTTTTACTATCTAAACATCTCAGTGGGTTTATTTGAAATTCGAACAGTAAACCTTTAAATCCTACAGCACCAATACGTATTTTCATAAAAAAATACACTTAGTGTTAGTTTGCGTAATTTTAAAATAAACGCTTGTACAAAATAAATACATTTCTCTAGGGTGACGTAACCTTATATATAAATTAACTTTAAAAGTGGTCAATATCTTACAAAAACGCACAATCTTCATCACTATCGGTGTCACTAGATGCATCGCTGTTGTCCTCATCACTATCTGGTGGAAGGGTTGTATTAGTTCGAGATTTGTATGAAACGTTCCACTCAACTTCTTGCAATGGAGGTGTCAATTTTTCAATATCATCCGTAATCAAGTGCTAAACAATTAAAGAATGTATAATAATGTGCAATTAATTCAATAAGACAAAAAAAAGAAAAGGAACGTATGATACTAGTTTAAACATGTACGAAGAAAACAAAAAGGGAGTTATAATAAAAGCATAATTAAGGTACACCCGGAAAAAAAACCTACACACAATAATACTATAAGTTTGTCCTACCGGTAATCGGTGAACAGCACATCACAATCTTAGTTCATGATCACTACGTCATTAGAAGTTTGATAGATTCGTTACTGTTAAAATTAATTTTAGTTACTACAGAAACCAGTGAAATAATAAGTACAATGAAATTCGGAAATATAAAAGTGAAGTTGTCAGTATAGGACAAGAAAAATGAGTAAATACAATAATTACATTAAACAGATCCTGCCGTTTTTTTACTGTGGGTGTTATATGCTCTTCTCCCATTTCCTCAGTTATGGTAGCACTTTCTATCCAGGAATTATAATACCGCACTACATTTTCATGATTCATGCGTGATAACAATTTGACCTCTCTGGTAATTTTTCTGTTGAGTTGTTTGTTCTTCGGGTTAAGTTCTATTCTTTTAATAGCATAAATTCCACCATCCAATTTATTTTTCACTTTCAGGACATCGCCGAAGGCGCCTTTACCAAGCCATTCAAGAACTTCGAATTCATTTGTAATTCTTGAATGACCACCTAAAGGCGGTACGTATTGCCGAATGTCTGTATCGGTCTCCTCTGGCTCATGATTTTTCTTTTCGTCTCTACGTGGTATTTTTGGTGGTGACAGAGCACGAGCTAGAGGTGCTTTTATAAAAGTGTGCTGTAACAATTGTTCAGCCGACCAGCGTTTTCTTTCGTCATTGGTAAGGCACTTCAGCAAAAAATCCCGGAGATCAGGCTGAAACAAATTACGTAGACGCTAAAGAAATATTTTAAATGCATTTTACGTTTGATTTTTAGCAGTAACAAATTGATCTTTTCGGATGAAAGGAAATTTAATGTATCGGATGGATGCCATTATGGAAACATAGTTCAGAAATGATTGCAAATAGCACTAAACAATTTTAATGAAATATTACAACGAACATATTTAAAATATGAGAAGACATACTTGAATTATCGCTGTTGGATCGATTTTGTCTCCAGAAACAATAACTCCGTTCAATAAAGAAAACATAAGAGCACCAAAACGGTATATGTCGGCTTTTTTTCCACCTCTTCCTTGAATACTGGGAAACTCCTGTTCAGGCTCGACTAGTGTATATGTTTGATAAATATCAGATAAACGTTTATTAAGTGAATAATCCGACACTTTTACTGTTCCCGTGCGATCAATGTAGATACTCGTGTCGCGTAGGTCTTTATGAACAACATTATTCTCATGAAGGAACCTCAAAGCAAAGAGGATCCCATTTGCCAGATATCGAAGAAGGTCAATGTCCACAGGAATATTTTCCATCAGAAAAAAGGCGCAGCTAGTACCTATCTGACATCCAATAGTTAATAATTAGAATTTTTCTTTCCGCTTTTTAAGTAGAAATTTAGTTTGGTAACACTATATGTATACTTCAATAACTTTCTATATTTTTCATTAACTAAATTTTTACATGTAAGCGACGAATTAATCGTTTACTTGTCTAACAAAGTTATTCGACTGAACTCCCATTAAGATAAACTTTTATTTATAAAACGTTATTCACATAAAAATATGCTCAGTATTGGATCAAGATAATAAACTTTTACTTTGCTTTATGTTATAAAATTTAAATAATGATTCAAGCGATATAAAACAATATTTTTTGTATCTTTGTAAGCTTTGACTCATGCTTACCACAAATTCTTGAAGAACGTAAATAAGTGCAGCATCTCCATCTTCTAGATATTTCATATTTAAATAGTGTACAAGGTTTGGATGATGTAATTTGTGTAAATGATTTATTTCTTGTTCTAGACTTCCTATTTGTTTAGTAATGTTTTGCATACTATTTTCATCAACTGTGTTATTTATTTTAAATGTCCATTCAGTAATTGCAAACAATTCACCAGTTGTCATATCCCCGCCTGCATATACAACTGACCCTTTAGTACTATGACCCATACATTTTCCTCTATACACTTGTCGTTCATCTGTAAATATTACTTAAATAAAGATCAAGATATTACTAAACCTTCACATATATTTAATTTAAGTTCCAAACTTGTATTAGAGTTCGCAACAGCTGTTTGACCTCATTCAGGTATAGCTAGTCACAAATTTGAGCATACACTTCTATTAAATTTATGTTACATAGAATATGACAAAAAAAATTGCAATAATTAGTAAATTCAAATGTTTATTAAAAATTCTTGGAATAAATTTATTTTCTGTTTTTATATATGCAAATTTATGTTAAAAAACGACATCTCCGCTTTTGTATGACTTTGTATCTTATAACACGGTTTCAATGTAACATGAAAGGAACTGACTGTGTTAGGAGGGTCTGTATATGTATAAGGCCCAAATTCAATCGTGCTATATCCTCACGAAATTGTGTTTTTCGACCGATATCAAATAGACGTTAAATTATCCTAATAATGAGATGATTACAACCCCTAGCAGAAAGTTTCCAATTATACAAAAAACTGTCGTACTTCAGGACATACAGTTGCTCACAAAAGTATCGACCCACATTATAAGTGTAATTATTTAAATAAATAAAATATGTTGGATATTGATTGGATGAAAGAATTTATAATAAATTTAATCAAATCATTTATTCTTACAATATAGTAAAGATGTAGAGATTACAGGAAAATTTGATCGAAAAGTGGAAAGAGTGGTAAAAGATTTATTTGAAAAATACAAAAATGTTTTCGTAATATCTCCTTAGCTCTATTTGTACTATTTATTTTGGGTCACTCTGTATATCAATGCCGCGTCTGACTTAAATGTAAATTTAATAAGAAATCAAGAATTTCATTTCTTCTAGTTGTACTTTTCCAATATAAGTAAAATACTATTAAATCTTGTCATTTAATAAATTTATTTTTTCATACTTGCGAAGTGTGGCAATAAAGTTTCGAGAATAATTCGATAAAAAATTTTATTTTGAGAATGAAACAGATGCGAAACCATCGCTTTTAAAGGAATCCCTTTCTCGACTATACATATGTGTTGCCTTGAATTTCAGAAATTAATTGAAAATGAGTTCCCTTTAGAATACTTTTTATTCGAATGCATAAAAATTGTAAGGTGACACATTAGATGGATATAGGGATGTTCTAGTAGAATAATCGATTTTTAAGTTAAAAACTATTTTACCGCAATAGCTGAGTAAAAAGGACACCTTCAATACTCACAAGCAGAGGTCGTTGATTTTAATTAAACTTTTTCTGGTAATTCTGGAATAAAAATAAACAGACACACATTCCAGACATAAAGTCTGGTCTTAATCTTCCAGACAGTACTATCACAGTGTCCTAAAAGGGAACCATAGAGGCAATCTTCGAAAAGGCTGTACCCCAAACAGAAACGATCCCAGAGGCGCAAGAACATCAAAGAATTAGAGACCAGATAACCACATATTCAAACTCCAACATAGAGAACGCGAATTCCATAAATGAAATAAAAAAAGTGATCAAAAAGTGTGACTACCGGTAAGATATTCGAAAGAATAATAATAGTGGAAAGAGTGAACTTGTATATTAGTAAAGGCCTGGAACATCCAAGTCCATATAGCTTCAACAGCCAAAAATCCACTAAAGACACCTCGAACGCTCAGAAACGGAGTAAAAACGACGAGAAACAAATACGTGGTTGCACTTTTTGAAGACATGGTAGGAGCATTCGACAATTCATAGTGGCTCATAATCATCAAAAGGGTAACAGACGCAGAATGCAGCAACAAAATTGTAAACTTATTTAAAAACTACTTCAAAAAGAGAAACATGTATATGAAGACATATCAAAAATAAATTATAACTGCTTTTTTATTCTATCATTTAAATAATTCTGCAAAAAAAAAAAAAAAAAAACTTTGCATACTTATTATTTAAAAACTATACTGAAACATAATCTAAAATATTATTTTACTTATTTTATGTTTACTTAAAATATTAAGCATAACTTACATTAATAGATTTTTAGTTTTCTTTCCCTATTGTGTGTTCTTTTGCCGTGTGTACATGTGTGCTGCTCTGCTTCATTCGTATCAAAACTTTGTCATATTCGTCTCTTACTATTTTTCCAATAGATTATATTGGTTTTGAAATATCTTTTTGACCGATTATACGTAGAGGTAGGTTTAAACAACACAGTGGATAGATATAACTATGTATATTGTTTCCATTAAGAATGGAAACAAAATTATTCTCGAAACTTTATTGCCACATCTCGTATATCGAAATACAATGTAAGAAATGATAATGATAAATTGTACACCTTTATTTTGATCGAAGTGTAGCAACTTTGTGCCTTTATGTTCGCATAAAAAACCATCAGAACTTTCGGAGCTACTAGCACACCTCCTTCGAGAATAAATTCGTGATCTCTCTTGAGGAGATGACGGTATTGATTGAGATAGATAACTTGATCGGTCATTACACAAACGAATTGATTCTTTTCGATTACGATTTTCAGCTTTTAGAGCTTCTTGTCTTTTTTGAATTTCATCCTGTAATACCTGCAATTTTTTTTTATTACCGACGAGATTCTGACGACCATAGGTATATATTTTTCAAGTATCGAGGTAGAGACATTTAAATAAATGCCTTTCTTTAAAGATGATAAGTTATGCTAAAATCTCTAACACCTGTATTTTAAACTATTAACATTTATTTAATTATCTCAGATGTAAAACTGCTCATGTAATATGCTAAATTATTTAACCTGTCTTTCTTTATCCTCCTTTAGCCGTTTCTCCAACATCTCAAATTCGATTTTCTCTTGGTGCCTCGAAACCATTTCTTCATAAAAACTGCTATAGCTTGGTTTGTTATTCTCATGTAGATATTTTTGAATATGTTGAGCTAACTCAAAAATCATTACTTCTCCTCGTAATCGCATCGTGAGTTCCATTAATTCAGAATATAATACTGCAATCTGTTGGTGGGATAAGCCTCTGCTCTTCTGTAGTTCTATACTTGGCACTCTGGAATTTATGAAGCGTGCAATGGAAAAAAATTTTCTAACAGATTCTACTGTACTATTTTATTAAAGAGAAAGTTATTTTGTAAGATAAATAGTTGCAAAGACAAGAATTTCAAAGTCCTCAGTGACATACACAATATAGAAGTTCAGTTCTATTGTAAGTGTTAAGGCAGCAAAATATATTCTGGGTGATCTAAAAATACAACAAAAGCTGAAAATCTCTTTGCTCAAACTACTAGTAAATGGAATAGACAAAAAACTATCTCACTATTGTTTCAGAAAGAAACAGAGTTGCGGAAAACCTCTTTTCTTCGAAAAAAAAGAATTTCAAATCGTTCTGGAAAAATTATTTTTGGTTGTGGAGGTCAATTACAATCATTTTTTATGAATAGACATACCCCCGAAATCCTACGCGTTTTCGAGAAAAAAATTCGAGTAGGTGCTGAAATTTTTCAGTGGAAAAAAAAAATTTCTAATCATTCTGGAAAAAATTATTTTTAGTTACAGGGATCAATTACAATCACTTTTGGTGAGTAGATATACCGCCGAAATCCTACGCATGTTTAAGAAAGAAATCTTTACCGCAAATATAATGTGTGACCAGAAATCTGCAATTACATTTCTCATTTGTATCAGTTCATATGTATTATAGATATAATCCAATTATCCGGCATATAAAATTTTAATGGTAGATTTTAGAGGCCAGAATAGGATGAAAATCAAGAATACCAATCTGTTGATTGAGGCTCGAGGATGCGGACACAAGTGAGAAATTATGATGCATTGTATAATGTCACATTCAAATTTGTTAAAATGAAGAACTTATTTTATGAATCATTGAACAGACTAAAAACGTATGATGAAATAACTAAAAATGTACTTACTCATCAGGATATTTATCGCTGCAGGTTACATGTAAATCGATCTGTGCATACACTTCAGCTGGGCCAGACATGCTTCTCTGTGGTATCAAAGTAATGGACATATCTAGTGGTTGCCATTTTCGCCTACTTTTCCCACGTCGTAAATCATGAAGGTCGTCACCAAAAATACTCTGTAAAATGAAATACCGGAAAATAAGAACTTAAAAAATTTAATTAAGATGATTTAATACTTTAACTTACAAGTAGGTAAGTACTTTAACATAGTAAGTAGCGTAAATGAATCAATATCGATATACATATAATTTGTGATCCTATACCTAGAAGCCTACACTTGAAAATTTTATTTTCGTTCAGTAATTTGACAAGTAAAACACACCTGTGTATTTAGTAATTGATGTAGGTACATATATTTTACTTAATTAATATTGTACGTTACACTACACGCTATGCGAATCACAGATGGAACAATGGAATTCATCAGGACGCAAGGTGTCACAAACACACGATCGTTCACGTCTGGATGTGTGCAAGAAAGTACACCTTTGGACGTCTCAAAACAGAGCCTTCATTTAGGTTATTAATTTTTATTTTATTACTACTACAATTTACAGTGAAATGGCCAAAAAAGTGGTCCCTCAGACTTTGTACAGTTATTTTGACCTGTGTAGGTGGCTGAAGAAAATACAAAAATTCATTTGATGTCCCTGAGCAGGAATGACCTGTATAGCTAGATGGGAGTTAGTGTAGTAAAGTCAATGCTTCCAAATGGTCGTACTCTTGTAGACAAGATACAATCATTTGTTTTCAGGCAGCAACTGAAGTTTTGTAGTTTATTTTATGACATAACTTTGTTTATTCATATAAGTCGAAGAATAAGTCAAGTATCAGTGAGTCCTTGGAATAGTCAGGTTCCCCAATCATACTTCCTGACTAACCACTTGATAAAAACCAAGGAGTAGCTAAAATTTAAAGGGCATCCCTATTTTAACCACTCTTTATACAGAGTATTTTAGTTTCTTCCCTTGCAAAATACGTTTCAATAGCTAATAATAATCTTGCAATTACTAGAGTGCCATATATTGAAGTCATTATCATTTAGAAAACTGAAGGAAACCAGATTAAACCCAAGAACCTAACAGTCTATTATTTGATATGTGATATGTCATTAAAGCTATTACATGTAATTTAAAACAGAATGTTGTATGCTTTGATGATAAAAAAATATCTTCATCTTACATTAAACACCCATATTTTCCCCTCTAATTTTTATAAAATGAAAGTTAAGTTAGCATTCTAAGTTTTGAGCCACACAGTTGCAAGAGACATGTACATGTATTAGAATTTAGGTGTATTTCCTGAAGAAGCCTTAGGAGCTATCAAGTTGATAGATAAATTGAATAAATTATTTGATATATTAAATTCTTCAGCTGTTAACAATCATTGTGAATTGAAGAATATTTTCAGTGGATTGGATTCTTAATTACAATGTTTAGACGATATGGTAGAGTTTATTCATTAATAAAAACAGTAAAAAACACATTAGTAATCTATGCATAATATTATACAAAACTTTACAAGTATTTCCAAAGTTAAATGTACATAACCTTCGATTTCTTAGATTCTTGTATTAGTGACTAATTTTCAATAATTGCATCAAATGCTTCGGTTTTTTAATTATTCGTAGTTATATCTTAACTAGCATCATTAGAAGAATTTTAATAAAAAATAGTAAATTATTATATAATGAAAATTTTGCTTACTATACTCGATGTTCTTTACATGTAAAAAACAACCGCTATTCAGAATATTTCAATGCCTAAGCTATAATCATATTAAAAAATATCAAATTCGAAACATGTGAATTACAAATCTAAAAGAAACATTTTGGCGCCTTAGGACTCACCTTTAAAACTTCAATTTCGTTCTCCTGTCGATCTTTACAAGACTCGCGGGACATACTTTTCTAACTGCGTTATATTTTCATTGCTAACCTTAATGCACTTCAACAGCTCCCGATGTTTATGTTTATTTCGTGGTTCGACACTTAACCTTAAGCTCGATAAGAACACCGGTCACTTGAAGTTGCAATTTAAACAGATCATCCGATATTTAAAAAGTTTCCTCACATAATTGCTCATTACAAATATTTAATAATTCGAATTAAATTTAAATTTACAAATGTATTATCTCATTTCATAATTTACACAAAAAGTTTCACACAATACTCGCGAACAATATTACCTCTTTTCTTCTGTTGATCAACTAAAGCGTCTAAGTACCTTAATCACACAGTTTATCTTGATTCAAAAACGGTTCAATGTTGTCTTCACGGACAATGAAAATAAATGAGCGATTTTCTACAGGTGACCTACGTAACGGCACAGTACGAGAAGTATCCGGTATATGAACTACTATTTGTCACATCAAGAACGTAGGAAATTTAAAATGACTAATAAAAATAATAATTAAATATCGGCAGTATTAATATTATAATATTATAACAATTATAATAAAAATGATAACAAAATATCCAATTTCTATTATGTTTAATTTAATGCAGTATAATTTTCTAGATAATATAATGTATTTCCTTTCTGTAGTTTTATTATTATATTTAATACGTTTACGTGTAAAAAGTAATTGATACTGTTCTTTAAATATTGTCGTTTTTGTGTATGTATTTACCAACCTATATGTCGAACGACCTTCATTATATTAGGATCTAGATATATGTATATATGGTACATACATATGTATTTCGCGCTGAATTAGTAATATAATATTCTATATCAATTTCGGATATTGCTTTAAAAATAATATGTGTACTGGTAATATAAAATTATGCTCGAGTATTTATTTAATATTTAAATAATTAAATATTTAAAGATAACAATAAAAGGCAGACACACAAATTTTTAAAATTTGTTAATATTTTCTATCATTCGTTTGAAAATATATTTGGAATGTAGCAAATAGTATTTTAGTGACATCTTTGAATCAAAACCATATGTTATTAATACTCCGTCAGTTAGTTATCAATGACCGAACCTGACGTAACATAACCTACAATCAGAGATGCCAGATTCAGCACCGGGTGCACTACTCACACTATGCCAGATCACGCATACGTGAGCTCGTAGAGTTTCGGAAAGTCGACAAAGGCAAACTGACGCATGCTCTCTTTCTCGATTCTCCGAAGCTGTCCGAAGTAATTTCGGACCGCCTCGTGGAAGTCGAGAGAGAAAAGCTCACATTTGCTTTCTCACTCTTGAACAACTGAAATCGGACCTCCCGTCAACGACATACGATTTGGAATCTCGACTGCTCAGGCATTTTTACTTTCCGACCTATGTAGGCGCACATAAGCAAAGTACCCATAATGAAAAAAAAATTTTGTAAAATTTATTTTACGGAAATACACTTTTAATGACCCCCTGATCATATTTTAATTATTGAAAAAAAAGAAATTTTTGTTTATTATTCCTATGTATGAGCGTACATATGCATATTATTAATGCGATTGAGTATAAATAGCTGAATGAATTTAAATGAAACTTAATTAATTTCTGCAACTATTAATTCTACTGTTTTGTTTATATTATAAAAATAAGAACTCTTCTTAATGAAAAATGCCTAGCGTGCACGATACTGGCGAAGAGAGGAGTTTTAATTTATTAATTTTCAATCGTAAAGTATTTTGACTTTGAATAATCGTATTAATAATATACATATGTACGCTCATACAAGGCAGAGGAAAAGGGGGTTGGGGAAAAGATAAGGGAAATTTTGGACGAAGAAGGGAAAGGGGAGGGATGGTTGAAAAGACTGGAGGAAAAGAGGAGGAAAGGGGGGAGAGAGTTTAGGAAGGAGGGAGGTAGGAAAGGAGGAAGGAGTGAAAGAAGGAATGGAATGAAAGGAGGGAAATGGAAGTCAAAGGCGGAGGAGGCGGGCGTGGAAATACGGAGGCGTAGTTTTAAGAATAGGAAATAGAAAGCGAAGCGAGGCAAAGCGAGACGAAGCGAGCGAATGCGAGGCGTGGCGAGACGAAGCGAGCGAATGCGAGCGTACAAGGCGCGTAGGTTAAGGTTAGGTTAAGAGTAGGTTAAGCGGAGGGAAGGAGAGGGGAGGAAAGCGAATGAAGGAGGATGGGTGAAGGATAGCATTAAGTTAGTTTAAGGAGGAATTGTGAGGGAAAGGAGGAGAGACTATGTAACCCTAAGGGGAAACAATAAAATGTACGCTCATACATAGGAATAATAAACAAAAATTTCTTTTTTTTCAATAATTAAAATATGATCAGGGGGTCTTTAAACGTGTATTTCCGTAAAATAAATTTTACAAAATTTTTTTTTCATTATGGGTACTTTGCTTATGTGCGCCTACATAGGTCAGAAAGTAAAAATGCCTGAGCAGTCGAGATTCCAAATCGTATGTCGTTGACGGGATGTCGGATTTCAGTTGTTCAAGAGCGAGAAAGCAAATGTGAGCCTTTCTCTCTCGACTTCCACGAGGCGGTCCGAAATTACTTCGGGCAGCTTCGGAGAATCGAGAAAGAGAGCATGCGTCAGTTTGCCTTTGTCGACTTTCCGAAACTACAAGCTCACGTACACGTGATCTGGCATAATGTGAGAGAGCACCTACGGTGCACTTCTGGCACCTCTGCCTACAATTTGTATCTACGTTTAACAGGTTATATTGTGTGCAAAGTAAAAATAATATATTGATAATTCTTTATAAAGTGATATTCAAGTAATTTTTAATTTTAAAAATTCTAGTTTTTTTAGTAAATACTTATAAATACTTAGTTTCATTTTGCACTGAAACCCGAATGTGTCATCAAAGTGTGTTGGCAAAAGCTGGATAACAACTGGGCACATTTATCTTTTCATTCTGTTTACGTGAACGTTAGATAGTGGCAGCAAAATGGTTCTCGCAGACTTAGGTCGTAAAATTACATCTGCATTACGATCTCTCAGCAATGCAACCGTTATTAATGAAGAAGTAAGTATTCCTTTATGAACATAACCTGAAAATATATTTTCACATACTGTTACTAATGAAAGTATTCATACAATAGGATATGTTTAGATTTATTATGCCATTAACTTCATTATTCATACACAAAACAACTGAGTATGGTTTTATTCTTTTGTGATCAGACATTAAGTTCTTGTCCTTGTTATTGAAAATGTTGAATTTATATATGTAGATGATTTATGAATATTGTAATAAATATATAATAATATGTATTAAAATAGTTGGATAATATTTAAAGAATGACAAGTTATGAATTATGTGTAATGTACACATGTAATTTTAATATTTAGTAATATAGTTATTTTGTTTCAAATAATGTTTAATTTGTTTCAACATTGAAGATATTACGTCTTACAAGCAATTGATGCTTGCACATTTCTATTCTTATTTTAATTCATTTTCAAATTCTTCGTTGGACTATGTAGGTTATGTAGATCAAGAGGAGAACCGTTTGACACTAAACGGCTGTATATCACTTCATGGATTCCTTATAATGCTATGTGCTTTATGAACAGTCAGTTTTGTTGTAAATAGAAAGAGGTGTTTCTTTAAATGTAACTTAATGCCTTTTTAGGGACTCATAAACGAATGAGATTTTATAATCTACAATTACTTTGTGGTTTGTTCATGGATCAAACAAGAAGGATGACATACTGACTATAAAACAAAAATAGATTCTTAAGAATGGTTACCTTTTTAATATTGTAATTTAAAAATGATATCTTAATTTCAATCAATTAAAATACACATCATTTTAAGAATGTATAATTTATAAATAAAAATAAATAATTGAGAAAATATGTGAAAAAGACTAAACCATGTCTCAAATGGTCACATATAGCTTGTAGGTAGCAGATTCTTCATTGCTGATTTAGATCCTATTGTCATCTAATTTTCTAAATAATTGCATAACAGAAATTTTTGGAATAATAGTGGTTTAGAGCTTGATAGAAAAAGTGAAAATTATATTAGAGTTTTGTGAAATCATATAAGTGAGAACAAGCACATAAACAATTCAGGTTCTGTAATAGCTTCCAAAGATTATTTTAGATTAATTTGTAACACCTTTTAAAGGAAAGTATATTGGCACAAAAATGTTTAAAATAAAAAATAAACAATAAAGTGGGAACACATAATGTACAAGAAAGATAAGAATATTTTTAATCACAGGTATGTTACAAAGTTAAAAACTGATCATTCATTTTTTCTAAGCATGAATCAGTTAGCTTTCTCGCTGGAATCCATTAAAAAATGTAAATTGCGAAAATTTTAGTTTTTTAAAATATTTTTGTTATTGAAATGTGTTATATTTTAATTGCTTTTATATTGATTATCACAAATGTATTAAAATTTTTGGAGATATTTTTGCACCTATATCGTCACAATGTTGAGTATCAATCTACTTAAAGATCAAATGCAATCAATCTTCAATTGCAATGGAATTATTTAACGTATGGTTAATTTTAATATGACCCTCTTTTTATTAACGAATATTTCTTTAAAACAATTGCAAAAGAAATTGTTAAACAAATTTGTTTTTAAACCGAAGTAAGTTTCAGTTAATAAATCTTTTTCTGTAATATGAATGTTGAAAAAATCATCGTCATCCGATTGTCAAACTAGCGATTATCATTTATTAATGAAAAGTTAGTATCATATTTTAAACATCTGTAAAACAGTTTTTTAAATATTGAATAATCCTACGAGACATGAGACACGATATTCATTTGTTCCAATTACGTTATGCAATGTGTAACAATGCGTCTCTACATATGTAGGTAGAGTAGTTCAATGAGAATATTAATCTATTTGAACATACAAAATGTCTCAACAGAACCAGTATACCTCTGCGTAAGAATATTTATGAATGGACAATATAAAAGAGTAGGAAACTGTGCATGTAAGAAGAAATACAGTAAATCTTGGATAACTGCGAGGAACACGGGTCTGAAATCTCACAGTTATAAAAGCATGATTAATTTTCAGTTCCCAGAAAGGCACAAGCCGAGCTACGGTGTTTGGCTGTGTATATTGTTGAACATAGAAAAGGACAATGAATGAGGGGTAAATAAGAATAACACAATGTGAAACTTATGTATTTTTTATTTTTTGTTGATGGGACCTTTATTAATATATTTGTGACGTTTTTCTGATTGAAATAAGATAAAACACGATATAACTTGGATCATATTTGCGTATTTAATGAGTGAAAATAACTCATTTCACTTATGTCCCATTAGAAGTAGGTTAAAACAAATTATATCGTGTTTGGTCTTATTTTAATCAGAAAACTTTTACAAACACATTGGTAAAACTTTTGTCTAAAAAAAAATAAAAAAGTTTCATCTATATGTTTGTACTATGTATGTATTGTCTCATCGATATTCGAGCCCAGATCAGATTATACTATGTGGTCAGCTCGACGTTGAGCTTTTCGGTATGTCAAGGGGAGTCCCGTCTCAGTAGTAGGGATGACTACCGTTCACTTATTCAATCGAAAATGACTCGCAGTTATCCAAACATTGCTGTACTTGTATACTATGTATACTCAACGACCCCGAAAATTGTAAAATTGATTATGACTCGTCAGATAATGAACTGCGAAGACGAACTGAATTTTGTAGTTTCAGGGGGACTAATTACATTTCTTAGTGATAAAATTAAGTAATAAAATAGGTTTAAGCACATGTATATGTAGTATATAAGTTGCGTAAATTATAAAATCTATTTGTGTTATTTATAGGTTCTTAATTCTATGCTAAAAGAAATATGCGCTGCATTACTGGAAGCAGATGTCAACATAAGACTTGTTAAGAAACTCAGAGAAAATGTACGTCTTGTTATTGACTTTGATGATATGGCTGGAGGTCTTAATAAAAGGAGGATGATACAAAGTGCCGTCTTCAAAGAACTTGTAAAGGTAAGTTACATCATTTGCTCGTTGTTTGAAAATAAAGTCTTTTAAAACAATTCTATTTTTACTTATGTTTTTAATAAAAATTATTTGTTGGTAATAAAATATGATCAACTTTGTTACCTATGTTCATCAATTTCGTTTTATTGTCATTTTACCGAGTCGAACATTTTTTTTGCTAGTAAAAGATTTTTTATAAACGGTTAGTCGTAATTAGAAATTATTAAATAAAATTTTTGATCTGTTACAGTTGATTGATCCAGGAGTGAAAGCTTATCAGCCTGTGAAAGGACGACCAAATGTAATTATGTTTGTTGGTTTGCAAGGTTCAGGAAAAACTACCACTTGCACAAAACTTGCATATCATTACCTGAAGAAAAATTGGAAAGCCTGTTTGGTTTGTGCTGATACTTTCCGCGCTGGTGCTTACGATCAAATAAAACAAAACTCAACGAAAGCGAGAATCCCGTTTTACGGAAGGTTAGTCAACATTTTATTTCATTTGATAAGGAACACCTTCCAGCAGTCCAACACCCTATCCAGGGTGTTCGGCCACCCCTGGGAAAAAATTTTAATGGGAGATTCTAGGAGCCAAAATAAGACGAAAATCAAGAATACCAATTTGTTGATCGAGGCTTCGTTAAAAATAATTAAATTCAAAAATATCAAATCGTTCTGGAAAAATTATTTTCGGTTGCGGGGGTCAATTATAATCATTTTTGGTCATTACACATACTCCCGAAATCCTACGCACTTTCGAGAAAAAAATTCAGTACGGGTGCTACTTTAAACATTAATAACTTTTTAACGAAGCCTACATCAACAAATCGGTATTCTTGATTTTCGTCTTATTTTAGCTCCTAGAATCTCCCATTAAAATTTTTTCCCAGGGGTGGCCGAACACCCTGTATAACAGTAGCAGGAATATCCGCTTGGCTGATGCAGGCACCGCGCGACTTGGCCAGTCGAGCCAGCATGCCACGGACACGACGCAGTGTTATATTCAATTAATTTTCATAAGGCCAATTTTAAAGTGTCCGTATTTCTAAAACTTTGTCCGTAAAGGGACAGGACTATATGCTCATTTTTTTCAGATTTTTAAATATTTCCCCGCTATAAAAAAATGACATTTGTTGTAAACAATTGCAAAATAAATAGTAAACAAAAATTTTTTTTTAATTGAAATAATTTTTATTTGGTACTCCCATGGATCTACTACAAGTACTTAAAGGTGCATTTTTATCACTTTCTTACTTTAGCAGCTATTATTTATTGAAAAAAAGTGAGCTGTATATTTCAAATAGATGTAAAACCAACAATTTTAAAAATTTAAAAAAATCCTTCGAGATACGATTACATATCACTAAAGACTACAACATATTTAAACTATAGCAAAATCTGACATGGTACTCCAAAAGGTGTCCGATTTCGCATGGAATGACCCTTACACATTTTGAAGCGTGCCTCGTATTTATTTATGGCAAGTCTCACCATTTTCTTAGGATTTTATTTTACATTGAAGCTGTAAAAATAGATTTTTAAATCGTGTTAGCTCACTTTTCATGACAGCTGTATTTACATCAGTATTACTGTCCCTAGAGAAAATCAGTTTAATCAGGTTAAATAAAAGTTGCATGGCTTCGGGTTGGTGTACGATGCATCACACAAAAGTTTCTAGTAATTATTTATCATATTAAAGGTACGTTTTCACATGATAGCGGTTTTCCGACTATTTCTATGCAGTTAAAAATAGGGTAAACTAAAGTAATTTCAGAATCTGTTCGTATTGTTCATGAAATGATAATAAAGTTTATTGTCACGACAGTGATAAAAGTTATACTAGTCATAACGTGAAAACCATAGTTTTTTTAAATAAAAAAACATCTAAAGAATTATTTATAACGCACTAACATGTTTATAACACGCGCAAAGAAATGGATACTCCAAAAATAGGATTGACGAATAATAAATTAAATTTCATAAGTTTAAAGTGCCACCCCTGGGAAAAATTTTAATGGGAGATTCTAGAGGCCAAAATAAGACGAAAATCAAGGATGCTTGTTTGTTGATTGAGGCTTCGTTAAAAAGTTATAGAAACATTTCCATCCACATAGTATATTTTCGGTAAAGAATTTTTTTCTCAAAAGTACGTAGGAATTCGTGGGTATGTCTATTCACCAAAAATGATTGTATTTGACCCTCGCAACTGAAAATAATTTTTCCGTGAATGATTTGAAGTTTTTTAATTTAATTCTGTTAATAACTTTTTAAGAAATTGATTTTCTTGATTTTCGTCTTATTTTGGCCTCTAGAATCTCCCATTAAAATTTTTCCTAGGGATGGCCGAACACCCCGTATAGGATATAGATATTGTTGCGATAAAAATACCTATTTGTCAGTTCTCTCTTTTTATTTAAACAATAGTACACAATATACAAAAAGTTTTTGCATTTTTATTAACTAGAAACTGTAACATAAAATAATACTTTTATTTGTTAATTGTAAATTTACGTAAAATACAGAGCACATATCGTAAAATTATATTGATATTTGAGTATTTTTATGATCGACTGTAGATAATGATAGTACTAAAAAAGGAATATAATTATAATTATCAGAATTTTTTAATTAGTTACACAGAAGTAGATCCAGTAACAATAGCACAGGATGGTGTGGAAATGTTTAAGAAGGAAGGATATGAAATCATTATCGTCGATACTAGTGGCAGGCACAAACAGGAAGAGTCCTTATTTGAAGAAATGCTTCAAGTTGTGAACGCAATCGTAAGTACTTTGGATGTTATCCATACTTTGTTAGTAATAATTAATTAGCGATGACTGACCGAGAATCTTTCCGAATTTTTAAATTATTTTAATTTGTTGAATTAAGTGTGAATCAGCAAATTAAGATTCTTTGATTTTTTATTTTGTGCAAAAGAATGTAGCTATATAAAATATGCTTCGGTTCAAATATTTATTGTTAAGGGTAGCGAATTAATTACAGCAGAATTATCACAATGTTACAGTTACTCATATGTTTGTTTTTTACACTACATAGTATAAGATATATTAGGTCATCCCATAAGTAATGTCGTCTCTTATCGTACCATAAATAAACACTTGAATCGCATCTCAGCGATGTGTTTATAGAAACTTCTTTCTATGTAGCTTAAAGAGTGCTCTCTAGCGACAATCTATCGGTTGCGTTCGATGCAGTTTGATCTACATTTTTCAGTTGAAAAAAAGATTTTTAAATGAGCGTGTGCGAACTTCATTTGCAGCATTGTATGCTTTATGAATTTAAAAAAGGTAGTACAACTACGGATACGGTTGAAATATTTGTGAAGTGTATGGTGAACATGCTTTGAATTTGAGAAAGTGTCAAAGATGGTTTTCCAAATTTCGAAAAGGTGATTTTATCCTTTCTGACGAACCGAGATCTGGTCGACCGACAACGTTCAATCCTGAGGCATTGGAAGGTTTAATCGAGTTAGAACCACAATTAACTACCGATGAAATTGCTGAGAGATTAGGCAGTAGCAGCAGTACTGTCCGTAGACATTTAATACAAACCAGCGCATGAACATTTGTGCTTCTCTGCGAGATCGACAAAATAATCGTTCATTTCTCGATCAGATTATTACTGGTGACGAAAAGTCGGTCTTATACTGCAATCCCAAACGAAAACATCAATGGCTATCACCTGTTCAATCATCTTTACAGTGCCCAAAACCAGGGCTTCATCCTCGGAAAGTTTTGTCGTGCGCGTGGTGGGATATTAGAGGAATTATTCATTTTGAGCTTTTAAAGCAAAATCAGACCGTACCAGCTGAAATTTACAGCCAACAATTTGAACGTCTTCAAGCAGCGTTAGTGGAAAAACGACCATCATTAGTGAATCGCAAAGGTGTTCTATTCCATCACCATAACGCTAGGCCACACAGCAAAGGATAACAGTACAAAAAATTAAAAATTTCAATTGGGAACTTCTGCCACACCCATCGTACTCTCCAGATCTTGTCCCAAGCGATTATCATCTATTCCGGTCAATGCAACATTTTTTAAGTGGAAAAAATTTCAACAATAGCGAGGATGTAAAATCAGCACTAAATGAGTATTTTAATTCAAAATCCCAGAAGTTTTTCGAAAATGGAATAAGAAAGTTGACTGATAGACGGGAAAAGGTCATCGAAACTGATGGTCAATATATCGATGATTGAAAATAAATGTAAGTATTAATTTTTTTCACCGAAAGTCACCGTTAAAAAACGACATTACTTATGGGATGACCTAATACATAAATGCTCGATGTTCATCCCCACCACTTAGAGGAAATGCCCTTTGATAGATCACAAAACTCGGCAGTCGAGAAGGGCTTCCTTCTCTTTCACTCGCTGTCCTTTTCTACGTTCGCCAGTCGACTCGGGCTGTTTCTCTAATTAGAATTGATCCATCTACTCCATAAACGTCTGACTTAAAGTCTCAATTTTCGAGCATATATCCAACTTTTATCTATGCTTTTATAACTATGAGACTTTGGTCTCGCGTTTCTTTCAGTTACTCAAGTATTGCTCTATTGTATTGTTGCGATAATCGACATTTTTTATGTTTATATAACAGGTGAATCTATCGATCAAATTTAATTTTGTTCCATGTATTACCTAAGCTGGGTATCGCACTCGCTACAGGGAAACAACTAGCTCAACTCTAATCATTCCATAAAAATTAAAATTACTATACTAACTAGTCTATTAATATTCTGTGATTAGTATTATAGTTTTGATGAAATGGTTTAGAGTTGGGCTTGTTTTAATTTGTTTAATTTTAGTTTTAATTATTTTCAGCAACCAGATAATATAATCTTCGTTATGGATGCGACAATAGGACAGGCTTGCGAAGCTCAAGCAAAAGCTTTTAAAGAACGCGTTAATGTTGGTTCTATCATCATTACGAAACTTGATGGACACGCGAAAGGTGGAGGTGCTCTTTCAGCGTAAGTTTTTACGATCCTTAAAATGGTCTTTGCAAATTTTAATAAAATAATCTTGAAGTATTTTCCGTAATATTTTGTACGCTTGCATGCATTTTAAATTAGTAAGTGATACTAACTACTGTGGAATTTAGTAATCACTAAAAACAGTTCTCATTAACAATGTAAAGTCGTTTTTGACAAAAGTTCTTTACTATTGAATTGAGCTAACTTGGTGCAAATACATTGCTGCTCCACGGTGAGTGCTTACAGCTCGTTGCGTCGCCATGTTTGGCGCTATTGCGTGGGTGCAAATGCAAACATAAGCTTAATTAGCTTGGTACTAAACGTGATAAGTAGAAATGGGTTCATAGCCTATCCCGTTCCTTCATATGTTTAATAAAAATCAATTTGGTAGATTTTGAGTTAATCCAGGTCGAACAAACAGATAGACAGGCAAAAATTTGTAATTCGGTTTAGACAAAGTTACAATTTTATTTATATATGTATATGTATAGACATACTTCATTATTATGTTTTCTATTTCTACATATATGTTAGTTCTTATTTACTTTGTATTGTAATAGCAATTTACGTCACGAATCATTTGTCCAAAAATTAATTTATTGTTCGATCGTTTAATTACTATTGTTTTTCGAAGTTTTTCGTATTACGTAAGTACGTATATTTCTATAGGGTTGCTGCAACACAAAGTCCAGTGATTTTTGTAGGCACAGGAGAACACATAGATGACTTGGAGCCATTCAAAACAAAGCCTTTTATTAGCAAACTATTGGGTATGGGTGACATAGAAGGTCTTATAGACAAAGTGAATGAATTAAATCTTGATGATAATGAAGAATTACTCGAAAAAATCAAACATGGTCAATTCACTTTGAGGGATATGTATGAGCAGTTTCAAAATATTATGAAAATGGGTCCATTTTCTCAACTATTGGTGGGTTCTATTTTTATGGTGAATTTATTGTTATGCATTTACGGGAGTATTACTGATATTATTATTTTAGGTCCTCGTTAACATTTTATATACCTTTATTAAATTCCTTAAATCTTTTAGAAGTATTAATTCACATAAATTTGGTACATTAATTCCTATTTGAACTTTCAACTATTGATGCGTCATTATCGGTTTATACGATCGCAAATTAAAATGAATAAAATATTTTTTTTTATTAAATAGGGGATGATTCCTGGTTTTAGCCAAGATTTTATGTCGAAAGGTACAGAACAGGAGTCCATGGCAAGATTAAAACGTTTGATGACCATTATGGATAGTATGAACGACTCAGGTTAATATTTATTTGCAATTAAATAACCGCTAGTTATTGGGGTAGAACATATGAAATATTCATTTTAAGGTAACCTCTATGTCTATAATCTCCACCTGCTCCGAATACTATTTACCTTTATATTATTTTATCTTTTTATTTTCGCGATATTTGAAGTATCGTGGCGATTAATATTGTTTTTAACTGCATAGTATACGTGACATTAAACGACAATTTGCTACAATATAATGTTAGTGATATATTGATCTAAACTCAACTGTGCTTCTGAGGCATTTATATTAACACGGGACGGTTAGATCACGCAACGTTTCCAATGACAGAAGTGTCGGCCATTATGTTTGTCACGGTTTCTGACAATAGCGACTATAGTCACCACCCGTACTAAAAGGGTTAAATAGCAATAACTGAAGAATATAGAAATTATTAACGTAAACTAATATTTATAGAACTGGATAACAGGGATGGTTCAAAATTGTTCAGCAAACAACAAGGCAGGATAGTAAGGGTAGCACAAGGTTCTGGAGTAACTGAAAAAGAAGTTAAAGATTTAATTACACAGTATACGAAATTCGCAGCTGTTGTAAAGAAAATGGGTGGTATTAAGGGATTATTTAAAGCTGGAGATATGACTAAAAATGTAAATTCGACGCAAATGGCGAAATTAAATCATCAAATGGCAAAAATGATGGACCCAAGAGTTTTGCATCAAATGGGTAAGTCATTCATATACTGGTTTATAATAAGAGTTCTAAGTTGTGGTACGAGTGTGTTCTGTTTGACGATCGATTGAGAAGTGATACGATTGAAAAGTGTTTTGTTTGGTGACTGATTGTGAAGTATTCTAAAGAATGTAAAAATATGAACAATGACTTGAGGAATTGGTGTGTTGTACTTGCGAGTTCTGTGCTGACAATCTTAGGAAGTAATGATGATAATTTCGTCGCAGCTTGCGAGTGATTATTGTATACACTTAAATTCTTTCTGCCAGGCGGTATGCCAGGATTACAGAACATCATGAAGCAACTTCAACAAGGTGCAGCAGGTGGACTCGGAAACTTAATGAGTGGTTTTGGTGGAAAGTCGTGAGAGTTGGCTCTGTCAGACTCTGATATAATTTTTCGTTAAACATCAGTCACTAACAAAGAAGAGGAAAGGACTTCGAAGCCGTGACTTTTTATCGAGGATGATCTCTTTAAAAAATAATAAAAATTTAGGGAAAATTTTATTATTTATGTTTAAAGATTTTTCTCAATATGAAAAAAAAAAAAATAAAAAGTGATTTTCTGTACTATATGTATTCCTTCTGTAGTTATTTGCATTCTTATTTTCCTTTCCGTTCTTCATATATTTTGTCTATATGCAACTTTTTATTACAAACATATATGATAATTTTCAAAGTTCTCGTAAACTTTCATTGTATTTATAGTAGTACTTATCAATCATCGTACTGTAACGACATTTAAGCAATTGATAATAATACATTTTACCTTACCATTAAATGTTTAAATAAATGCTAAAATACATGCTACTACAATTACATAAAATTAAAATGACCTAATATATTATATTCATAGATTTGAAGATACAGATGACGGTAATATTTTATTCAATAATTTTAAATATGTAATCATATGACTACAGTCAGAATGAAAGAATTAAGAAATAGTATATACATCGTATGGTATATTATTATATTCCAGAATACGAAATTTATTATCGGATCAAAAACAAAATTAGCTTAAGGGGCCATTCTACCTTGTAGGCATGAAAAATACGTGTTTCTTTGTGATTTTTTTTTGCGGGTTATTAAAGAGCGATTAATTCCGGATTTTGTAGATACATTTATTATATATTTAGCTATATTTACGAATTTTTGCAACGCATAATATCTATTGATTACGCTGTTTTTGTTGATCATCAAACAACAGTTTTTACGAACGGCACCCGACTGCGTACGTGATATCTTGCGAACAAGTTATTCGAAATCCTAAAACCAACGATATTCTTAATATAGATGAGTGTGGTTATAGCATGAACTAGGATCTTTTCAAAAAAACAAAAAATGGCAAAATGGCAGCTATTTTACGAAAAAATACTGAATATTTTCATATATTTGGTTGCTTTTTTGTTAATAAAAGAAAAAGTATTGCATATATCGCAATTATCCTAGTTCATGCTATAGGGAGACCAGTTCTGAAGATACTGTATAAATTTGATGTTGATATCTTGAATAGTTTTTTAGTTATCACGCACGCAGTGCCGAAAAATGTAGTTTCGAGAAAAACAGCTTTAAAGTTTCACGTCCAGTTGTTATACCTACGTGTGGTACATTTCAGCAGGCTATAACTTCGTTAGTTTTCCGAATTTCAATTTAATATTTGGTAGACATATTTTCGAGACTACATACTAATGGAAAATGCAAAAAAAAAAATATCGATTTTTTTAATCCCACAAGGTAGAAAGGCCCCTTAAATGTGCATAAATGATTGGTTGATTTTTGACAAAATTGGACTCTCATTTAGTAAAGTATCATAGTAAGAATGTGAAAGCACCTCCGAGTTAGGCCACTTTGTCTGCTCTCGGAAGATTATAGTTACGACATGACTGGATTGTCGTGCGGCTGATTGGTCAATAGTCCGCAGATTTCAGAGATGTTTTTATAAACAAAATTTCGTTATCGCTTCGATTTGCATTAAATTGCTGTAAGTAATGTTTGTGGAAAACTATAAATGTTTTCGATTTGGAAGGAAAGCGATAAATAAAATAAATACATGGAATAAATATATCTATAGTAATTTGTACAGGATGAGTCTAAACGGATATCATAACATTTACGGATGTGTGACACATGTAAAATCTTATAAATATGTCCGAATAAATATAGATCCATAAATCATTTGTCTTTCGAATAGAGCCATTTCTGCTAAATCACTCATTCATAGCAAAAGTCGGCTTTGCGCGAAAACAAACAATGTATTATATCGGATCGCCTCTTATTAAGCATATTTTAATAAAAAAGAAAAAAATTAATAAAGAATCAATGATTATTACGTGTGAGTAGCTTTCTATATAAATTGATAAATTATTGTATACATTGATCAAATTACTAACGAGTTTTTCCTGTTTAAAAACAAGTAAATTTTTATGAAGATTGTGTCTACGCCGAACAACTATTTGTGCAATAATATTATTACGTAACTAAATGTGATGTATGGCTTCACACATGTTACTTTACACTTGAAAGCTCAAGTTACGTACATTTGTAATTTCTGATATGAAATGAAAAGGGGCGCCTAAATTGGGAATTGCATCGTGGCGATAGTAACTCTAGTGCGGGCCCTGGTTACCTTCATTAGCAAACTACACAGGTATAATAAATTCATGACGTAATTTAAAGTGGTCGCGTCTTAAAAACAAATGGTTTAGAACCCATGTTATTTGGGTGCGTATTTTATGATTTAATACTCGACAATTTTGCCGTTTTAAGAGTTGAATACGTAACTAGTAAAGCAATAATCGAGGATAAAGGATAAACAATGTTTATCGATGTATGTTTAATTATTAAACATGATTCGTTTTTAAATTATTCAACAATTTTTTGTAATAGGTGATACAGTTGAACGTGTTTCGTTATACATTTCCGACTAATATTCGAAAAACCTAATTGTATACATATAGTATACATTTCTTATTTAATAGGAATATTTAATAAATTTATGAAATAATTTAATAAATAAGATAATCTATTCTTGCATAATTATTTAATAAAATCTAATTGTAAGTAACTATACATATTTATTTAAACAAAAAAGTTATCTGTTATATACTACTTGATGGATTCGTAGGACATTTTAGAATTATAAATATTAGAAAGATTTGAATATTCATTTACATTGAACTCGCCTAAATATTCACTTCCAAATTTGTAGGAAAAGAATAATATAATTCCGTTGAAAAAATGCAGGGACGCGTTAAATGTTTAATAAAACGAATTCATAATTATATTTTTGTTTATAACTTTAGTGTGCCACTATGTATTTATATTGTACCTACATTTACGTATATTTTATATTTATATTTACAAATAATTGTGCAGTAAAAAGGTACAAAAAACGTATTTGTAATATTTGTCTTGAAAATTAACGAAGAACTAAATCAATCGAAAAGGCATTTCGATCCAATAATTATACATAAATGTATATTTATAATAATACCGAAGAGGTTTGTATTATATTTGTATTATAATAAATTAAATTGCACTTGATACAATTCAATTTTAAAAAGGTGTTTTGATATAATGATTAAATAGGAGGATCGTGTAAAAGTTTACGTTTACATAATAGGCGTCTGAATGGTAAAATGTTTAGTGACCACGTAGCAAAAAATCTAGGCTCCCAATCATGAAGAAGATTCTGGAGAAGATGATTCGGAGGAGATACTTACGTACAAGATTGCAATTGCCGATTGAAATGGTAGGGATACAACCAAAATCGGTGAATCGATATAAGAGAAGGACGGATACTAAAGCAGCGTCAGTTTTATTGACTTTCTTTTAGGCAGTACGTGGAAGAGTAAATTCCATTTAGTAAATCTTAATCATCGCATACGAATCTATCGATCACGTAAGTTTTTATAATTTTTGTTTTTATTTATCTTTCATGCTAAATTTATGTTTTTACCTTGCGTGTTTTCCAAGATATTCCATGTTCGATATTCAAGTAATTGTTTATGACATTCAATCCTGTATAAAAATATAAATAACGTTTTAAACTACTGTTAGATACACAATTTCCTTTTTTTTTTCTAACTCAATCGTAAACCAAAATATTCATTAAACTTTAAAAATTTATGACATTTTTTATGTAAATGTCTCAGCCACAAAATGTTTCTTTGTTATAATTGTGATACATGTAGGAAAAGACAAGTGCTCCTAATATTTTTTCTTTTACTTTTCTTTGTGTAATTTAGTTACATATTTTTTACAGTCAACGTTTTCTTGTCGTGTAATGTAATTTATGTTCACAAATATTGAAACATTGCAAAAATTTTTATACGCTTTAATTGTTTTAAGAATTGTTCGGGAAAAAGTATTACATTTTCCATGTACAAATTTCCTTTCAAAACAAAATGATTCCTGATTCGGAGAATAATTTTTCTTTGTGTTTGCACTATTCACTACATCGGAATTAATTGTTTTTTAATATATTCCATTACCATACGATAAAAGTGAATTATTTATTTTAATTTCGCTTGAGAATTATTTAACATAATATTTGGTATCATTTTGATATTACTTTTATCTAGAATAAAATGTAAATATCTTTTCGCGGTTTAATAGATATTTTACGTAAATTAACTATTTTCTTCGATTTGATTGATATTTAAAATAATCTCAAGAATGCTTTACGAATACCGAATACAATACAAAAACGAACAATGAAGGCAAACGGAAAAATGTAAATAGAAACACGTTGATAAAAAAGAATTGTGTGGATATAAATTAACACAAACGAGTAACAATTTCGTCGGACTAACAACATCAAGTGTGACATTTAAAAAATAGTATTGCGAATCACATAAACATGCAACTAGAAAATGAGTACCCCCGTAATAAATATTTTTCAATGAAATTTTTAACGCTGCCGAAGTTTTGATTAATTTCTATTTTTCTTAAATAAAGGCAAGGTCAAGAATAAATGGCAAAAATATTCAATCGGGCATTATAAATTTCGTAATCAAATTAAATATTACTCAGGGGAGAATATACATATAAGATCATGTCAGTTCGATTTGCTATAAATTTATTAATAAATTTTCGATTTGATCATTAAATATTTGACGAGGATTCAAATAAGGGCAATTTAAATTTCGTGAAAAGGAAAACATCGTTTTAGAAGAATAAAGTGACGGTGTATTGAAAAAAATATTCGATCGATATTTTTAAAACTTGATGGAAAATTGAAAATTATCATTATGAATAGTAATTGTTAATAAGGTGGACGAAGAAATAAGATGAACGGTAAAGGAGAAAAGGCAGTGGAGAGGTGGAGTGAAACATACTCGAGGTCGAGAAAAGAATGACGTGAGCTCCAAAATATCATTCTAGGAATGTAGGACATTAGAAAAGTAAAAAGCACGCATATGCGTACATGTGTATTCCTTTCTCTTTCGATCAGGACGATGTGGTATAGGCTATTTCTGGGTGATCGGTCTTCTTTTTTCCATAAATTACGATTATTGGTTGCAAACGCCTCGTCCATCCGACGACGTCCTTATTCTAAACACTTTGTTCGAATTTATTCGTACAGCTCTTAGATTCTTTTAGATATACTATTTTTAGTTTCTTTAGCATTCGTACCCATTATTCCGGAAAAGGAGAACCTATTTATAATTTGGAAATAAATTCTCTAAAAACTAGTGGTTTTAACGTATCAACTACTGTACGATTATGTTTGCTTTTTTACACAAGAACGACGAAAATAAAATTCAATTGTCAAATAATAAATATATTTTGAAAAACATATTTAAAGGACCAGTAAAATAAAATTACCTTTTGACTGTAATTGTAACGAGCTATAAAATAACAATATAAATAATTTGTATTCATAGGAGAATTTATGTATTATGGTTAATGCAGGCAATAGATCAGATTTTTAATTATACAGTAAGGTTTTATTGGTTGAATATACAAGTTTTATACTAAAAAACACATACCATATAGTCACGACAATTGATTGCATACAGCCAGTTATTATTTTGATTAAAATGGCGACATCGTGAGATGGAAAAGGTCAAGTGTCTTTATACATACGTATTAATATACTTCGGGTAATATAAACAAAAACCGTAATTACGAAGGTGAATATTTTGTATTTGATTCTGGTAACCAATTTATTTTAATAGTACGTTGGCATGATGTTGCCTAATTTTGACACGCAAAAGAAGATTCTTTATATATTTGAGCTTAATATGATATCTCAATTTTTTTTATTATAAATAATTGTAGTAAAAATTATAAAAACTATAGAAAATACTTCGATCCTTTGCTAAACATTTACAAAACAGTGTTTCAGGCTTCAGAGCATTTTAAACTCGTTTCCTAATACCACTAATGCTTAAAAGATTCCTAATAAAAACATTTATCATCTCAGAAATACTAGCATTTCCAATACCATGAACTTTTTATTATTCAAATGTATTGGTTGCACTACATTAATGTAATATCCCTATAATTTATACTTATTGTAATAATTAATTTGTATGATCGTGGAGGGATATTTCGATAAGAAAAGAATATCAGAGATATACTCTGGATAACATTTTGAATGGCTAAATAATCGACTGTTGCACTATATATGAATTAAAATTTAAAAAGCACATGTAACATACACAATAAAGCTGAGCTACAAATAGTAAACGCACGTAATTTTGATACTAAGCAGGAAAATACAAAGACATGCTAATTCTTGGACTCAATACAGTATTTTCGCGTTTTTGTAAATTTACTGAAGCACTATGAAGAAATTGTAATTAAAGGTACCGTTCTCGTTTATCAGTTCGTAATTTAGGTGTTTCGCGATTATTCGTCGCAGGGAAAGTGTGGCAGAATGTTCATTTCCCACTGAAGTGGATTGCCAGTCAATTAATGTCAACCATTATCATGAACGTTTGAAGTGTTTGCATATACAAGTTTTTCTGTTTCTATTATGTGTTCTTTTCTAATAAAGTATTTAAAGCATTAAATAAATGGGCACATTTTATTTCAAATAAGATAAAAAATAACCATTCGGAATAATCAAATTATTTCATACAGTTTATCATTTTTATTTAATCAAATAATATAGAAAACTGACTTTGTTTTTTGTTGAGTTTAAATAAATTATTTTCAAATATGTTTTTATTTCAATTACTTTATTAAAAAAAAATAACAAATAATTTGACATAAAAAGTGTTGGATTAATAAGAATTCTTAAATTAATTACATGAAATTAACTGAAAGTGATTGAACTGAATTAATTACTCTTGGAATGGACATAGACAACACATAGAGAAAATATAATTAAATTTTGCAAAATATTAGGATTCTTAACGATGCGTATAAGGTATATTAAACGGTTATAAATGTTTGTATAGTAGCTAATGATCTCAGTGGTTGTGATTTTAAAGATCATTTATGAAAACACTTTGGTTATTCGTTCTTTCGCGATTTCTGGTGTTATCGGTTGTTCATAATAAACCTCTTCTTTTAGCTTTCTCCAGAAGAAAAATTCCAATGGCGTGAGATTCGGTGAGCGAGACGATTATACCGTGTGCTCATTACGCACAAGTTGGTGGCACTTGATCTCAAATTCTGGAGTTCTAGGTCACATTATTATAATGATTGAATGCATGTTAACGCTTAAACAACCGGACGAGTAATATTTTCTGTTTAGACTATGACAGGAGTTTGAGCCATTTCTGAATCGTTGATGGAATAAACACCTCTGTCCAGTAAAAAAAATATACTAGATTATACTACCATCATACTATCATAATATTGACATAAGAATGTATCAATTAGCAAATAATAATTTAATACGTTAACCAATTGAAATTAAATTATTTGTTTAACTTTTTCAACTTATCTTGGACATCGTACCACACAAATTGAACATTCTTTATAGATATAAACAATAAACGAATGATATACGTAAGAAGATATGCATAAAATCACAAAAAAAAAGATATTTAAATAATTTGAGTTATTTGGAATATCAAAGTAGAGGTTTTATGTAATAAGATTATCGAAAACGCTGAACCATCGATGGAATTTGATGTTTCGCAAGTTCGTGACTCACGTTCATCTGACAAAATTCTATTAATTTTAGATTCATCTGACAAAATGACTCGCTTTCACTTATAAGGGAAATTTTGATGAAACTTATGAGAGAGCTAGTTTTTAAATAAATATCTATAAATGGGAGGCTGGGAATATAGTTTTTAAATATCTTGGAAACTGGACGGTGTTAGAAGACGTTTTTTTTTTAAATTATGTGTTTTTCAATAAAGAATTCAATCTCATAAGGAGATTGAAAACAAATTATTATTGTGAACACTCTATAGAAAATTCGAATTGTTTTATTTAATATTTTTCACTCCTAATATTGTAAAATTAAAGTTGGCCTTTTTAAGGGTTCATCGAATCGCCCATTCACTTATTTCTATTTGTGTCACGTTTTAATAATTCACCAGCCATGGTTGCAGATCTTGCTTCATTGGTTATAATGTATCGTATAATTTTTCATTGATCTTGACACATTAATGCTTACACGCATCTTTCTATCGTGGGTAGCGTGTATTTACAATGTTTGTTTCGTAGACTTTAAACGTTTTATTGTATTACGAAGCAACCTTGGCAAATCTGATGCTTGAATAATCTTTTTTGGGTATCTATTTTGGGTTTATTCCGTCATTATTTTACTGTAAGTACTGTAGCATTGCAGCCATTATGGACGAGTTGTCATTGTATTCCGCTAATTTGTATTACTTCCTACTCATTCTGATTGTGTCCGCCATATGCATTTGCGATGAACATTCATGGGCTGTACAGCTAGTGACCTTACTAGTGCAGCTGTGCATTCAACTACTACGGTTGTTGCGACTACATATACATATCGTATGAATATTAAATAGTATTTTTATAATTCTTTAAAGAAACGCATTATGAAATGTATTTTCGCAAATTTTTTTCTTAAATAGAAACACATCAAATACATATTTATTAATGGGAAGAATATTCTTTACTTAATGATATTATTTTATTTTCGTTAGTAAACACGTATTCATAAATTATACTTGCAGGCCATAAAAAAAACTATCGACTCCTGGAATAGAGTATGACTTGGACATCAGCACAAATAGAAATAACGAGTAATGGACAGACGCGTGAAACAAATTGAATTCAATCTCGCGTGCATCTGACAAATTTTCAAATTCAGTTATCTCGAAAACAAAGAATTATACAACAAAATTTTACTCTATATTTTTAACTTATTTTTTCACGTAGAATCATTTCCCGATTGTACCATGTATACTGGAGCAATAATATAAACATATTACAAAATTTGTTATTTCTTCTATCAATAATATATTTTATTAAAAAAAAAGACATATCGACGACACCTTTTACTACCACTACTTATATCTATTTACAAAGAGATACGCATTGGCATATAGAATATTTTAATAAGAAAAAACAAAACTTTTCAACTTAAGCATTTATATTGTTATCTGCAAATGCTCCTGAATTGTCGCTTATTTATACCAATATCAGGTATTATTATGAAAATTGCAATCCAAGAAAGGTTTGCAATTATCAATGAAAAATTTTAAGTAAAAAACATTATAATTTCTAGTGTATTTTTATATCTATTGGTATATTATATTTTGCAGATGCATGCAGTGGAAATATGTCAAAAATGCTTGTCAGACTATTACTTTTAATTATTTCAACTATCTCAGTACATGGGTTTCAACCGTCGAATCCGGACGAATATGATCAAATAGGTGTGTTTTTCTTTTTTTGATTAATATTCAACATTTTAATATTTATGTAGTCATATACATATATAACATATAGAAAAAACGTATGTATTATTCAGAAAGGTTTATATTATTTCGTTAACTCTCATTATACTTTTATATCATTTTTAATTAAAATTTTTCATTGAATCAGACAATGCAATCGAACATCAAAGATTCCGACAGAAATGTTGCCTTGATACGATTCGATGATCATTTTAATTGCTATTAATCGCTATTAATTCTTCATTTTATGTAAACAGTACTTCAAAATCCTACGAAACAGGAATTCAATCAACAAACAACCAATGAAGATTATTTTGATTTTGACAATTCGAGACCAACGTCACTTTTTAAACAAACTGCAGACTTTACCATTACCTGCAGAGGAGAGAATCGAATCTGTACCAAGAAAGATGACTGTCTCAATGGTAACATTTATATCACAAACGATGTTACCCTTCCATCAAGCAAGGTAAACAGTTATGCTAAACTAACGTGTCCTAGAATTTCTCCAAAATCAAAATCAGCTGTAATAGTATACTTATGCTCTTCTAATAATAACTTGTCATTATTTTAATTCTTATTCGAAACAGGAAAAAGAATGCAAAATTAGCGACGAAGTTTGCTGTACGGTTGTGCAAGGCCTTCGAGATACATTACCAAAAATTGAAACATCCAAACAAACTTTGGGAAGCAATAGCTTTAACGCAGGCTTTGGAGTAAAACGACCGCCTACAAAAAACAATCAAGCCACAAAAGTCTTTGTTAGTGAATCTACAAATTCGCGCGTGACTCAAGATCTCGATGAACAAAATTCTGTTCAATCTTCTACAAGTAAAACAATTTCATATTTCGATTGCTAATGGTATTATTAAATTTTAGTAGCTAACTGATTTCTTTAAAATCAAAAACAATTATTACGAATAGTGACAAAATTCTTTTCTGTCTCTTTTCAACTGATTCTAATTTATCATGTTCAATTATATAAAACAAATTGCTTCTTTTATGCTGAAATAATACAGTCACATAAACTTGAAACATACATTATTTTACTATGGTTCAGATTTACATTATTAGATCAATTTCATTATACTTTTTTAATAAAAATATTGTCATCCACAGACCTTCTTGCTGTTGCAACCCATTTGCAGCTTGGCTGCGCGGCGGCTCTTCTTTGTGTCGAAGAACAATACTGCACCGTGGACGGTACAATTAGTCCAGAACCTGTTTCTTTGCCAAGTACATCATTTTTGCAACGTGTGCCACTAAGCGTAAGTAAAGATAGACAAAATGAGATCATTGAATCAAGTTGAAAAGTATAATATTATTGTTAAGTAAGAATACGTATGTGATAATTTCATTGAACATTTGTTTTTACATTGTCTTACAGAGTTGCAAAAATCCTGAAAGCGGAATAATCGGCAAATGTTGTCGAGATCCAAATTATGTAGATCCTTGGCCAACAGAAAATCTTCCTAAAGATTATTCTGGTGGATTCGATGAACAAGGTTTCCCAACATTTTTGAGTACAGCAAAAGTAAGACCGCCTAAAGTATCTGTACCACCGATTAAAACAACTTCTAGACCTGACTTGGGCTCACAAAATTCTCTGCCAACCGAAGGAAAACTGGAACCCGTATTAGTACCTGATAATTCGGTTATTTCTGCACAAGTTTTAGTTCCTCCGATCGAAACCATTCCAAATCATAAAGACGATTTGAATATCGAACAACTGAGCCTAAAATGTGGTGTTAGAAATATGGTAAGTATTTTTAAGTCGTTAAAGTAGAGTAGGGAAAATCAACCAATAATTTCTGAAATACAATTTTTGATTTCGATTATATGTAATCTGCTGCTCAACATTTTGTGTACACAATTACAGTTGGTTTTCATCAATTAAAACAATATCAAAATATTCGTATTTCTTTTGTTACCGTGCATAAGTATTTGGACACTTGCACGTTATTGTAAAAATGTGGTTTATAGTTTCTTGTTGAGGTCGCGTTTAAGGTAAAAATTTCTTACTTTCACTGATCTTAAGGTAAAATTAGTTATTTTTGTTTCAACATTACTTACTTGTGATTATGCATACCATTTTCAAAATAATAGAGACGTCAAGCTGATCTTTTAACAGCCGCAGAAACAAGTAATTGTTGACAGCTTGTTTATTACTCAGGTACAGGCAACTATGAGAAACCAGTTTCGCTAGAAAAAGCAAGGTTTTTTATCGAAAACATGTGAACACACTATATTGTTTGTTCAATTATAGTAGCACAATTACCATATACATAATAATAAATCCCTCTTCTATACAGGGTGTTCGGCCACCCCTGGGAAAAACTTTAATGGGGCATTCTAGAGGCCAAAATACGACGAAAATCAAGAATATCAATTTGTTGATGGAGGCTTCGTTAAAAAGTTATTAACGTTTAAAGTTCCGTCCGTATTGAATTTTTTTCTCGAAAAATGCGCAAGATTTCGGGGGTATGTCTATTCACCAAAAATGATTGTAATTGACCCCTGCAACCGAAAATAATTTTTCCAGGACAATTTAAAATTTTTCTTTTCGTCGAAAAATTTAGGCACCAAATTAGATTTTCGGTAAGGAATTTTGTCCTCGAAAGTGCGTAGGATTTCGGGGGTATGTGTAAAGACCAAAAATGATTTTAATTGACTCCCGCGATCGAAAATAATTTTTTTAGAATGATTTGAAATTTTTGAATTTAATTGTTAATAACTTTTTAACTAAGCCTCCATCAACAAATTGGTATTCTTGATTTTCGTCTTATTTTGGCCTCTAGAATCCCCCATTACAATTTTTCCCAAGGGTGGCCAAACATCGATAATGATAACTTCGAATTATTTGAAATATAATTCGTTAATTTGACGTTACAGAGACCAGGAATTAGGGAATCACAAACTGTTTTCGCCGAAATTCCATGGCAAGCGATGGTTTTGCATTCGAAAGAAAAGAAAATTCTTTGTTCCGGTGCTCTAATTAGCACTCGTGATGTAATAACTGCGGCCAATTGTATCGACAGGTAAATGATCACCTATATAAATAACATTGTAATTTTGTCCGCAGTTGTACAATTTTGAGGCGATTTCGACTTACAAAGAAACGTCGGTAATTGATACACGCCGATTTTGACAAAATTTTGTGCAAATGTTCATTAAAACTAGAATTAAACCGAATTGAACATTTTTAAGATTATAATTTCATTCGATTCAGTTAACGATGCAGTTAATTCGTACATTTTCTATTAAATCAAGCTTGGCACCAGACGATATTTTAATAAAGTTAGGGGAATGGAAATTAGGATATGAATTAAAACACGAGGAACCCCTTCCTTATGAAATTCTCAACGTATCGTCTATCAACATACATCCTGGTTATGCAAGAGGATTCGGAGATCACGACCTCGCAATTTTACATCTTGAAAATTCTGCAAATATCGATTTTCACGTTAATCCTCTGTGCTTGCCTGCAACGACACAGCCACAAAACAATAAGTCATGTATCGCTACCGGCTGGGGGAAATCCATTCTTCAAGGTATTTAAAAAAACAAGTATATAATTAATTTATATTTCTAAGCATACAAATAGGAAGTTGAAATTAATGACTTCTAGCTATTTTCGAAGAGCACCATCTTATCATTTATTTTCAAAACAGAGTTCAAAAGTATGCCACCAAACGTAATGATCTCTGTTTTAAATTACGCGTGAAAGTGTCAATTTTCAGAATTTGCATGTGTATTTTATTAGTTAGGAACAATATTTTTCAATAATTAAAAATCCGACGTTGGCCAATAGACTAATCCATTGTTAATTTGGAAAGTATCCTAACAATTATAAACTCTTTTTTTTTATTATCGTATATAAGATAGTTATTCAGTCGTTAGTTTTATACTAATAAGATCGTGGTTATTTGATGGCGTGTATTTCCGCATTATTCAATTTTAAACTAGCCCTTTTGACATTGATTTGTTGCAAAAGTAGTTGCGCAAAATAACGAACCGTGCAAAAATGATGTTTATCTAGCGCATTATGCCGGTGCAATTATGCATGCAGTGGATTTGGATATACTTTCAATGGAACAATGCAAAGAGCAATTAATAAGAGCGGACTTAAGCTCAAACGTAGCAAACGGAATTATTTGTGGCGCGACTAAAGAGGATATAAATAATATTTGTGAGGCAGACGTTGGGGGACCCCTTGCCTGTGAAAATCAAAATGGAGTTTACGAGTTAGTTGGGATTTATAGTCAAGATACAGGATGCCTTCCATCAAATCAAGTAAGAAGTTTGTTCTAACGGATATAATATTTCTTTATGTACATATAAGGTTTATATCTTATTGCATTTTATTTGCAAAATGAGATTTTTAATAGGCTTTGATATCTTTGTGACGCAAAAATTACGAAAGCTTTTTCTTTTTATAAAATAATACATTCTAATAATACATTCGAAATAAAAGAGTGTTTGAGAAATTATATTTAAATCGTACGTCAAGGGGTTAATTAAATCTAAAGTGACTTTGAACATAATAAATTATTAAGTCGTAACATGATTTAGGTAGAAATACTAGTAACAATATTTGTTTAGGTCGCAATTTTTGCACCATTAGACGACGAGTGGTTAAAAGGAACTATGGCGAACTCAACGCCTGTACAAAATCCTTCGGCGGTACCAAAAGAAAACGGTACAAGCGAAGGATATGAAGATTTGGTATTTGAGAATGACTATCGGAAGAGTACTCTGTCTACGGATAATGAGTATCTACCTCCAAATTGAAGATACGTCGGTTAATATATTTTCGTTATCTATTTATTATACTTCGTTTATTACTTAAACAATTGCGAACATTATTTTCAGAAACGATTCTAGATTAGAATCGTTCTTTTCCTTTTTAAAATTCTACAAGATAATATAAGTATAGGATGGGATTAGGTTCCAGACAATATTAAAAAGAAAACACTTGTCACTTATAATAATAAAGAAGGAAAAAATTATTTAATAACAATAAAAAGAAAAGAAATGCAACACAAATGGATACGATTAACTTTGTGTGACCCTATTCTTTCGTGCTCCCTTCTAAGTTCAGCTTGTTCAAGATTCTTCTTCGTTATTTATGTTTTGTTTATAAATACGATACAGTTCTTCAAAGTGGAACAAAATGTTAAAAAGATCATGCATCAAATTATAAGGGGATCCTTGTAAGAAGCTTTAATCTTCCTTTGTGATAGTCTAAATGATCAATTTTTAATAACAGGAGAAATTTTTTAGATTTGATACAAATTGAGTAATATATCTTTAAATAATCCTATTCCTAATTTTAAAAAAATGTTGACACTTTTAAATAAACAAGATGAAACTTAATTAAAATTATTGCTGTCCCATCTGTGCAATAGTAACGAGAGGAAAAGAACTTTGTTCCTTTAAATTTTTTAATAGACCATCTATCCTTTGCCTTGTCTGTGGTATGTATTAAACTTGACTTTTTAACCATCAAAAACTAACGACTTCTTATTAATAAAAAAAATTTAAACAGAAGTAAGTAGTACACGTTTGAAAAATTATTCGAAATTGAATCGTACGTCAAGGGGTTAATAATTTTATGTAAAGAAACTATTTTAAATTCGCAGCCATTAGCTCAGTGTTACCCACGAAGAACTTTTCTATCGTGGGTAACACCGATTACCAGATCTCACCACAGACGAGATATATGAATAGACCTTTCACGTAATGTAATTTTTCGGCCGAAGTTTCTGGGGTCCCGGGACCCCATTACCATTTTCGTGTCACTCGCAACGTTATCAACAGATTCAGAAATTAACACAAGAGGAAGTGAGACAGAAAATAAAATTACATAAATTTTATTATTTTTTAACGGAATTAATGCTGTACGATCCATCATTGGGCATTAATCGATTAATTTCATTGGAGTAATCAATCGATTAAGAGTATTTAAAAATTTCAAGATTATTAAAATTCCTAAGGATGTATTTCATTGATACGTACACCGCAAATTCTCTATTTTTTATTTTAAATTGTAATACATCATTTATTAAAAAAATAACTCGGCAGAAACGTATTTGCGACTCAAAATCAGTTTAATCAGACTGTGCATCGGGGCCCCGGAAACTTCTCATTCCTCACTTTCGCACACTATGCCCAATTGCGTGTACGTGAGCTCGTTGAGTTTCGGAAGAGCCGAGAAGAACAGGCTGATACTCGCTTTCCTTCTCGCTCTTGCATCGCTGACATCGCTTACATTTCTCGAAAGCAAGCCTACTGGCATCGCCACCCGTTCGAATCGTCAGTAAACGACAAAAGCCATCGTGACTGACAAACCTTACATTTCTCGAAATCGGACCTGGGCGCTTTTTGAAGATTCATTGACTTTCCATACGAAGCGACCATGCGTTATATACATATACATGTTATACATGCTAGGAACTATAAGTTGTATAACTTTCGTCGTATATCTACTTTCTAATAACATGGGAAAATTTTTAAATATAAAAAAATGTAAGAATACTGTAGAATTTTTGCAATGGAGAATTATTGAAGGAAAATGAATTGATTATATACATGTTGTATGTCAGGCAGGATATCAGTGGAAGGGGCCTGTGTGTGTCTGTGTGTGTGTGAATGAGTGCGCGAAGAGCGGCGCGATTTCGACGCGCGCAGCCAAGAGTCGAGTTGATGTACGAGGCCCGTGCGAAAAGGATCTGTGAATTGAGCCACTGTGTAATATTATAAGAAAAAACAAATTTATTGGTCTATCCTATAAAACGCATTCTTTTTCTTTTGTTCTATCCTGTATGCTACATACATATGTATATATCGGACACATCCCTCGCAAACACGCTGCAAACATTAATGAGAACAAAACTGCAAATCTGTCCTTTTTTAAAACCCCGCAACTGATCTTTGACTCGGAACTCGTCCTCTTCATTTAGCAATTATAATAAACGTAGACTCATTAAAATTCGTAAAAATAACAAAGTTATAGCCATTTAGAGGGAAGAGTACCCAACGGTTAATAATCATACCAGAAATTTTAAATGAGTTTTTCTCGAAACCATATTTTCGAAATTGGCTGACATGATATCACAAATTCATATTGATTAATGGATTTGAAATTTATAGAGACATGCCTGTATGTTAGAAATTTTGCCTTTGACGGTTCTGGGGTAAGTCCTGTGCCGTTCCTCACAGTACTCTTACCGGAAGGTCCCACGCCTTCCCCACTCCGTGGCCAGATCCTTCAGGACAAAGTCTTCATTTTTTCCAGCAGTACGACGTCAGGTCGTCTGCCTCTTTTAACTACTCTCTCTCTATTCATAGACAATCAATGCCTCGACACGCGCTACCTGGAGACCCAACGCGGTCGTCCGCCATCGCGTCACCCGTTGCCAGGCCTGTTTAGTCTCATTCGCTCTTTAGGCCACATGCACCCCAAAACTCTGTCATAAATGTATCGTAGACTGAGCGTCCTTCAGTGGTCCTTACATTCGACTCTCTTGGAAAATACATTGTCGCTAGCGTTTCTGGAAAACAAAAGCCGATCCCCTATTTCGGGGGAATGTCCACGCGTCGCGTCCAACCATTGTTGCCGTGGCGAAATCGACTTTTTTGCCTTCGCCTTCGAAAAAGATTAAGCAAAAGAGTTTTCTTCATTGAAAGAACAAAAATTTTCCAGTCCTTTATTTTCAGTAGGGGCGGTCTCAACTTCCATTCATTTTCATATGATTGATTTTAATGAGTCAGCGTTTTTTTAAATTGCTAAACAAAGAGGACAAATAGGACAGTATTCTCAAATATTTTCTGATTTAAAAATTTAAAATTACAGTGAAATTTTTTCAGTTGTTTAGACCCAATAGTATTAATAGTATAAATATATGAACGCACGTCCATAAGCATAGTAAAAAAATGTCTTGTCGGAATCCCGGGGACCGAGAGTTTAAAGACCACGGGCGTTTTTAATTTAATCTCTTTATTAACAAATTCTGTACTCGCTATCGCTTGCTTTCGCTGTCGTTCAAACTCTGGCACACTTCTTCCAATCGCTCACCGTTCCTCTCATCCATTATCTCTCTCACACTCGCTCTGCCGTGCTCTCTGCCCTCATCCTCACCAATCATATAATCGTTTACAAACATTCCATCTTTCGCACTTTTCGATTCGCCCAGACATACACACACTCATGCACATCTAGTCGCGCGTCTTTTCGCGGCCGGCGCGCGATTCGATGCCACAGTCTTTTTTTTAATAGTTAAAATATGATCAAGGGGTCCTAAAACGTGTATTTCCGTAAAAAAAATTTTTGAAATTTTTGTTTCATTATGGTATTTTGCTTATACATTGTATATGCCTACATAGATCGAATTTCGGCTGTGTTAAGAGCAAGAAGGATAGACTGACATTCGCCGCCTTTCTCGAATCCTCGAAGAGATACGAAACGCCAGAACTCATATACAAGGTGGTTGGCATTAGTGTGTGTAAGTGGTGGGGCAGCTCCCTTTGGGCACGGGTCTGCCATCTGATAATACTGCACTGTCTTTTTCAATCCCCCCCATAGTCAACTCACATGTATTTACGCACACACTACAGCTGGCTGCCCATCAATCCTAATTCAGTGCCTAGTTTCTCAACTGACTGCCATCCATGAGAAGAGGCCGCTAAAATCACCTCCGAATTTTCAGGTCGGTATGGCAGTCAGATTCGGCCGCGAAAGTCCATAAGGTGAAAGGTCTATTCATATATCTCGTCTGTGATCTCACCACGTGGAGGTTGCTGCGAGTAAAAACCCGAAGAGAGATGGATGGAATCCAAGTTCCATCTATTTCCCTTTTATATTCTTAGAAACTAGATTACCAAACTAGAGAAATAGAAGGAAACAAACGTTCCTTCGATCTTCTAATTCAGTTTTGCCAAGTAATTATTTTGTTTAAAAAAGGGATGAAGTTAAATCAAGGGAGACGCGATGCTGAACCGTGCAGCGGATCTTTGGATCGAATCGACTACGAAGGTATGCGTTTCCACAGAAAACGGATACTCCACACCTTCCAACGAAGTACCATTTTCCCTCGATCGAGCTACCAAGAGACAGCGGTTAGATCTATCGGACCAACTGCACGGCCGATCACATGTTTAAATCGATGAAACAGCGGTGATCGAAGCGAGAAACGAGAGAACGAGTTGAGAGAAGCTACTTATTCAATAATTGCTTGGTAGGGCGCGGAAATACGTGCAATAAAGAAACCTTCAACGTTAATTTTAAGATTTGCGACGAAGTTTAAATCTAATCGACTTAGAATTAAATGTCCCTCGGCGGTTGTGGCGTCTTCCTTCGATGTCCCTGCGATTAATCTGAATTTAAGCTAGAACAAAAATTGATACATATTTAGTAATATATAAAATGAAATTTAATGGACACCATGCAATCCATCGACTACTAAGTAAGTAGTGGAATGATTTTTTGCGCTGATGTATCGAAGAGGGTAGTGAAGTAGATGAGAATCTATAAGTTCGGGAAGCTACGAAATTTATAAATATTCATACCTAATGAAATGTACAAAATTGGCATATGATAAGACAGCCAAAATGGTAATAAATTAAAAGATGTATATCATATCTTGTGTTCATATCCCTTGTGTTCATTTCTGTAAACTGTTGGTAATGTTGCGAGTGACACGAAAATGATAATGGGACCCTAGAGACCCAGAAAAATGGGCCAAAATGGGACTGCTTGTATAGCTTAGCGCGGAAAATGCGACGTGCAAAGTTCTTTTTGTGGACCATAGATGGTGCCACAATGTCCATAATTCAATAGCGCCAGTTTGGTGCAAGTGTGTCCACTTTTAGTACTAAAATATTGAATCGCTTCCTCTGCTATCACCCGAAAGGATATCTGTCCAAAAAGTTGTCTGCATTTAATGACGGAAATCATGTACTTGTAGTACGACAGTGAACATTCGGTTACAGTTTGAACTACTAATTCTGATTTACACTTCATATAATTGAAAGACAAAGTACTTCCATTAGACATGGATGGAAGGAAAATGTCGTGAGTATTTCATTACCACCATTTACACATTTTTAACTTCTAAGGTATTTTCTTTCCTCACAAAATTTATTATTTAGACACAATAATGAACAACATGAATTTTCCTGCAAACGTTTATGAACATATTTTGAATATTAAAAAACTTCACAAAATTAAAGAAATGCTAGGTTATACCGTTGTGCTTACTCTCTTGTTCCTTTTTTCGCTTTGATCCGTAGTTTGCGGTTTACGTTCAGAAAATATGTAAAATGTTAAATTAAACAATTGTTACGGTATGTTTGGGAAGTAAAAGTTTCTGAAATATTAGGTTAGTTTGCTAGATTGCAACTCTCCTGCAATTAAAGTGTGCAATTTCTAAAATTTAAGAAATATATTTCACGTATTTTACGTTTATTTACTACGATTTATTTGTAAAAGAATTGTCATAATTTAAAGCGTTTCAAAATATTTTATACCAACTTTTGAATTATAAAGTAAGCACTAGCAGAAGGAATATTTTAAATTACAAAGAATGATATAAGCTTATTAGCAGTTTATTGAAGTATTGGTTATTGGATGTTTTTATATCTATAAAGACAGATGAATGGATTACACGTTATCCTCCTGATAGATCAATGTATTTTTCTTTATAAAAATCATGTTAAATTTGTAGTAAAATTTTCATTGTTGTATCCTAATGATATTATTTTAAACAATATTTAATAGACTAAATATTATTTTTACTTCTTGATTAATAAAAATATTAATTATGATTTTCATTGCTATGTACATTTTTTGGAAATAAGTATCACAAAAATAATATTCAAATTGAATTTTTTCAAATTCAATTGTAATGTTAGTTTTAATATTAAATAAAATGGAAGTATATTAGAGAAATGCACACATACACAATGAAATAAAGTTTAAAGCTGATAAATTACATTTAATATAGTAACTAATTTAATCATTGATGTTTTAGAACAGCAGGGGATTCCCTGTACCAGATTTTAGAGATTCCAAAAACTGCCACTTCTGAGGAAATTAAAAGGACTTACAGAAAATTAGCATTAAAATATCATCCTGATAAAAATCCAAATAATCCAGAAGCTGCAGAAAAGGTACATTAAATTCAAATATACTTATCTTTAAAAATTTGGTAAATATTTACTTTAGTGGCTTTGGCCTAAATCTGTTTATTTTTTTTAAAAAAGAGAGCTGTTTAAAAAAAAAAATATTTCTGCATTGATAAGAAATATAGACTGGCGAAAGGCGAAAAAATGATGCGCTTTTGCATTCTTTTTTTTGCAAAAAAAAGCTTAAAATTTTTAAGAACTGTAGTATATGTGATGTGATTCCAATGATTTTGTAATATATCATGAAGGACGAAATTATGAACAACTTTTATCTGACTAATAACTGCTGTTCGACATCAGTTTTCGAAATATTTGCAAACATTGTTTGTACTAATACATTCACACCACTTGTACGCGTGTATAGTCAGGCTGCGTCAGGAAGAGATTGCTGTTTGAGATTGATTTGCCATATAATGAGTGGACAAAAAGATTAAATTTAGCTAATTTCAATGATATACTAATTTAACCTAACTTATACGCAGCGTCGCACTTGTTTTGGACCGTAAGCGGCCCTCTACTCGACGATGATATAATGTAATATAGCCAAATCTAACCTACTCACAAAAACTAATTGTCGGAATATTGATTAAATTAACCAATCAGTTTTAGTGATAAGGTTAGATGCGACACTATGCGTGTATGAATTAGATTTGATTAGTATATCATTGAAATTGGTTAAATTAAATTTTTTCGTCCACTCGTTATATCACTCGCTATATCACTCGCTTTTCAGTCGCCTCGATGTGTTTGTAGAAACACAGATAACCAGCGATCCCTTGTAAATGCAACGCGGTTACGGTACGCGTATAGGCGGAGTGAATGTGGTAGTATCAACAATTTTTATAAATATCTTGAAAACTGAGGACGAGCAATAATTATTGTTCAGATAAAAGTTGTTCACAATTTCGTCCCTTATAACATACATAACATTTTTTAAAAAACTAGATGTATCCAAAAATATTTAACTGAAGTATATCTGAAATATGAGTTCATTGTATCAATACATGAATCACTCAGAAGTGGAATTTAGATTAAATAAGATTTGATTGAGAACAAGATAAATACTTTCACGAATGTTTTGTAAATTGAAACAATGTTTATGTTGTATTTATAACGTTGTTTAGATATTGCATTTTTAAAGAAATGAGAAAATTGTAAATGAAAATAAATTTTGATATATTAAAAATAATTTTGCAAGAAAAATTTTATTTAATAATATCATTTGTTGGTATTTCGAATTTTGCTGGTTGTCATAAATTTTAGTAAATCTGAAAACGCAAATTAAAATAAATTAGACAGTAAAGAAAGTTGACAATTTTTCGTATGCATAATCTATTTGAATCATATTATGTTTCAGTTTAAGGAAATAAATAGGGCACATAGTATATTAACAGATCTGACAAAACGTAACATATATGATAATTATGGGTCTCTTGGATTGTACGTTGCTGAACAATTTGGCGAAGAAAATGTTAATGCGTACTTTGTTGTCACTTCTGGTTGGTGCAGGGTAAGTTTTTACTAATCTATCATTTATATAAATAAATTCTCATATTTCAATTTTCAATTCTAGTTTTTTATTTCTAAGGAAAATTTCTGTTTTACAATAAAATAATATAGAACATTTTAAATTACCACCTGATTTTAACATTATTGGGTGTTATGGAAACAATTAATAACTTTTAATACTGTAAAAGTTTATGTCAGTTTATTCCTTTTAAGTAGTATTATTTAACAACATTTAAAATCGTAAGATTAAAGAAATATATTATTTATTCTAAATGCACTTTGTTAGTGTAACTTTATCTGTTTTGCTACTTCTTTACAATGTTATATTACTTTTACAACTTTATGTAGTTTCTTCACTGTTATTTGTGATTATTAAGTTGATACAATTTGCTATTTGCTATTTGTTGATATTTTTTTAAGTTAATATAATGTAGTTGATATAAAGATACTTGAAAGCAATTAGTTCACAAGCGCTTCTATATGTATCTTTTTAAGTTGTTCATTTTTATTTTAGATTTACCAAAGAAAATTAATCAAAGAACAGTTTCATTTCTAACTTTTTAAAAATATGTGACTATTAGTTTAAGTTTAGAAGTCTAACCTCTATTATGATTATCTTAATTATACAGGGTGTTCGGTAACTGGTGGCACAAGCGAAAAGGGGGTGATTCTACATGAAAAAATAAGTCTAAAATATAGAATGAAAATTTTTCATGTAAGGCTTTGTTTTCGAGAAAATCGACTTTGAATTTTCGCCGGGTATGCGTGCTTATCAACACAAACTTCAATCGAAACAATGATCTACAGCGAAATCCATTATAACAAGATATGATAAAGTGCACGCGTATTCGGCAAAAATTGAAAACCGATTACCTCAAAAACAAAGCCAATTTTTCACATGAAAAATTTTCATTCTATAATTTAGACTTATTTTTTCATGTCGAATTACCCCCTTTTCGCTTGTACCACCAGTTACAGAACACCCTGTATAATTTAATGATTCAAATATTGTGTTTATTACATTTATATTACTATATTGTAATAATATCATTTTTTACAGGCACTCGTCATATTTTGTGCTGTCATAACTGCGTGTTATTGTTGTTGCTGTTGCTGTGCTTGCTGCAACTTTTGCTGTGGCAAATGCAAACCAGTGTCAGCGCAAAACAATGGAACATACCATAACTTACAGGTAAACCTATCATTTTATTACTTAATTCAGGTATAAATAACCATACTTCTTTTAATTCTTGTATTGTGTTCAAGTCTATAAACCTATCATTTAATTACTTAATTCAGGTACAAATAACCATACTTCTTTTAATTCTTGTATTGTGTTTAAGTCTATATGATCTGATCCTGTCTTTAGGTCAGTATAAATTTTTAATTTATAATCTTGTTGGAGACATTAACTTTTTTTATTTTTGTGCATATTTTGTCTCAAAATATGCATCTTCATTAGGTTTATTGAAAAGATCATTATGATCTTAATCTTTAAAATCAGTGGTAAAATATTATTCTTAAACAATGAGCCGCTTGCGAGAAAGTGGACTTTTGCGGCTGGCCTTTATTTGGCTTGTTTAAAACTTTATTACTTTTTAAGCTTATATATCTTTCTACACTTTGCCTCGTTATCGCAGTACACAGTGCTGACTGATACTATGGAGTATGTTATTTACTCAATGCGAACATCTGGTGATACCGATTTTTGCTATGTCAGGGAAAAGTTACCAAGTCTAACTACTATTTCTCTTAGTTTTTGCGTATCTGGAATACTATAGATCGTGTTATTACGCTACGTGTTTGGCGATATTTAAAAAGTTATTTATTCACATTTATGCCAAAGATTGACAAAGAAATTAGGAACATTTTGTTCTTAATCTGCTAGAGTACTGAATAGTAAGGCATATCTAGCAGACCTTAACTTAAACGCAATGCTATCTAATATTTTTATTTTGATGTAAGTATGTGTACGAAAACCGAAATAAATACGGGCCAACGAACGTTTTATATGTATAAACGAAACTTGCTCCGGTTTGATTCTCTATCATTGACTCTCTTATTCTAAATGTGTAACAGTAATTATAAAAATGATTTTTTTTACACTATTATGCAAATGCTGATATTTAAAATTTTATTATTAATTATTCCAATATATTATTATAATTGTGTGAGAAATAAAGTATATAATTACATTATTAAGTAGATGTATTTTTATACATAATGTAGTTAGAACCATTCAAGTCCAATGTTAAATTGAAAACAAGCTACAGTGTCATGTGAAAAAGCATATAGTTATTCAAGATTTTGACCGTTCAAGAAATGGGAAACAGACAATAAAGAATAGGATGTTTATAAGCTGCAACAGCGTTTTCCAGAGTGGCTGGTGATCAAACTGCAATAAACAATGGCAGTGATGATAAGCAGACATGGGCACTTCGGTGCGTCGCTATTTCTTTCAAGTGGTCTACAGATGTTGCAGCGAAGGCACACAAGGACAGGATATAGTTCTAAGGACTTTTCGTTGAAGGAAATACGAAGTCAAGAAAGATAGAGATCGATTCTGAAGCATCGATCCCCAAAAGAAGACGAGGCCACTTTTTTGGCGAATAATATAGTGTCTAAACCTTTGTAGAGTGTGTCTAGAAAGAACTTTAGAAAAAAAACTGATTTATTTTTAGATATTATGTATGTACAATACACACTATTACCCTTAGACATTAGGTTTAGTGATTCATTTTAATGAATAATAACTTAGTTATAGTGTGTGCGTGTATTATGATTGTTAAGTGAATCATCATGGAGATTTCGAAGTGTATTACTATTGTTAAGTGAATCATCATGGAAATTCTCAAAGAACTTTAAACAGAATCCCGTTAACACTAGAGAGAAAAAGTAAAATTATGGAAAAGTTGCAAAGAGGAGCATCCATTTCTAATGTAACAGATGATTACCAGACCTGTATGGAGACGATTTGCCGCATCCAATACAAGCGAAATGAATTAACAAGATGCGCAACTAAAAGAGACTACGAGTTACAGTAAAAGAAGAGAAGGATGTGCAAATTTGAAGACTTGAAAAGCTGTCTCTATATGTGATTTTTGGAACGACGTATAGACAGGCCGTGAACACCGTGCGTTTCTTGTCTAATGGGAGATTCATTTACGGATCTGTTACTGCAGGAAAAAGCATTACAAATTCCAGGAGAAATTGGGACGCTGTTTTCATTTAAGGCTAATAGAGGCTGGTTGATGAAATTTAAGGATTATCATAATATAAGATATTGCATACACATCGAGAAAATCTAGTGCTGATAGTCGTAGACTAATTTGTGAACGATTTCTTGGAAAATATAGAAGAGGAGTCCATAGAGCGAGATAATATTTATAATATAGACGAGATGGGACTTATGTGGAAGGCTGTCATACAGATGGTAAAGGAAGATAAGAAGCAAATTTCCCTTAAAAATATGTAAAATATATTAGAGTAATTATTATTTTTATTTATAGTATTAATATCTATATTGTATAGAATTTAAAGTATTTAAAGAATCAGTGATGGAGAATAAAATCGTTGCGAGTTTCGTCCATTCAAACAATCTAACGTGTTAAAAAGAGAAAAAATATTGATTCTCTTCTTTTATGAAATATTGTATTACAATCGAAGTTGCCGAAGTCTTGAGCGAATTTTATGGCCTGTCGTCTCTTCGGTCTCGTTCATTCGTAGTTTGTCACACTCGTTGTGGCAACTGCAAAAGCAGTGGAGAGAATAATCAGATTACTTAAAACGAAATGGGAATGGGAATTCATACGTTTACTTATATTTTATATATTATTATTTTTCGTGTACACTAATTTTGGATCAAATTTGAACCAAATTGGTGACTTGCATTATAGTAAAGATCTGTCAGGTCTCACTGGTACCTTTATGGTAACAAATTATATCCAGTGGTCAGTGCAAAGTTAATGGAAAGAGTATACTTCTATACTTCTGTGGGATAGTATATTGTACTACAAGAGTTAAAAGAGTTCCACGTTTTCCTCTACAATTGGATAATTGCCTGAAAGAAAAAATGCTCTTTGACTAAGAAATTATAGAAAATGTCTTTTTAGAATTCATTGAGTATACGATATTTGAATTCCATAAAAATAGGGTATGTACAAAGCTTATGGTAGTTTCATAAACAATGCCTTGATTTATAAACTACATAGTAGTTTGTGGCATCCTGTGCTACCTAGACGCAGTAGTATATTAAATATCCCTGTGACAATCTCCTCTTTTCTGCTCGATGATAAATGTTTATCACAGATTACATTATTTATATTTAACTACTTAATGAACGAAATCATTGGGTAATTTACATTACGACATTGTAAATAGAAAAAACGTTGACAACCACTGTTTATCATATTTTGAGTAAACTTCATATTATTTAAAATTACTATATTGTAAGTTAGTATACAAATTATAAAATATTATAACGGATAATTTCTTCCACTCATTAGAGTTTGAAGGGACAACTAAAACGAATTTTGTATAGATTTTAAACAAATTCGGTATCTTAAGTGAGTATATTTATTTCCTTTGTTATTTGTATTGAACTTGCAACTTTTTACTTTTTTCGGAGGACAACTTACTTTTATGTGGTATTCTAAAAGTCGAATTACATCAGAAGCTTTGAGTACGTTAAAGAGATCTAATTATATATAGAACAAGTTTGGGTAAGAAATTTTTCTTTACCTTTTATGTTGTAATCACATTTTTAGTAAACACACAATTGTCTACTCTGTACATAGAAAGAAGCACTTTTATGTGTTTTATCGTACATGTTTTTGTTGAATTATTTAACGATACGAATTGCCAGCATTATATTCTTTCACAATTCTCTGAGTACTGATTTTTTACAATAAATATAAATTGGTTTTTTCCTGATTTGTTTTAATTTGAATTATCATTGAATGTAAATTGAAAATAGGGATTACTTATAATATAATTTCATATTTGTGTAGTTATTAACGGTTTGGTCAGTATTAATGTTTAGGGACAATTTTCTTTTTCAATCTAGTTATTTGCATGTTGTTTTTGAATATAATTGTATTCCTCTATGGAAAAATAAGTGAATGTTTGTTAGTAAACACAGAACTTGTTAGAGATATAATAGTAACATTTTTGTTTTTTGTTTTTTCATTAAACACGATTCTATTCAAAAATATGTTTTACGTTCAAAAATTCAATAATGTTTTATTTTCTAATACTCATGGAAGTAACTATTAGCAATAATTATAGTTATGAACAAAACATTATTAAAATTTATGTACAATAAAGAGCAAGAATAACTTAATGTGAAACAAAATTGATATGTGTTAATACATGTTTTGATTTAGTTGCATTAGAATAGTATTGTTGGTATTCTTGTAACATTTGCAAAATATATTGCTTTTTTTTTATTTTTAGTTAATCAATTGTTGCAATCTGTTATTAGCTTTGTGTCTCCCTCTGCAATATCATTTGCTGTTTTTAAATGTTATACTGTTTCTAAACCTGTCACATACAATTCATCATTTTCCCAGATTTATATATTTTTTCATAGAAAATTTACAGATATACTTTCTGTTGAAATAAAATTTTCTATACCTATGTTAATTATATTAATATAATCTTCGACATTTTTTAAAGTAATAACAATTTTTTTTAGAAGAATTCTCTGTTTGTGAATTCTATAAGACTTCAATTATATACCTTTTTACGTCAAAACATATTGTTGTATTAAAAGACGACAATGTAGCAGTCATTGATTCTGGTACCATAAATGCTTGGAAATTTCCTATAGTCCTGTTTGAAAAATGTGGGTTTTTTTAATCTCATTAATATTCACATAGTTGTTATAAAAATTGTAAATCTTGGCACACTGTTACTGTAGAGATAACAGTTATTAATTTATGCTTTAACCCAATGTGCCTTAGTCCCAACTCTGCAGAGTAGGGATTGGGATTATTCTAATGTGTTTGCGCAGATCGAAGAGGTAGGGAAAAGGGCCACAACTGGCTCGTAAGTCGTCAGTTCGACACCTCCCGTTGCAATGTAAGGGTTATTATATTTGCATGATTGATTTCATGCATTCTTCCTATTCATGCTATTTAAGGCATTTCAAACAGAATAAATATAGATGAATAAGCCAATTGTGATTTTTATTGTATTCATACTTTAGGAGAAAAATTGAACGAAGCAAAAAGTTACTACTTATATATATGTCCAATGTTTAAAGTAGTAATGTATTTAATACTTGTTTTAATGTCACTGAAAATAAATTTCAAACGGAAACACTAAAGTATTAATGCTAATTGACATAGACATGGTCTTTTCTATTTTTGATCAATCCAGTATTCTAGTGTATTTACTTTGAAGTCAACACTTTTTGAATTCTATATTCCAATTTCAAGTAAAACTGCTTGTAATTCGGAATTACCTTCATTTTCTTCATTAAACGAATCAATACAAATATTAATTTCATAACTTCTGTAGTATTATTATTGTAAGAATATGTACTCCTTAACGAAAAATCTGCTCGAAAGAACTTTGATTCGTTCAATGTTTTATCGCGTTAAAATTTGTTATTTCAATTTGTTGATTTGCACTTATTGTATAAGTGTAAAGTTACGTGCAATTTAATTATTTATTATTATATAAGGTACCGTAACAAAGTAGTTACTAGTATCGATAAAACAAATATGAATTAAAAATACCCAACGGATGCTGATTCAGTACTACTATCCGTCCAATGCAAAATTTTGAAAAAATTGATTATTTATTTTTAAAAGCATGTAGAATGCATAATTTACATAACAACATTTTAGAACCATTTCAGAGCCGAGATAATAACGGTTCTGTAGAATCGTAACCATAACCTATACACACCAGAACCTTTTTTATTCATAATTGTTATACTATCATTTCAGATCTTATAACTGTTTTGTAACGAGAATCAATATCATAACTATTTTCAACCTTTGGTGCTAATTTAAGTTTAAGAAGCGAATCTAACCTCCAAAATTTCATACCATATCTTTAAAATTATTCGAGATACAAAAAGGTTTTTAAACAAGTTTTTTATGGTTTTTACCGGGAAATAACATTAATACAAAAAAGTGAGTGAGTAGGATACAAAATCAATATCTCACTACCTATATTCTTAAAACACCGATATACATAATACACAATTTTTATTTTAAATTTACAATTGAATAAGTATTTTTTTTGTAATAATATTGTAAAAATCTCAAGGGCTCTAATAATGGCAGATCTGGAAGAGCTCAAGGGAGGGGAGTTAATTAAAATTGTGAAAAGAATGCAAAATTTCGAAGATTCGAGAATTCTACTTTTAGAAATTACAAATAGAATTATTAAAGATTTTATTATGACGATCACTTTTATTACACAGTACACAAACGAATAATATAATACAAAAACAAAACAAAAAACGTAACAGTTTTTTTGTACAAAATACATATGTAATAAAATATCAAGCCTAAAAAATAGAAAAATTAAATTAAAAACTCACTCTCCCATCTTATTACTCATACCAACATCTTAACACAAAAATGTTTAGAATTATTACTTTCCAACAGTTTCGGCGATTGTTCAAAATTTGTTAAAAAAACGTTTTTTTTTTAATAGTAATGACAGTAATTACGAGTGTTCTATTGGTTTCCTTATTTATTCCTTTTACTACTGTATTGATGTTATTTCCTGTAAAAATGCTTGTCGAATTTGTTTAAAAGGTATCCCTGTATATCCATTAATAGTAAAAGTAACATTGGAATACCGTAACTTGGAAGGGTAGTTTCATCCCCTACAGTTTAGTAAACCTCGTCCACAAAGGGTTAATTTTAAAAATATGAAAATTTCAAACACTAACTCGTATATGGAAAATTTGTGAGTTAGTTCGTTTTCGTATTTTTAGTTTCATATATGGAACCATTTCCTTTTTATAAACTACCATGATGAACTCACCACTAACAACAATTTCAAGCTATTAATTCTCTTAAAACTTTTTTTGACTAATACTCATATATGTATTCATATTTACAGGTTTTGTATTTCAAAGTTAACTTTTTGCCAAAATTGTTACGAAATTCAAAATTTATTTATTACATATGGAATTCATAATTATTCATGAGTATAAAATCAGCTAGCATTTCTTGCTATACATATAATTTGATTTTCGAAAAAATCGTTATGGTGATATAAAAAGTAGAGTATGCCTTGTCTGATCAAAATCATGCTCTTAAAAACAAAATGGTGAATTTGATTCGCAAAAAGTTGAATTTTCAGCGCAAAACCTATATCAGCCTTATTAATTTGATCACATAAAATGCATTTCATATTTATATGATCCCCATGAATTTTTCAAGTTGGGATAACATTTATATTGTAACTATTTCAAATGTATTCTATTTTATTTATTTTATTCTAAAGACGTATATCAAGCAATATAATTTTGTACAACTCACTTTTTATTTATTCAATTTGCAAAAACGTAATTTACGATCGTTTTATGTTTATCAGACTCCTGAGAAAAATTACAGTTATTCAAAGGCAAACAAAAAATTAATAATTACAATATAATTAATAATATTAGAAATTTCACTTGATGTGCTATTGAGTAAGTTATTAAAAATTTTCGAAATTTCTTGCCATGCAGTTAAAATAGTAGTTTCGGTTCGTCGGGAAACTTTTATCGTTGCAATAATAAAACATTATTTTTAAAAAAGTTTGTCGTTTCGTTTAATGAAACTCCATGGTTTTTATTTTAATTACTCTGTTATATTGTTCTCTTGTAAATATTCATAAGATCGTGTTCGCAGATTTAAAAAAAACGAAAGGAAGTGATGTTTTTTAGTTCTCGAGGAATGAATGTTTTATTCAACGCAATTGATTATTTTCTTGTTCTCTCATTCCACGTTTGCTACAAATTCATCAGTCAATGATTTATAAAATCTTCCTGTTTTAGCCTAGTATGCACTTTTTACGTCTGCCTTTATTTTAGAATACGATAGTTTAGCGGTTTTGTTTACGTTGTTGTTGTATTGTAGCGGAACCAGAATCTGGAGGTCGATGTCGTGACGAATCAGCCCAGAAGCTCGACCAAGGTAAGTTTTTTCTCCAGTGTCAGTGGTTCTTAGTTCTCTAAGTATAATCGTTTTTAAACTAACTTTAACAAAGTTTTCGAACATTAATAAAAAAGAAAAGAAAAATGAAAACAATTCTGTTTCAGCTATGATAAATATTATGGAATCCTATCATGTTTTAGTTGATATTGAAATTTTGTTGTACCTAAATAACGAATCACCAAAAAGTTTTTTGTAATAATTGTTAATCCTACTCGTTTAGGCGATCCTTTTTGTTACTTTTAGTTATGAAAATTATGCACTCCTGAAATAACTTTAAACTTTTTAGATTCACGAACGTATAAGTTCCGAGTTTGTAATTATGAAAATACAATAAGTATAGTTTAATCTCCTAAAATAAATATATAACCGTGTAATGAAATTTTAATTCCTAGTAATTTGCAAGAATTGAAAGGAAACTAGCTGTATTTTCTACGCAGTCGTAACGGAAGGAGCTGAGAACCATTGAAACGGATCTGTAATATGCGTTGCTCGACTCTCAATCATTTTATCAGCTTCTTGTACTTTTCCTTTTCTTTTTTCATCATGAATTGTTACATCATTTCTGGTCTCAGTGCAAGAATATATAGAACGTGAATTGCAGGTTGGTGTATATTTTGGGGATAAATGGTACTTTAAACATACGAAAATTTTATTTCTAAGAAACTGTTCAGTTTTCGTCGTTTCAATAAATTTTAATACTTCGTATCGTAACATCAATTTTTTAATATTGTTATAAGTTTTTGTATTACATTAATGTTAAGTTTCATAAGTTTCTTTTTGATATTATATTAATACTAATTATGATACTTTATTATTTAGAATTATGTTAATATATTTCTAAAATGTTGTGTTATTCTAATTACTTAATACTTGTAAGTAACGGCTACAAAATATTCAACGCCGGCTTTTATGAAATTTGCAGATTTTGTAGATCAGTCAAAGCAAGGGACATGGATTTGTTTCAGCAGTTTTAGGTAACTCAAGTTCAAAGGATGAAATACCCTCTGAAGTTTCAGCCTTCTGATATTATCACCAATCAAACATGATATCACAAAATCATTATTATTGTCTTCATTTTTGAAGTCATCAACATTTGTAGGAAGTTAGGAAAGTGAGCTGGTTTTATTCTAACTTTACAATTGTCGGTAATTCTTCGTTTGTTCTACTATTGATATTTAATAACAAAGCATGAGTAATTTGATGTATCGAATGCTTTATGCTTACTAAATAATGGACGATGGTCTGTGAGATTATCGATAGAATATCTTCACAGTGGAGACCTCTCGATGCTACTTAAGAAACTAGTCAGTCACGTGATCTCTTTCGACCGGCCGGACCGACCGGCAGTTTTGTTTAAATCGTTCGTTCGAGTAGGATATGGTCTTTCTTTCCAATATTTTGTTGCACCTATTAACTTTTAATAAAATGTATTATATTTTTTGCACTTGTGTTGTATTGGTTAATTCTCCGCTCCGTGATCCACTTATCGTCCACGCAGTCTTAAATATTCAACGCATTGAACAATGTTTATAGCAGAGACTCTAGCCTCAATTCGAACCCGGTTAAGAGGTGAAAATAATTGTTTTTTTTCTTCATATTCTATATTATATATGTAAAGTACAGCGTTGTAATTAACAAAAAACACATTGTTATGATGAGCTGCGAAAAAATAACATGTCCATTCTTTGTTATTAATTGTCAATGTGTATATTAGTATAAGACAAGAATAATTATTGTTGATTGTAAGTTTAGAATAAAAATATATCTTTTGTTATTGGTTTGCGTGCCATATTATTTTCTGTTGAAAACTAACACATTTGCCTAAACATTTTTGCATATCCAGGTGCTCTAGATAGCATCAGAGAGGTGACAATTGGAAGGTAATTTCAGCATTAAACTAGTTATCATAGCAGAAAGAAAAATTTGTCCCTCGTTGACTATTATACACGTCTGCTCAATTTTATTGAAATCGATTAACGTACACTTTGCAAATATTTCTTATTAGTAATAGGCATGAAACTTTAAAGTTTAATAAAACTTGTTACGAGGAAAAGATTTCATATTGTAATTTATCATTCTAGTGTAAGATATCACATTGAAAAATTGTATCATTTCAAATCTATATATTTTTAGGAAATTTATTTCAGGTATGCATAGTCTAAACAAAAGTAGAAATGAATTTAAAAGGGATCTTTTAACTCTCCAGCCACGGGGAACACTCATAGTGTGTTTCACTTATTCGCGTAGCTTATAATTTTTATGATATTTAAGCATCGGGAGTCGCTATTTCTATGTTGAATCTATTTTAAATTGTTTTGATACTTTCGCCAACAGTCTTATTGAAAAATCGATCGCGGCTGGAGGGTTAATGCTTAAAACGACTTAACATCTTTTCCAATTTTGATGTTTGATGGAATTTTGTCTACAACAAACAAAAATATAATTTAAAAGACTATATGTACTATCTTTTAAAATTCATGGAACTTTTAATCAACTCATGTAAGAGTTCAAATTATAAGAGATGTAATTATTTATGTAAATGCATATCATTATTTTGAGAAATATACACAAAGTAGAAAACAAACAAAACATTAAATTATTCAATATATGAACTAACAAATTTTGTAAGTTCCTATATTGTAATACAGTTATTTATTTTTCTAATTTATTCAATTGCTTGCCCATGATTTTCAAGCTATATTCTGATTATATATTATCGTCTACTTCAAATACTTTTGCAAAGAAACTTTTTAATCAGAACAGTTGCACATTATAACAACAAAGTGCAATAATATAAATTAGTTTACATACTTTCCTTTCTATAATATATCAAGTACACCTTGATTTAAAAAAAATGAAGCAATATGCTTTTTATTTTATAATAATATGGATGGCATTGAAACAAATTCAATTCATAGACACATTTGAATTTACATTTACATTAGTAAACCATTTCCAACATCTGGCCATATAGTAGTATATTTCTATGTTTTATTATCGGTCTAATGGAATAAAAACAACGCAAAATTTATCATTACACATTTGTATTTAGCTCTTTTAATTCAAATGGATTATGATTACAGATAGCAGTAATGGTTTATTAAGTTGTAATAGAAATATAAAATAACATTGTGTGTATGGATTGAATTTGTATGTAATGCATGTTATTATAAAAAAAAAGTAAATAATTCCATTTAACAAATTAGATGTGACTGATTTTTGCTTGAACAATAGATATTACAGTAAATTGTATTATTACATTGATTAAACACATGAATGATTAAAAATGTTTTTTTTTTTTCTCATTTTGGAAGTAGATTAAAAATGATAAAAGTTATTACGAGAAACTGTGGGTAAATTTGATTAACGAATAACATTTCATTCATTTGCCTTTATTTACCATAATAATGGCTTCAAAGCGTAATAGTGGTGATACTGTTAGTGTTCCTACACTTAAGACAAAGTGAAAATTTTCTATATAGTTGAAATAGAAAAAAAATCAGTGAAGAACAAAGACAAAATACAAAAGTGACTACTGTAATGCATAAATAAATTATTGGTGAAGATGAAGAAAGCCTTAAACTTATACAAGGACTTTCAGGAAGCACGTGAAACGGAAGAGGAAACCAAGCCTTTTACTGCAATCAAAGGATGGTTGCATAGGTTTAAAACCAAATTTAATTTTAAGAACATTAAAATCCCAGGGGAAGCTGTATCAGCCAATGAAGAAGCAGCTGCTAGGTTTCCGGCCAAATAAAGAAGAATAATGGAGGAAGGAAAATACGATTCCAGGCAAGTTTTTAATTGTGACGAAACAGGACCTATATTCACAAAAGTGCAAAACAGGCACCAGGATTTTAAAGTATGGACCGAGAGGGTTCTGTCCGTTTTTTGGCAACACAATAAAAAAGCACGGGTGTGTTCACTGAATGGTTCTATCAATATTTCATCTCCGAAGTCAAAGTACATTTGGAGAAGGAAAAATTGCCATTCATTAAAGCAGCATTGGATGAATTAACGCTAGAAACAGTTAATGCATGCTGGAAGAATTTACGAAGCGAAGTCATCCATGGAGCCTGTGGCGTCGCCTTCCATGCTTGCCACCAGAGGGGTCGCGCTCTCACAAGCACTCGACCGGCCCCTCGGTTGCTATGTATACAATCCTCGACCAACTTCCCAATGTCCCAGTCGTCTAAGGCAGGGTCTGCTAGAAAGCCTTACTGGATGAGTCCGCCAGCAGGTCCGGACGAAATGTGCCTCCTTCTTTCCTTTTCTGTCCTCCCACGATTCTCACGAGTTCCTACCCGCAGCAAAGTAGCGCTACCAAGCCCTTCTCTATACATGATGGGATGAGAAAGTAAATTTATTACGAACTGTTGAAATCCTGGTGAAATCGTCAATGCAGAACGGTCAACAAATAAACAAAGTGGATGTTGGAAATAAAGAAAAAAACGTTCCTTAATATCGTCAAACAAAACAAAAGTCATCTTGGAGCACACAAAACACCACATAGACGATATCAGAGTTAGGAAGGAAAGTTCTTTTTCACCCTGCCTTCTCCCCGGATGTTGCTTTATAAGATCGTCATTTCATTAGATCGATGCAACGCGGTTTAAAAGGACAACAAAGTGAGAAAATTAGTCATTAATTATCTTGCATCCAAAAAGCCCGAAGAAGAATAAATGGGAGAAAATTATAAACGTCGGAGAAGAATATTTTAATTAAAGAGAAATATTGTGAGTGCAACCTTGAAATAAATATTTTGCCTTCTCCCCGGATGTTGCTTTATAAGATTGTCATTTCATTAGATCGATGCAACGCGGTTTAAAAGGACAACAAAGTGAGAAAATTAGTCATTAATTATCTTGCATCCAAAAAGCCCGAAGAAGAATAAATGGGAGAAAATTATAAACGCCGGAGAAGAATATTTTAATTAAAGAGAAATATTGTGAGTGCAGCCTTGAAATAAATATTTTCAA